TGATCTATGGGAACACTAAAAAAAAAAATTAAGTCTATGGAGCTACGTTTTTTAATATAGTAATAAACTAATAAATTAATTGGGATAAAGGTAGGAAGATGATGAATTCGATAGTGGGGTTAAAGAATTTATATATATATATATATATATATATATATATATATATATATATATATATATATATATATATATATATATATATATATATATATATATATATATAATAAAATAAATAAATATATATATAAAGAATCAATTCTAACGTCAACATGCACTTTAGTCATTGTGAATCGAAATGAGCTTAAAATTACGAATTGACTTTCTAATGATATTCCTGTAGCTTACAGTTGCAGTATGGTTGGTCCGCAGCTAGAAGAAATAATGACAAACGTATATAAACAATCCTACGTTCACATACATACTCAAACAAAAATTACAACAAACAATGTAGGAATTTGGGGGGAAGGGATTGTTAGTAATGGAGACTGAGAATCACATTGCTAGCAATATACCGAACCAGGTCGATCTCCTCGCGGTTCCCCCTGGAAACTATCATGGTTAATTCCTGATGAATTCATCATGATGGGCTAACTGGCCTGTTTTCATTCTCATCTATCACCCTTCACTGGTGCTCCGCCAGCGTATCCCGTTAGCGCAGGCGGGGTTACCATATCATTTTCACCCATCAAAAAAAAATTTAGGGATTTAAAATCAAAACAAACAGAACGCTACAATGAGACATAATATGACATTACTCGTATTTACTGTAGAAATAATACCCTTTTTTTCAAAAACATTATTTTTCAAAAAAAAAAACACATTTTAAAAAAAAAACTTCGGCACGTTCGTCTGCAAATATCACCGGATTAGTTAGAAATGAGAGTAAAATTTAAAATTTGAGCGCACTCTATATCCAATGTCATTTTTTGATCTCCGATTGGCCATCTTTGTTTTGTTTTTTTTTTTTTAATAACAATGGACTCGATGCATAAGCAAAGGGCATAATATAAAATGAGGTTGAAATAATTTCATTAGTATGGGGGACCAATATTGTCAAATTGTATTTTTTTTTTTATTAATATATCCAATGTACACAATATGGAAATCATTCAAAGATAATAAAAACCATTTGGTTAATATTGGTATAATTAAATTAGTAACTCTCTTTTCTCATTTAAGAGTTTTCTCTTGTCGGTGCAACTAATTCATGCATTCAGCCAGCTCTATCCCAGGCCATATCCTTTATCTCTCTATACGACATGACACCTAGTGTTTCTTTTATCTGTCCCATGTAGTTATTCCTCGGTCTTCCCCTATCTCTTTTGCCCTCTATTTTTCTTTCTAGTATGCTCTTTAAAAATTACCATGTCGTATAAGGTATTGACAGAAATAATTTGATTTCATAGGAAACTACCAGAGGGAGACTTTGTACAAAAGTCGATTGCTTGGGCACCTCTGTCCCATTCGTGTTTCAACCGTGAAGCAGTTGTGTTTGCATGACTGTGTTTCGGTTTGAAGGGTGGGATATGGCGTGAATTTACAGGGTACAGAGGAATAACACCTGAGTCCTCAGGAATGGCAACCCATGGGGGGTATCATGGGTGAAACAGTATAGTCTGCTATGTCCATGGTACTGCTCATGTCTATAGGCGACGGTTACCACTTTCCATCAGGTGGGCCGTCAGCTTGTTTGTCATTCTAAGTTGCATAAAAAAAAAAAAAAAAAAAAAAAAAAAAAAAAAAAAAAAAAAAAAAAAAAAAAAAACTGTGTTTTCATTAATTATATTTAACTAATTTGAGAGCAAACTAAAATAATGTTAAATATTTTTTTTTTTTTTTACAAACGAGTATGCTGCTCACCTGATGGTAAGTGACTACCGTCGCCCATGGTCACCCACAACACCTACGGCATTGCAGGTGCGCTGCCGGCCTTTTAAAAAGGAATATGCTCTCTTCTTGAAGGTTATGTTGTCGTATCGATTCGGAAATACTGCTGCTGGAACTCGATTCCAAAGAGTGGTTGTGCGTGGGAAAGAGTGCCTTGAAAAACGCACGGTGGAGGACCGCCACTCGTCCAGATGGTTGGGATGAAACTTTAGTTTGTGGCGACTTTATTTTATTGATTTTAACGACTTTCATTACATTATTACACTGTTTTGTCGCTTTCAAATTGAGAATTTAGCGTTAAAGAAAGATATTTACAGTTCAATACCTATAATAGATTTATGACAGGTTCGATTTGTTTTTTATTTTTTAATTTTTTATTTATTTTATTTAATACTTGATTGTACACATTAGTTATAAAAATTATGACAGAGGTAAACAAAAGTACAAAGGCGAGCTTAACTCTGATAGAGTTCTCTTCCAGCAAACCCTTTTACATAAAGGGATTAAGCTATAATTAAGTAGACACGAGACAGGCTTCGCCTAGCGTGGGGGGTCCCAGTCATATTGTACCACTGGCTTTGTTTAAGGCAATAAAGTTTATCATTTAATAAAGTAGTTAAAATTTATTTTCATTAAACATTTTAAAATTAGAAAAGCACCATCGATTGCTATCTCTTTTTAAATTACCAAAGAGAATATGTCCATTTGCAACAATCATTCGTTTATTTTTTTTTATAACACTCTTAAACGTCAAGAAAATAAGTCTCATTATAATCAGCCGCCTTTCTAAAGATTTGTTCGTTGAAAAACAGTCTATTTTTAACAATCCTAAACGATATCTTAATTGTAGAGTATAAAATATATTTTCTAAAAAAAAACCTAATTTAAAAAAAAAATTTAAAACACAAGCGAACGGAAGCACAACAATAAAGGCACGTGTACTACGTGAGATAATAATACTATATAGAAAAAAAAAAAATCGGATGTGACCATTAATAACTTAAAAAGAAAATATAAAAACTATATTAAATTAAAATAGAGACGTCGATGTTTGTCACCGCTTAAAACTAAAAATCGATCATGTACCTAGAAGGGGAAAAAAAAAAGAAATAAAAAAAAAGCAACAACAAAAACAATACTTATAAAAACATGACTGAAATATGTCGATTCCACAAAATTTTACAAAAAAGAGAAACACACTTCAACTATAGCAAAAAATAACTGGTTTTTTTTATTTAAAAACAGAATAACTAAATCGATTTTGATAGAATCTCTATAGGATCAATTTGTAAATATACCCTTTTGGGGGGAAGGGATTGTTAACAACGGAGTTTGACAGCCCCTTTGCTAGCAATATGTCCTATCAGGTCAACCTCCGCGTGGTTCCCCCTGGAAACCAACGTGAACGATTCTCGTTGTATTCGTCACGATGGGCTAACTGACCTGCTTCATCCTCGCCTATCGTCCTTCACTGGTGTCCCACCGGTGTATACCGATAGCGCGGGTGGGGTTACTATTTCATTATCACCCATAAAAAAAATATATACCCTTTTAGATAAAAAAAAAGAAATTTCCAAATCGGTTTATAAACGACGACTTTGTTCGTTCTGAAATCAGTTGATAAATAAATTTATTACTTCACACTATTCACTGAACTGCACTGAAGAAATATAACATATATATATATATTTTTTATATTCTATTTTCTCATATTAATCATTTCCTCTCGTTTTTTTTTTTAATGCGGCTCACCTGCTGGTAAATGACTACCGCCGCCCATGATCACCCACGACACCAGCGGCATTGCAGTTGTACTGCCGGCCTTTTAAAAAGGAATATACTCTTTTCTTGAAGGTTATGATGTCGTATCGGTTCGGAAATACTGGCGCTATTATTTGATGCGTTCCTTTATTGTGGAAACTTCAATATATGTGATAGCTGTATTTATTATTTATATGTTTTTTTTTTTACAACACAGGGGGCAAACGAGCATGCGGCTCACCTGATGGTAAGTGTTGTAGGTATTATAGGTACTGTATGTTTCCCTATTAAAGTAAAATAAAATATAAATGTTTATATTATTAATGAAGTCATTAGACGACGTACTCCAAAATGATACCACTTTTATAGTTCCACTAGTGTTTTTTATATTTATTTACATAACAAAATTATAGTTATAAGACATTACACACAGAGATACAAGAATGATATGCAAAAATTCAAATCATTCTTTTTCTTTTTTTAAATATACTATATGGCTTCTTTCCAGCCATGACCAGTCATATACAATTACTTCATTGCAGTTCAGTGAATAGTACAAAAAAATTAATAATAAGAGGCGAGATCTTGATCCTCCATTCCACCTAATAGTGATAGATCAGAGAGCTTTACCAGACCGTGCCTTCCTTACGTAATGTTAACGCAACTAAAAGACGTTCCCTAACCGTCTTACCACAAAAGATTGTCTATTTAAACATAGTTTAGCAAAACTCTAAGTAGTTAAACATTGTTCAGTCGATGCAATATAATCTTACGACTGCAATAATTTAAAACACTGTGTATCTAAACTAAGTTTAAAAATAACTCTGTCTATGTGATTAAATATTGTTTGGTCAATGTAATAATGTTTATTAATATGTTTTTATGCCAAATTAAGTGTAAGTAAATTAAAATAATAACAAATTGTATTATTTTAAATACCATTTATTTTTTATTAAGACTCACCATTTAGACATAAATAAATATTAATATATTACCGTGAAATCCCAGCATAGAATAGCCACCCCTTTCTTTCTTGTGGATGTCGTGAGATGACTAAGGGAGGGCAAAGGATAGGCAGCAACGTCCCTCTTTAAACATCTCTCAAGCCTAACTGCGATTGCCAGTCCGCCTGTCAAGCGTGGCAACTACTGGCAAAACCCCCCAAGGGGAGGCTTATGTTCAGCAGCGGACAGTTAAAGGCTGATATGATGATGATATGATGAAATGTTAGTAAAACATTTAAACATGTATTATATAATCGTCTATTGCAAGCTTAATTGTTTTGTGGTAAGACGGCAAGCCTCTAGGGCGGAGGGTGAGGCCGGATTGGAGAAACAATATGACATCTTTACCTGCTCTGCACGCTGGGCGTGTTGCGGTGCGAGTCGGGCGAGTGCGCGTACGCTGGCGAGGCCATGTACGGCGGGAGGGTCGTCACAAGCACCGGCTTCACGTACCCGTTCTTCAGTACTTGGTCCTCTGTGAACACCATCACACGGTTACCACTTGGCATAGGTAATAGTTATAATAATCGGTATCACTCTGATATATATATATATGAACATATTGAATTCGTCTGGACATTGATGGCAGAAACAAGGTTACCCACTTTAAAAATGAATGAGTTTTGAGATGACAAATTTATAAAAAAAATACAACCGAATTAAGAATCTTATCTTTTTTTTTTGAAGATGGATAAAATCTGGACCATTTGGACATTTAATAAGAGATTATTAGTAATTGGGTCTAATACTCTGATTGCTAGCAATACACCATATCAGGTTGACCTCTCCGCAGTACCTCCTGGAAACCATCGTTATCAATTCTTGTCTAATTCGGCACTATTAGCCAACTGATCTGTTTTCATCCTCATCTATCATTCCTCACTGGTGCCACTCCAGCGTATATCGATAGCTCAGGCGGGACTACCATGCCATTTCACCAATAAACAGAAGAAATACAATACTTACCAGGCTTAGTGTAGTACTTGGAGAAGACATCATCCTTAGCAATATTGGGATAGAGGAATTGCAGCTGCGGCAGGTCTAGGACGCGGTCTGCCAGCGAGCGCAGCGCCAAGTCGCGCGCAGTGAACGGTTGCAGGCTGAACACCTCGCCGTTGTTGTCTGCACACAGACAGACAAATTTTTATTAAAAAAAAAATATTTATTCTCAAAGTATGTTGGTATAAGTAGGAAGTTTAACATTATTTCCTACACTAGGCTGAGCTTGTCTTATCGGGTCCTCGGGGAGGAGGATGATTAGGGCCATCCGAAGCTCACCAGGGGGGAATGAGGACCGTGTGGGGGCGTGTTGCATATATCCTTCACGCCCCGAGGTGGAGTTACCCTTCATTGAGGCTCGAGTCAGTGTCGAGGTCGATTTCAAAAGGGATCCCTCGGCATTGTCCTTGTGAGCTGGGAGGTATATCGTCAGGTTATTTAGCCGGTAGGAGTCCGGCAGTACCCACACGGGCCCTAAACTGTGTGGGTCTGCATGATGCATTTTTCCTGACGTAAAAAAAAAGGCTAAGCTTGTCTTGTAGGAAACGGGAAACGAATTTCCAAATATATGCTTACAGAAATCACCCCATTTTTTCAATCACTTTATATTAGTGCTGATAAATCTTTACCTATTTGTTTATATAAAGGAATTATTTATCTATATACTTTTCTGTGCCGTGTGGTCCTGGCATAGAACGGGTAAGAGGAGACTAAGGGAACTTAATAGTTGAGGATTGGGCAGCAACGTCCCTTATAAAGCATCACTAAAGCCCAACTGCGGTTACCAACCCGTTCGCCAAGTGTGGTAACTGTCGGCAAATCCTTCCTTTATGGAAAATGCCTTTGTACAGCAGTGGGCAGTTAACGGCTCATATGATATGTGATGCGACGTTTCAAATAAGCATCTCCATAGATTTTGTTTTTATATTTTATTTTCTGTTTAATTTAATCTACCTTCCAAAAAATAAGCATAATATTGTTTGGTATACAAATTGGGAATCTGTAATTAGCTAATGTACAGTGTAAATATAATATTTAGATGGAAGCTATTAGATTCCAGATGTGATATTAAAATAAAACATATATATACCAGAGGGAGGCTTCGTATAAAAGTCGATTGCTTGGGTACCTCTGTCTCATTCGTGTTTCAACCGTGAAGCAGTAGTGTTTGCATGGCTCTGTTTCGGTTTGAAGGGTGGGATATGGCGTGAATTTACTGGGTACAGAGGAATAACACCTGAGTCCTCAGAAATGGCAACGCATGGGGGGTATCATGAGGGAAACAGTATACTCTGTTATGTCCACGGTACAGCTCATGTCTATAGGCGACGATTACCACTTTCCATCAGGTGGGCCGTCAGCTTGTTTGCTATTCTAAGTTGTATAAAAAAATATATACACACTAATAATTAGGAATTATTAAAATATTATTATTATAGCTTTTTCTCCACTTTAGTGGTCCCCAAAACTAAAAGTCCGCCCTCTTTTTCCACTTATCTGTAGCAAAATATTTGTCCAGTTTTTTCCTGCTGTCTTTATTATGTCATCTGCCCATCTCTTTCTTTGCTTTCTAACACTTCTTTCTCCTGGTGGGCCTCGCCAAGATCAGTAACATATACCAATATTTATATATATTGTAACTAACTACCATAACCGCTTACCATTAGGTGGGCCGTATGCTTGTTTGCCACCTCAGTGGCCTATAGACATGAGCAGTACCGTGGATATAACAAAGTATACTGTTTCCCTCATGATACCCCCCATGCGTTGCCATTTCTGAGGACTCAGGTGTTATTCCTCTGTACCCTGTAAATTCAATCCATATCCCACCCTTCAAACCGAAACACAGCCATGCAAACATAACTGCTTCAAGGTAGAAACACGAATGGAACAGAGGTGGCCAAGCAATCGACTTTTGTACAAAGTCTCCCTCTGGTATTTATCGAAGCTAATATAAAATACTAATTTACGATATGCGAAGCCGGGCTGGATCACTAATAAAAAATAAATTAAAATTAACAATAAAGATTTAGTTTAATTTAATTTAAGTTCAATAACATTGAATCTTACCTCCAACCCAGGCGATGGTGATGCCACCTAGCTCCGAGTCCGAGAAACGTAGCAGGAACGTTCCCGGGGGACACTTCGAGAGCATATCCTCCGCTTGCTTCTTCTGGATGAAACCCATTATTAAACTGCAAGTATTATATATATATATATAAATAGAAATATAATCCTTACTAATATAAATGTGAAAGTGAGTTTGTTTATTTGTTTTCTTATAGCGCCTTGACGGCTTAACTGTATCGTGTAACTAGCCTATCTCTACACGGTGTGCTTAATCTCTGGTTATTTTTAAAAACTTTGTTAAATCCCACCGCCTATTCCTATATTAGTACTCCATCATTCTTTTATATATATATATATATATATATATATATATATATATATATATATATATATATATATATATATATATATATATAGCTGACTCGACAAACGTTGTTTTACCATATACATTATTTCTAGAACTATACATGAAAATATATCGTACTACAATTATTATATTCGATTGTCATCTTGCAACCCTATTGCGGAATATAAAGATCGCGATTAAACAACAGGGGTTGATTGTAAAAGCGTGAAAATTTAAATCTGTATGTATGTTTCAATGCTAAATCATAATAAAATAAAAATAAAAAAAAATCAAAAAAATATTTAGGGGTGGGTAACCCATATTATTGAGGGTTATGAAAAATATATGTTGGCCGATTTTCATACCTACCCAATATGCACACAAAATTTCATAAAAATCGGTAAAGCCGTTTCGGAGGAGTTCGGTAACAAACACCGCGACACGAGAATTTTATATATAAGACTAGACATCCATATATAAAAAAAAACCAGCAGACCACTCACCGGTCACACCACAGAGTCCTCAGATACTCGCGGGTCACCTTCACGACCATGTAGAACCATTCCCAGAACGTGAAGTTGCGGTCCGAGAGCGCGTCCTTGCAGAACTGCGTCCAGCTCACGGGCAGCGCGTTCAGTTCGTGGGTGCTCAGCGGTAGATTTATCCTGTTGGCACGAAAATCACTTTTTCTCAAACATGCTTGGAAATGTGAGCATTATTTTGACAATCTTCTTCGAGATAAATCAAAATTGCCGTACTGGCCAGATACGTGCGGACGGCGGCCGGCAAAAGTTGTATGAAAATCCATATCTCTTGTGTTTTTTGCGGCCAGATAAATTACTATGTAAACTCATATCTATCCTGTAATTTAAAAATGGAGTGACCTTTTACTTAGAAACATGGCTACTAAGGAGGTAACTAATAAAAGGTTTTATTTAAATTTCGAACTGGCTTACAAATAGAAAGCTGTTTATTGAAAAAAGAAAAAAACAAAGGAACATTATGGCGTATACTATATAAGCCTTGATCACAATTGGGCATTGATGGACTCACGTGTGTGTGCCTCGGCTACGCCTTGGCCCACATTTGCACGTTCGTCCATCAATGCCTTAGTTGCTGGCCGCTGCGGTAATGTACTAATATTTTACGCAAATATATTAACTAAAGCCTGAATGAATTAAAGAACGAACAATAAGTAAGGTACAAAGTGTTGAATGTACGAACCAACAAGTATATAACTCACTTATTATTGAATATCTTCTCGGCGAGGAAGCGCAGGTTGTCCTCGGAGAGGTCGCCGCCCGACGTGGCCGAATAGAACTTGATCCGCAGCGTCTCGGCCAGCTGACCCCACGTTACCTGCACAACGCACGAGCGTGACACCATGAGTATACAGGTATATATTGAGTGAAGGAATTGATTTTTTTTTGATGTGTGAAAATGGTACGGTAACCTCGCCTGCGCTAACGGGATACACTGGCGGAGCTCCAGTGAAGGGTGATAGATGAGAATGAAAACAGGCCAGTTAGCCCATCATGATGAATTCATCAGGAATTAACCATGATAGTTTCCAGGGGGAACCGCGAGGAGGTGGTTGGATATATTGCTAGCAATGGGATTCTCAGTCTCCATAACTAACGAATCCCTTTCCCCCCGCGAAGGAATTGTTAGTAATGGGGAGGTTAGAACCCATTGTTATCGAGGGGAAAGGAATTTTTAGTAATAAGATTAACAGCTCCATTGCTAGCAATACACCCTATAAGATCGACCTCCACGCGGTTCCCTCTGGAAACCCTAATGGTTAATTCTTGTTCAATTGGTCACTATGGGCCAACAAACCTGCCTTTATTCTCACCTGTCACCCTTCACTGGTGCCCGCCAGCATATACCGATAGCGCAGACGGGTTTACCATTCTGTCTTCACCATCAGGTCGTACTCCACGGTTCCCCCCAGAAACTATCGTAACTAATTTATCGTTGCATTTGTCATGATGGGCCAACTGACCTGCCTTTTCATCCTCACCAATCATCCCTCACTGGTGCCCCACCAGCATATAACGATAGCGCAGGCGGGGATACCATTCCAATATAATCCATCAAAAAACCATGGGTATATAATATACATGGAGAACTGGTGCCAGAGGTAAACTTTGTACAAATGTCATTTGCTTGGATACCTCTGTCCCATTCGTGTTTCTACCGTGAAGCAGTTCTGTTTGCATGGCTGTGTTTCGGTTTGAAGGGTGGGATATGGCGTGAATTTACAGGGTACAAAGGCATAACACCCGAGTCCTCAGGAATGACCACGTATAGGGGGTAACAGTATAATTCATGTAGACGACATATGTAAAGTTTCTACTTGATCCTTCGAGCCGGATAGCCGGAACTCACCTTGCATGTGTTTGCGCCCGTACGTACCTTGTCTGGAACAGCGAAAGGCACGCGTCCCGACGGGCTGAAGGCGTTGTCCCAAGTCACTGTGGCCCAGCCGTGCGGCTCCTGGTTGCCGTGCACGATCACCACCACTGGTAGCGACAGTGTCCATACCTGCACCACACGAAATATTACGGTCAACGGGTTTGGTTGATGGAACTTTGATATTTCCAGCCAGTAAGGGGGGGGGGGGATAATTAGATACACGTAAAATTTGCCATTTTTTTCACAATTTACAAAACATTTGGCATGTTCTCTCTCGTATCATCGCACACTGGTACCTTGCCATTGTATACCGACAGCATGAGCGGTCATTCCACTTTCAATCAACAAACACTATTGACAGATCTCCACTAAAGTCTGATCCTTCGAGCCGGACACGAACCAGCCACCTCCGGACCATCAACCCGCCCACTCACCTGGAACACGAGCTCGCCACCGCCGACATTGAACTGCGACTGGAACAGCAACGTCAACTTCTCGTCCATCACGCTCTCGGTGCCTTTTTTCTCGGCACGTTTGATTTTGCGAAGTTGCATGTTTCTAAAAAAAAATACAAAAAAAAACATTAATTTCCCACAATTAATTACAACTCAGTCATATCGTATCTATATTTCTCTCAAAGAAACCTTCTCAAAATAATTAAAGCTTGTGCCCCACAATAAGAACAGAGGGCCTACCATGAAATATTTTCCGAAATTTCGGGGACGAACGAAACAGAAATTTAATGTTAAAATTACATAATACATGCCGTTTAAAATTATTAAAAATGTCAAAATATCGTTCCTCTGGACTATTAGGATAGGATTTATGATGAACGAAATGTTAAGCACCATTTACTGGGCCGATTTCGGTACGAACAAAAACACGAAATTGAGCCCGAAATTTCGGAATTTCATATCATGGTAGACCACCAGACTTCAATTGTGTCAAAATCGGTTATTTTGATCTTAAAACTGCTGAACCGAGTTCGATAAAATTTCTATAGTACAGGTAAAAAATATTTTTCTAAATCGGTTTAGAACTGGCGGCGTTATGTGGTAACAAACATAATAGTACATTACTGCAGCGGCCAGCAACTGAGGCATTGATGGACGAATATATGTCGAATAACGAACAATAATAATTTTTCACGCGCCATAATGTCCCTTTGTTTTTTTTTTTCAATAAACAGCTCTCTATTTGTAAGCCAATTCGAAATTTAAATAAAACCTTTCATTAGTTACCTCCTTGGTAGCCATGTTTCGAAGTAAAAGGTCATTCCGTTTTTAAATTACAGGACAGATATGAGTTTACATAGTAATTTATCTGGCCGCAAAACACGACAGATATGGATTTTCATATAAGTATTGCCGGCCGCTGCCCGCATGTATCTGGCCAGTACAGCAATTTTGATTTATCTCGAAGAAGATTGTCGAAATAATGCTCACATTTTCAAGCATGTTTGAGAAAATAATATACAAACATTCTTCTATTTGAAAACGGTTGAAAAAGTGGAGCCTAACCTATCAATATCTGGACCCGCCATGTTTGTAATATAAAACTGAATTTTCATTGTTTTTCGACTCATGTTTTTTTCAAAACATTTAGTTTTACCTATAGAAAGCTCCCTTCATACTCACTAGCATTTTAGTCCTATAATTTCACAGTAACTTAAGAGTTGGGATGAGATAGGCAAGTTGATATGTGAAAGATACCGCGAACCGTTTCGACTCAACTCGACCCTTTACTCACAAATTCTCTGCCTCACAACTCAGCAATATTTGCAATCTTCTGTCTAACGACATCTCAGTACTACTCACAACTTCTTGTCATACTAAAACTCAGCAATACTCACAATTTTCTACATCACCATAACTCACAACTTTCCTACCACACCCCAATTCTGCATTACACACAAATTCCTACCTTATCATAACTCAGCACTATTCACAACTTTCTTGCCATACCACAACCCAGCGCTACTTACAACTTCCTACCTCACCACAACTCAGTATTACTCACAACTTTCCTACTGCACCACAACTCAGCACTATTCACAACTTTCTTGCCATACCACAACCCAACGCTACTTACAACTTCCTACCTCACCACAACTCAGTATTACTCACAACTTTCCTACCGCACCACAACTCAGCACTATTCACAACTTTTTTGCCATATCACAACCCAGCGCTACTTACAACTTCCTACCTCACCACAACTCAGTACTACTCACAACTTTCCTACCGCACCACAACTCAGCATTATTCACAACTTTTGTCCTTCACCGCAACTCAGCGGTGAGACTCATTCACCCTACTTGGCTACAATTCGACAACTTTACTCACAAACCACTAATTACCACTACTCATCAATCCTACCACACACGTCACAACTCACCTGAAGCTCACGCTGAGCTGCCTGCTCGTCGCCTGGTACTCCATAACGCCGGTGTTGTTCAATATGTCTCCACACTCGACCGGTTGCTTGCTCTTACCAGCCTGAGAGTCACTCTTCAGAAGTTGCTGAGCTTGCTGCTCGGAGATGATCACCACCTGAATAGATGAAACACATTGACGACATCTATGGTGAAGCGGATAGTACAAAGAGCTTTGGGAATTAAGATCCCGGGTTTTTTTTATCTATACAACACAGGGAGCAAACGAGCATACGGCTCACCTGATGGTAATTTGGTTGTCAAACCTAAAATGGACTTTTTTTTATTTTAACTCAGTATCAAATCATTGTTTAGAGCTCTTCTAAAAGCTTATTAAATTTTCTAAAAGAGTCATCTGGTTGCATGATGAAAGGAAAAAAAAAATGTTTGAAGTCTACAGACCATTTTAAGGGGATGAGCAAAAATTTGCATAAAAATTTTTCTCATTAAATTACGTAACTGTATATTTGTTTATGTACACTAAATATTAATAGTTGTAGCACTTCAGCTGCCCGCTAACGACATGCTTTCCAACTGTATCGGGTTGACTGGAAGAGATCTCTGTCAGAGATAAGTCCAGCCTTGCTCACAATATTTATAAATACATTATTTTATATGTAACTTACAAGTGCAATAAAGAATATATATAATTACTTGAGAATTGCCTGCGTTAAAAAGTTTTAATGTTTAAATATAAAAACTAAACACCAGAGCAACAATTTTCTTTTCTTTTCTAGATTTTCTGTATGACTATTTCTCTCCGAGCTATCCCTTGTTGAAAATCACCCAAAAAATTGATTTTTAAAATAAATTTATGCCACTTAAAATGGCAAACAAGCTGACGGCCCACCTGATGGAAAGTGGTAACCGTCGCCTATAGACATGAGCAGTACCATGCACATAACAGAGTATACTGTTTCACCCATGATACCCCCCATGCGTTGCCATTCCTGAGGGCTCAGGTGTTATTTCTATGTACCCTGTCAATTAGTTTTTCTGTAATAAAAATAAAAAATACCTTGATAATAAATATATTTTCACTCTTTACTTACGCTAACTCTGGGCGGAGTCATGTACACGTTCAACTGGCCGCCGACCAGCAGGCGGACGGTGGCGGTGAATCTGCGAAACGAGACCAACATAGTTCAGAGTCTTACGATTAATTTTCAAATCCTATTAATCCTTACTCATAATATAAATAACCAAAAAAAAATAAATAAGAGGTATAAAATTAGAGTGCAAAAAAAAATGTATATATATATATATATATATATATATATATATATATATATATATATATTGTTTTATATACATATTTGTTTTATATTTAAAAAAAAGTGTAAATAATTTGATTGTATAAACTCGTTTGTTAATTTACTATATCTTTCTATCTATCGATTGTAATCCGACAGTTTCTTTTTGATGGGTGAAATTGGTATGGTAACCCCGCCTGCGCTAACGGGATACGCTGGCGGAGCACCAGTGAAGGGTGATAGATGACAATGAAAACAGGCCAGTTAGCCCACCATGACGAATTCATCATTAATTAACCATGATAGTTTCCAGGGGGAACCGCGATGAGGTCGACCTGGTTGGGTATATTGCTAGCAATGTGATTCTCAGTCTCCATTACTGACAATCCCTTTCCACCCAATCTGACAGTATTAGTCTCCGACACAAACGGCGACTCACCTTGTGTTTGTCTTCATCACTTGCGGCGGCTGCTTCTCTATCACGAACGTGGAGGTCACCAGCGTGGACAGCAGGCTGGTCACCTGGCGGGACGAAGACGGAATATTAATTGTATTCATATAATAAAAATGTCTGCCCCGACATAGAATGGACCACCGTGGTGCCGTAAGAGGAGACTAAGGGAAGTCGAGGGATGGGCAGCAGCGCCCCTTTTAAAATATCTCTAAAAGTCGAACTGCGGTTGTCAACCCGCCTGCCAAGCGTGGCAACTAATGGCAAAACTCCCCTTATGGAGAAGGCTTATGTCCAACAATGGACAAGTAACAGTCTGTCCCATTTGTGTTTCAACCATGAAGCAGTTGTGTTTGCATGGCTGCGTTTCGGTTTGAAGGGTGGGATATGGCGTGAATTTACAGGGTACAGAGGAATAACACCTGAGTCCTCAGGAATGGCAACGCATGGGCGAAACAGTATACTCTATTATGCCCATGGTACAGCTCATGTCTATAGGCGACGGTTACCACTTTCCATCAGGTGGGCCGTCAGCTTGTTTGCCATTTTAAGTTGTATAAAAAAAAAAAGTTGATATTGTATGTTGTCCAGTAACTTCACTGCTATAAGCCTAACTGACCTGCCTTTTCATTCTCACCTATCATCCCTCACTGGTGCCCCTCCAGCGTATACTGTTAGTGCAGGCGGGAGTAACCATTCCATTATCATCCAATGAAAAAAAAACTTCTCTTATAACACCTCACCTGTTTACTCATCTCGTCCAACATGCTGACCAGCTCCGGTTGGCGGGCGTCCGCCAGAGCCTTGCTGCTGATCCTCGACACGTTGTTGACCTGCTGCCGGCTGGTCCAGATGAGGTCGGCCAGCAGCTCGCACCACTCCTGGATCACGTTCAGGTTGGTCTGCATTTGAACGCCGTTGCCGCTCAGTTGCTGTTCGCGTTTCCATCTGTGTGAGTAAAAATTTTCGTGAGCAAGTTTAACATGTACTGAGTAAGTTTAACATGTCCTGAGTAAGTTTAACATGTACCGAGTATGTTTAACATGTACCGAGTATGTTTAACATGTACTGAGTGAGTTTAACATGTACTGAGCAAGTCTAACATGTAATAAGTTAGTTTGACATGTCTTGAGTAAATTTAACATGTACTGAGCAAATCTAACATGTAATGAGTAAATTTGACATGTCTTGAGTAAATTTATTATGTATTAAGTTTAATAATTGTATTTGTTATAATATTTTAATTAACTATTTAAAATTTTCATTTGTTGAATAAGTGTAATATTTTCTAAGTTTGAAATTGTTAAATTACTGTTAACCGTGTAAGATTAACATAATCGCGTAAGTCTATCATTAATAAAACAAGTTTAAAATTAATTTTAAAGTTACCCATAAAGTGTCTATGCTTAATTGTGTAAGTTAAACATTAACTATATAAGTCGAATATTTTTATTGTAAAATTTATCGCTAACTTTAGTTTTTAATACTCTAAACTGATCATTAACGCTTGTTAGATCTCATCACAGTGATCACACTTCCAGACATTTTTTTTATACAACTTAGAATGGCGAACAAACTGACGGCGCACCTGATGGAAAGTAATAACCGTCGCCTATAGACATGAGCAGTACCATGGACAACAGAATATACTGTTTCGCCCATGATACTCCACATGCGTTGCCATTCCTGAGGACTCAGATGTTATTCCTCTGTACCCTGTAAATTCACTGTCATATCGCACCCTCTCAAACCGAAACACAGCCATGCAAACACAATTGCTTCACGGTAGAAACACGAATGGGACAGAGTGATCATACTCACTTTATAAGCTCTCCATCCAGCACTTGACTCTGCAGCTCTCCGAGTATACTGATATTCTCCTTAAGGTGATCCACCAATTCCAGTTGAGCGTGGTTGATCTGCGCAATCTGGGGGACAGGAGACATCATTAACCGATGTGAAGAAGAGGGGAGGGGACTATAAGCAAACGATGACAGATTCGACGCGTATTAACAAAACTCGTTGTTTGGGCTAGTTTCATGGTGATAATCCGATACCGGTCGCATCGCACGGCTAAAAGGTCGTTTTACCACACAAGAGAGTGCTGTCGCATCGCACCTGAGCGCAACTATGTTCAGATTGATAAAAAAAAAAAAAGTAATATGGCGTTGGCGCGAAAAAGTGATAATGGGTTGTTAGCAGCAATATGCTCTGTTTTGTGTATTTATTTTATAATAAAGGACATATAAGTGAAGTTCATAGTTTCATAATAAGACTAAGTTTCTATTAATGGAATAACTGATATGTGTGTCATGGACATGTGAAGTACCCGACATCACGCCACCCTATTCAAATACAACATTTGTGCGTGCTCCGGTGCCTGTGAGGATCCTTAGCTGCGCCGTGGAGAAAGACAGCAAACCCAGGAGACAGGTGAACCAGCACATCAAAGAGGTACGATTAATTTAAGTTGTTGCGAACGGCATACCGGTCTAGGAAAGTCATTGTTAACCGCCCTCTCTGCCGACCCCTTGGACTTTTAGTTTTTCGCCCATACACTCGTAATGAGCTCTCGTGGGCTTGACAAAGTGATACAGCCTTCACAATGTAATGGGTGGCTGTAATGGGTGGATCGAAATGAGAGTTAAGTCCCTTTTCAGGAGGACACTGAACGTAAAGATCGCCATGATTGTGGGGATGGGGCCCTAAGAAGAATGGGTATTAAAGTTGTCAACATAAGGATAGAGGCGTATATGTACGGATAGAGGCGTGTATGTACGGATAAAGGCGTGCATGTAAGTATAGAGGTGTGTGAATGAGTATAGAGGCGTGTGTACGAGTATAGAGGCGTGCATGTAAGAATAGAGGCGTTTATGTGAGTATAGAGACGTGCATGAGAGTATAGAGGCGTGTATGCGAATATAGAGACGTGCATGCGAGTATAGAGGCGTGTATATAAGAATAGAAGCGTGTATGTGGGTATAGAGACGTGTGTGTGAGTATAGAGGCGCATATGCAAAGATATAGGCGTGTACGTAAAGATAGAGGCATGAATGTGAGTATAGAGACAAATATGACGTCCTCACCATAATGTTGAGTTTCCTCTCCATCTCCTCGATCTGGAGTCGCAGGCACGCCTCGAAATCTCGTCTCTCGGTCGTCATCGGCGATTGTTGGAGGTAGCTCATGTGACCTGTACATTGCGATGGTTACACTAAACCGTTTGGCGACGCTGACGATGGTGATGAATCCTGACCGTTTTCAATACAGCAACCGCTGTGACTGCATGGTTGTGGTACACTAATGACTCGCCCGGGCTTTACATGGGTAGATAGAAATATATAACCTGTGTTACTGGCTGATAATATAGCTTTGTATAGGTGAAAGAATTCTTAAAATCGATTGAGTAGTTTTTGAGTTCTGGATGAACAAACAAACCTTCCTTCTTCTTTATAATATTAATATGGACTAGCGCCTCACACCGGCTTTGCAGGATTTTTTTTAAATAATACATAACCCATGGTTTTCATTGGTAATGTAGCTTTGTATAGGTGATAGATTTTTTTAAATTGGTTTACTAGTTTCTAAGTTAATCTATTACAAACAAACGAACATACAAAAATCAAATCATTCCTATTTATAATATAATCTTTTTTCAAATAGATTACAGCCTATTTTATGCGCTCTTAATGTATATATTTATACAAGTGAAAGAATTTTTAAAATTGATTTTTTAAGATAGATAAAATTTTAAATATGTTATTTTATGCAATGGCCCACATGATTGAAAGTGGTAACCATCGCCTATACACATGAACTGTACCATGGACATATCATGGCAGTGAATTTACAGGGTACAGAGGAATAACATCCGAGTCCTCAGGAATTGCAACGCATGGGGGGTATCATGGGCGAAACAGTATACTCTATTATGTCCATGGTACCGCTCATGTCTATAGGCGACGGTTACCACATTCCATCAGGTGGACCGTCAGCTTGTTTGCCATTCTAAGTTGTATAAAAAAAAGTCAGTTTTTATGGAGCATAATGTGTTATTGCCGTTCTCAAGTAGCTGCTCACCCTTCTTCTTGACACACTCGTGGTACTCGAGCGAGAACGACTCCATGTTGGCGTTCCAGTTGTTGATCTCCTTGCCGACCAGGCTCACCTTCTGCTGCACAGTCCGCAGCCCAGTCAGCAGCTGTGCACGGACATTCACATTAAAGCTACCTATTAAATCATTTATTTTGTAATAAAATAAATATATCATCATCATCTTCCTACCCTTATTCCAATCATTTGTGGTCGGCGTAATATGATTTTATCCATATTACAAAAAGATTTGGTTTTTAGTTTTACGACCGGCCACCTGCCTGACGTCAACCCTCTTTGGGAATGCATTTGTTGGTGGTTTAAAATAAATAGATAATAAGAGATAAATAAATTATTCATCGTCATCATCATACCAGCCTTTAACTGTCCACTGCTGAACATAAGCCTCCCCCTTGGGGGGTTTTGCCAGTAGTTGCCACGCTTGACAGGCGGACTGGCAACCGCAGTCAGGCTTTAGAGGTGTTTTAAGAGGGACGCTGCTGCCCATCCCTCGCCCTCCCTTAGCCAACCACAAGAAAGGAAACGGTGGCACATTCTATGCGATTTAGTATATGAGGTACCACACGACTATCGTAGCTTACTATTTTTTTTTGATGGGTGAAAATAGAATGGTAAGGCAGGCGAGGTAGGGGTCTCGGGGCATACCCCATTGACCCAGCTTCAACTCCGAACGCTACCACCTCCGGGTCAATTGGTTTTAAGCCGAGCACTGGTGGTATGTGTATATCGGCGTGTCATTCTCTTCTTCTTTCCTGAGGGTGGCGATGTGGGAGGGTCCTCCCTCTCTTCTCTTTTGTATTTTTTTTTATATATTACAAAATGGTCTCTTTTCTTCCCTCTCGCCCGTTCCCAATAATCAATATAAAAGGTAATAATAATAATAACTTTATTGTAGCTAAAAATGGGGTACACAGTTTATTATACAGTGATTACTACACTAGGCTCGCAGGCCTGTACCGTAATAGTCAGTGAGTGGCTAATTAAGTTAATTCATATTTATTGCCATTTACAGTCCGGTTCTTGTACAATTTTATCATTTAGGCAACTAAGCATGTGCGCAACTAGATGGCGCTGTGTGTTGTATGTCCAATGTAAAGGTAGGTATCATCCACTTACTTCGCTGTATTTCCTCTCCGTTTGCGGCGGCGACACGTACTGCGTTCCCATCGCCTTCTGTATTAGCGCCAGCTCCCGAGTGAGGCATTGTCGCATATAGTTGAATAACTCTTGAGGCGCGTGGCTGCAGACGAACATAGTTATTCCTATTAGTGTTACAAATCCCTACATAAATACCATTATAACGATGCCCACAGTCATATTTTATCATCGCACTGTACGCCATCTACAGGGAATTCATCCTTACACGTTTGAACCTAAATGATCACGTATGTTGCGGTTTCAAAGAAATTTTCTCTGCTCCTCCCTGAAACTCCCTGCCGAGGTTTTCTCTTAAGACTACATGGTATTTACAAGAGCAGTACCATGGACATAACAGAGTATACTATTTCGCCCATGATACCCCCCATGCGTTGCCATTCCTGGGGACTCAGGTGTTATTCCTCCGTACCCAGTAAATTCACGCCATATCCCACCCTTCAAACCGAAACACAGCCATGCAAACACAACTGCTTCCCGGTTGAAACACGAATGGGACAGAGGTAACCAAGCAATCGACTTTTGTACAAAGTCTCCCTCTGGTAGGATTTAACAGAGGTTTCGAAGCTTGTAAGCGTTTGAGGTCCACAGGCGAACTGCGTCACTTGTTTTTCTATTTGGCATTTTTGTATGAAGTGTATGGGCTGTATGGGGTACGCATTTCACTCACCCGTACTGCATCTGTATGTTCTTGGCCGCCTCCAGAAGCTTCATCTTGGTGACGAACATATCTGGGGTGTGCAGCATGTCGGCGTGCGTGCTGATCTCGTGCACCAGCTCGTCCACGAAGAACTGCTGCTGCTCCTCCGACTCCACATTCCTGAACGGGATAGAAACAGTTTTTCTTTTTATATATATATATATATGACAATGATAGAGGGCAAAAGAAGAAGAGGAAGACCGAGGATTAACTACATGGGACAGATAAAGGAAATACTAGGTGTCATGTCGTATAGAGAGATAAAGGATATGGCCTGGGATAGAGCTGGCTGGAGGAAGATGCATGGCACCAGTGAGAGATGATAGGTGACGATGAAAAAGGTCAGTTAGCACATCGTAATGAAAACACCAGAAATTCAGCACGATGGTTTCCAGCGGGGACCACGTGGAAGTAGACCTGACAGGGTATATTACTAGCAATGGTGATTAACGTCCCCATTCCGCAAAAGTGTACACCTGTGCGGAGCCGGGACGGGCCGCTAGTAAATAAATAAAATGAAATATAATCGTATACTCACCACACTCTGTTCTCAATCCATAACGCCAAACAGTGGCGAACTTCGATGGGGAAAGTGTCTCTGTAAATGGAGCGTACCTGGAATAATATGAAAAAATAGATAAATAGATATATAATTCATTTACATTACTTACAGCAAACAAATAACAACAGACATTAAAAAAAAAAGGAAAGAGTATATATTGAGAGAAGAATATATATATATATATATATATATATATATATATATATATATATATATATATATATATATAGTCCTCCATCATTCTTTTATATATATATTATATATAAAATTCTCGTGTCACGGTGTTTGTTACCAAACACCTCCGAAACGGCTTTACCGATTTTTATGAAATTTTGTGTGCATATTGGGTAGGTCTGAGAATCGGCCAACATCTATTTTTCATACCCCTCAATGATAAGGGTGACCCTCCCCAAAAATATTTATTTTTTATTTCATTAACAAATTTTTTCATTTTTATTTTATTATGATTTAGCATTGAAAAATACATACAACCTCAAATTTTCACCGTTTTACGATCAACCCCTGTCTTTTGATCGCGATTTTTATATTTCGCAATAAGTGGTAAAACAACGTTTACGGGGTCAGCTAGTATATACATATACATAAAAAATATTAATTCCCTCTCGCGCCACCTGCCCACTTCTATCTGTTCTCCTTTAACCAAAGGTTGCCTGTAAGAGATCGCCCTAGCGATAAGACCGCCTTTTGTACCTTTATGTGTATATTTTAATCTGTACTCCATGCTAGTGTATTTCACTTGAATTGTTTTTATGTCATTGTTTATTTTTATGTTTTTGGTGACAATAAAGAGTTAAATAAATAAATAAATATTGTTGCATCCTAATAAAAAAATCTGAACTAGATGCAAGTGTCTTGTAATTTTTACTTCAAATTAATTATACTTAAATGGTATACTCTGTTATGTCCATGACAGAGTGTTTACGAAATTTTTACCTATATAATTATTACCTATTACTAGGCGACGTGCTGAAAAAGGGCCAAATTAAAAGTACCCGTAACCGGCGAGCGTGTATGAAAAGATTGATGATCGTTTGAATCGAAGCATTTGGCGTTCCATTGTTTCTGCCTAACCTAATGGGAGACAGGCGTGACAGACATGTATGTATGTATGTATAATTATTACCTCTTGCAAGCACTCCGGCGGGAGCTGTTGAGCCCTGGCCCAGAGCGACATCTTGCTTCTGAAATTAACAAATACTCAACTATCATGTTTCACAAGACGAAAACAAATAACAATTGTGGCAAAACCAGTTATTTTATAGAAAAAAAAAACGTCACCAGAGGGAGACTTTGTACAAAAGTCGTTTGCTTGACTACCTCTGTCTCATTCGTGTTTCTACCGTGAAGCAGTTGTGTTTGCATGGCTGTGTTTCGGTTTGAAGGGTGGGATATGGCGTAAATTTACAGGGTACAGAGGAATAACACCTGAGTCCTCAGGAATTACAACACATGGGGCGGTATCATGGGCGATTCAGTATACACAAACAAACAAGTAGTCAAACAAGCTGACGGCCCATCTGATGGAAAATGGTAACCGTCGCCTATAGACATGAGCAATACCATGGGCATAACAGAGTTTACTCTTTCGCCCATGATACCGCCCCATGCGTTGCCATTCCTGAGGACTCAACTGTTATTCCTATGTACCCTGTAAATTCACTGCCATATCCCACCCTTCAAACCGAAACACGGCCATGCAAACACAACTGCTTCACGGTAGAAACACGAATGGGACAGAGGTAGTCAAGCAAACGAATTTTGTACAAAGTCTCCCTCTGGTAAGTCCACCAAATGTACATACAATATTACATTTTTATATTTTAATATATTATTTTTTCGATTACCTGGTACTTCTACAAGATAAAGTTCTTTTGTACATTACTACATCCACAGTTGAACACACACACATACACACTCACCAAATTGTATTAACTGAGGTCTTGCAATCCTTATGTTTGTCTGAAACAAAAAAAAAACAAATTTTATTAACTGGTAACAAACACAAAGAAATATCAACCGAATAAACGATAAAAAATTTCTGTGAGATCACTGCCAGCTGGTAGGGTACGTAGGAGACTTGCTGCATTTCCACGCTGAATAGCAATGGAAATGCGTTGATTGAAAAATATAGGCCAGAACTGAACTGAACTTGATATTCACAACGATATTCACTCTGTATTCATGGCTAAATTAAAATGTTGATGTACCTCGCCATTGCATTATATTTATTTATAATTTATAATAATTTAATTACAATTCCCATTATTTATATTATATTATTATTCATATTGTTAATATCTTTACTCATATAATGACATTTAATAATTTAATTCTATTTTAATGTTTATCAAACACAAGGCATGCTGTGGTCGCCTATAAATGTAAGAACAGTTAGATCTAATCTACCAGTGTATTGTATTGAAATGTTTCGCTGTATCTTATGTGGGTGATCCTATAAATAAATAAAGACATTTTTTGAAGTCGGTTTAAAACAAAAGTTAGGAGTGAAATTGCCGGGTATGAAGGTGCAACAACGCAGTCCTCAAAAATGGCATTAGAGAACGCATAAAGAGTCCCAGTATTATTTGGCCATAGTACTGCTCATGTCTATAGGCTGCGGTTTTGCTTGCTGGAAGAGATTGTTGGTAATGGGTACTGAGAATCCCATTGCTAGCAATATACCCAACCAGGTCGACCTCCACGCGGTTCCCCCTGGAAACTATCATGGTTAATTCCTGTTGAATTCATCATGATGGGCTAACTGGCCTGTTTTCATTCTCATCTATCACCCTTCACTGGTGCTCTGCCAGCGTATACCGTTAAAAAACTACCCCCCCACCCCTCAATAGGGGAAAGCCTCTGTTCAGCAGTAGACATTTAATGACTGATAAGACGACTATGATTTGGGGCTGTTAATTTCCATTGCTAATCTACTATTAATTGACGTGCATTTGTTACCAATTTAGGCATTGATAATATGGATACCGATTCGATATCTTAATAAGGGGTGGGGGATGGTGGTGGGCTCTTCATCCTACACAAGCTCACTATGCCCTACTCTTTCCAAGCACGTCTACTTGGTGGCAGGAGCATGATCTAAACATACTTAGACGACTTCTTTAGTCACCTTCTACTGGAGGAGAAGGGATTGTTAATAATGAAGACTAAGGGCCCCATTGCTGGCAATATGGCTGGCAAAGTGGTCCCGGCATAGAATAGGCCACCCCTTCCTAACTCGTGGGCGTAGAGGCGACTAAGAGAGGGCGAGGGATGGGCAGCAGCGTCCCTCTTAAAACATCTTTACTCTAAAAAGCCTAACTGCGATTGCCAACCTGCATGCCAATCTTAGCGACTACTGGCAAAACCCTCAAAAAGGAGGCTTATGTTCAGCAGTGAACAATTAAAAGTCGATGATGATGATGAAATAAATAATAATTTGATATTATTTACAATAATTAGATAGTGGATTTAGTGATGGGCAGAGAAAGACCTAAAAACATATTTATTTATTTATTTATAGCAAGGCAACAGATTACAAAATAATAAATTTATAAAATAAATATTACATAAAACAGCATTCAATTTGTACTCCAATAACTGCTCTGCATAACATTCTTTATTAGAAGCATTAAAAAAAAATGACGGCTATAAATTTAAGGTAACAAATTGGCAGCCTTAATGTAACGTTGCAAGAATTGTTGGAAAATATCAAGCTCCTTGCATACATTGTTATATTTTCTGCACATGCGGATAATTGGATACATGGATGGATTGTCTGGAAGACGATACGACCAGAATGGGAGTGAGCGCGGAGAATATGAGAATGGGAGAGAAAAACATATTACGCCTACCACAAATATTAATTGGGATAAGGGTAGGAAGATGACGATGAATTCGACAGTGAGTTAAAGAATTTATCTATATATATATATATATATATATATATATATATATATATATATATATATATATATATATATATATATATATATATATATATATATATATATATATATATATATAGATATAGATCTCTTCCAGTCAACCCAGTACAGTAAGAAAGCATTTCGTTAGCAGGCAGATGAAGTACTACAACTATTAATACATAAACAAATATACAATTATACATACCTTTTATATTTATAAATGACGTAATTGTTACTAGATTTTAATTCAACCAATAAGACTCCACTGATCAATTAGTGTAGCCCTAATCAATCACTAATAGCTTTGTCAATTAATTTACAATCACCAATCTGGTGATATCAGATTTTTATTCAAATTAACAATATAAAATGACAAATAAAATATTTACAGCAAGGTAAACTTTCTTCAATGCGTATACGTGCGCTCCAAAGCTTCGTATAGTATAGAATGATAATAGAGTGACGCGGAACACGTGCGCACCGCTCTAATGCTACACTTGAACTAAGCACTGAAGCGACGCGCCGGCGAAAAGAATTAGTGTCTTACCCGCACTAAAAAGAGGTACTATACTGTAAGCCAATCAAAGACCTTACCGCCATTGTCTTATGCCATTGTTACATTAAAAAAATAAATCTAATATTTGTTGGTTGTCAGTTGCCACGCTTGGCAATTATTAACAACCGCAGTTAGGTTTTAGAGATGTTTAAGAGGGACGCTGATGCCCATCCCTCGCCATCACTTACGACACCCACAGGACAGGAAGGGATGGTCCATTCTATGCTGGGACAACACAACCATTTAGATTTTGTGTGCATCTGTAATTAGTATAAATGCAAGATGCAAGTCTTATATATAAATTAAAATTTATATCTGTAATTTATATCATTTTAAAATAAAAAAAAAAATAAAAAATCCTGAGGACTACGGTGTTACGTCTGCCATACACTTGTAATCTCACTGACATGTCCCATCCCTTCAAAATAAAAAAAAGACGTTCCATATAGAGCATATTCCTTTTTAAAAGGCCGGCAGCACACCTGCAATGCCGTAGGTGTTGTGGGTGATCATGGGCGGCGGTAGTCACTTACCATCAGGTGAGCCGCATGCTCGTTTGCCCCGTGTTGTAAAAAAAAAAAATTCAAAATTGACATTCTAGACTCCATAATGTAGAAATTTTTTGCTAAAACAGTCCATATTACATCTAATAACAAGGAATTACATAGAAGGAATGATAAAATTAAAACTGTAAATCATACGGTTGCCTCTTTTCTTCTTATGCAAATATAATTAGTAAAAAGAGGACGAAAGATACACCATCATAGAAAATGTTTCATATGTCAATTATTTGTCAATGACAAATTTTACATTACTAGATTATATATTCGACACAGTTTATGTAGAAAGTATGCAAGCAGGTTGCATCTGAATTTGGTAGGGTTATACGGCCGTATAACATTTTCTACACACTAACCTGCTATGAATTGACAATTTTATTACTCCTTCTACGTAATTCCTTATTCTGAGTATTACATAGCGTCTGCAATTAAATATGGCGGATAAGAAAAAAAAAAATTTGAAAGATTGTTGTAAAATAACATTATCAGTTGAATAGATAAGGTGTAGTAATGCCATGCTTATCTGGAGATACATAGAAATTCCAAGAAATAAAATTACATATATAGAATTTATGTGTAATTTTGAGAAATAAACTTTATCAATGTGGATATATATTAATAATTAATAATATGAGCCCGCCTATAGACAAGAAGCCAGATATGACAGTTTTTTTTTAATAGGTGAAAATAGAATGGTAACACTGCCTGTGCTATGAATACTATGGCGGGGGGGGGGAAAGGGATTGTTAGCAATGGAGTTTGACAGCCCCATTGCTAGCAATATGCCTTATTATAATATGCTAACTGGCCTGTTTTCATTCTCATCTATTACCCTTCACTGGTGCTCCGCCAGCGTATCCAGTCAGCATTGGCGGGATTACCATACCATTTTCACCCATCAAATAAAAAAAACAAACAATTGTCTATAAAAGCTGATATAAAAATACTAATTTATGTATTTATCAACCTGTGCAAAGCCGGGGTGGATAACTATATTATAATTTAGTTATTAATTATATTAATCATCATCATCATCACCATAGCGTCATAGTCGTAGAATACAGACAGATCTATATATGTAATGTTTGTCAAATCTGTCAGTATTCTACGACTATGACAATATCAGCCTTTAACTGTCCACTGCTAGACAAAAGCCTCCCCCTTGGGAAGGTTTTGCCAGTAGTAGCCACACTTGGCAGGAAAGTTGGCAAGCACAGTTAGGGCTTTAGTAATTTCTAACAAGAACGCTGCTACCTATCCCTCTTCCATTAACTTCCCTCAGTTGCCTCTTACAACACTCACAGGAAAGGAAGGGGCGGCGCATATCAGAGGGAGACTATATACAAAAGTAGATTGCTTGGGTACCTCTGTCCCATTCATGTTTCAATCATAAAGCAGTTGTGTTTGCATGGCTGTGTTTCGGTTTGAAGGGTGGGATATGGCATTGAATTTACTGGGTACAGAGGAATAACACCTGAGAATGGCAATGCATGGGGGGTATCATGGGCGAAACAGTATACTCTGTTATGTCCATGGTACTGCTCATGTGTATAGGCGATGGTTACCACTTTCCATCAGGTGGACCGTCAGCTTGTTTGCCATTCTAAGTTGTATAAAAAAAAAATCTATAACGGGACCTACAAGGCGAAATATTCGCCGAAATTTCGGGGCCGAATGAAACACAAATTCGATGTTAAAATTACATAATAATACCTTTTAAAAATATTTAAAATGTTAAAATATCCATCCTTTGGACTATTATGGTAGAGTTTATGACGAACGACATGTTAATCTCTATTTATTTGGCCTATTTATGTATAAACAAAACAAGAAATTGAGTCTGAAAATTAAGAAATTTCATTTCATGGTAGAGTCCCATGTCGACCTCCACTTAAACCCTATAATCTACTGTGATTAATTTCTAGTATATTTGTCATGATGAGCCGCCTAACTTGACTACAAACTCAAAAATAAAACAGCCACAGTTACTATTACATGTTTATTTATTTAAAAAAATCACTAATATAACAATAATTACGTGATTATGACAGACAAAAACATAATTTTGTTGTAACATACATCAGAAACGATTAAGGAAAAATTGCGTTTAAACAATAATACATTCATAGAAATAAATTAAATATGCACATACAAAATAAAGCTCATCATAACACAACAAAATTCAGTTTCCCTACACAATATTATTACGATAAAAGTGTACTCACGCCATTGAAATATTCCCACGATGTAGAAAACACTAATTGACACACTAATTAATAAATTATTAACAAATTTAATAACATAGTCCTTGAAGATAAATCCGAACGATCAAATAAAAATCATAAAACAAATAAAAAAATTTTTTTTTTTTTTTACATCTAATAATTTCAAGTGCGTCGTCGTTTAACCAGACAGCCACTTGTTGTTTTATCCTATCGCCGGGGTATCAAACCGTTTACCTGTATCGAGCGAACGTCCGCTCCGTAACAAATTCCCGTAGCGATTTCCAAGAATTTTGACGTTTAAACACACGCGCGCACACACACACACACATAAAAAGCAGACATGACATGATGCGAGTGCAAATAGGGACGTACAGAAACGAAATGCATCGACAAATCTAAAAATAATTAAAATAACAATAAGTATCGAATAGAAAGGTATTCTAGAGACGAGAATTTGGTACGTTTTTTCGAGCTGTACGTTTTTATCAAAAAGCATTAAAAAAAACTTTACCCTTTATGTTTTTATCAATTATCTATTAACGTCTAAACACGACACGAAAAAATTAAGAATTATAAGTTATAGGCTAGTAAAGTAAAGGTAAAAATGGGCGTGACAGGGTTGCCACGATTCCAACCTTTCTAGACAAATAAAAAAGAAATTAAAATATTCTTATTTTTTTTTTACAATACAGTATTTTACATACCAGTAAAATACAAAATTTAGATTTAACTTTGGTAGACGGACATAAAAGGGCATAAAAAAGATCCATATTAAAATTCTAATTAGTAGATTCATTAGAACATATCAATCATATTGAAAAATTTGTTTCGATAAAAATGCGTTTAAACTGTTTGAGTTTACTTGTTAGTGATACTAATATACTTCTGCTAACAGTTTCGATTTTTGAAACTCGGCTTTGGAACATATTTTTGTCTAAATGTTAAAATATCTATTTTAGAAATATTTATCGAGAAATAAACGAATATTATTGCCTGTACTGATGGTGTCGGATTTTTCGATACAGTAAAAAAGAAACTATTTCGAATTAAGAATATCGATTACTTTTTTTCTGGTCACGCAGACAATGCCGCGAGTAAAGCGCTACATTACGTCATCATCAAGTCACAAACTATCAAAAATTATACTTCGGGCTTTTTTTAAAGAGTTAAAGTGTAAAAAAAATAATGTTATAATGTTAATGTTTCCAATATAAATTATGTACAATAAAGCTTTTACAATACAATATAATGTAAGGCTGGATACTGCAACAAATGAGTATGTGGTCGGCCCCCGAACTGGCGACCTCTGCCGTCTACCGGTCCCCAATTCGAGGGACGACCGGTCACCGGCCGGGATGAAAGCTGGTCAGATAACCGATCGTGGCGAAATTTGAAAAAAATAACCACAATGGTTTCCAGAAACAACCGCATAGAGGTCTACCTGATAGGGTATGTTGCTAGCCATGGAGCATCCTTTTTCCCCAGTACTATCAATACATTATATTGTGCAAAGTTTAAAACCGTTACAATAAAAAAACCAAGTACATAGGTACAATATAAAAAAGTTGAAAGGGCATGGCAACAACTACTAAACCTAGAGGTCAAAAGGTTAAAATAGCTAGTTCGGAATATTAAGAGTAGATAAGTATTTCGCAAAAAATAAATAGATGCAATCAATAGCCAAATAATAGTTGTTGATAAAGAGTCTGTTGTATTTAACACGTAAGATGTAATAGAAATACACATTACCTACGGAAAGATAATAAAATGAAAATCTTAAAATATAATAGTCGTGTACTAAATTCTGATGAATGATGTCTGTTCAAAACATTCTATCGAGACGTAGAATTATATTGAAAAACCTTGAGTTAGTCTTACGTCCTTTAATATAATAAGATATACAGTAATAATATATCCAATAAAACTACCCACATATAATAATATATTGTAGATAAATGTATACAAATATTAGACTTTAAACTCAATCAAAGGTTTTATTATTAATTTATTATTAAGTTGAAATCGATTAGATATCGATACAAAAATAATAGTAACTACATAAGCGCATCCCTAAGCACAAACACATGTACAGAATTTTAATTTTAGCCGAATCAACAAACAATGACCTTTAACTAAAACTTACCTTCTGTAGTTGAACAAATGGTGTCTTCCAGCTGTATTTCAAATAACTTCACATCATAAAATGCACTTGTTACACTAATTAAAGCCTGAATAATATTTGTCCAAAATAATTCCATAAAATATAAGGAACAACCGGTGTATGACGCAGTAAGATACAGCACAAAATTATCAGACTGATGACAAAAGATTGACTGACAGTTTGATGGTATCATATGTCGGAATGTTAGTCGGAATGAACTGACATAAATTAAAATTGTCAATGTCACAAAAATTGATATTCTTAATCTATGGCACTACGATTATTTAGATAGATAGATAGATAAACACTTTATTTGAGCCATTTTGTTCGCGACATTATTTGTATATATCGTAATTTATAGTTGTTAAGTCCTAGTTAATCGTTTTGTATTCTGTTATTTTATATAGATTTACATAGATTTAAGATAGTGTAAGTTAAATAAAGTATTCCTTTGTGTGTTGTCCTTATTACCTACGAATAGAAATAGAAATTGTAACAATAAATAGAATTAAGAAATTGTAAATTGCAATAAATAAACGCTATAGAGTACCGATCTGAAGAGACACGCGTCTCGTTCTTTCTCGCCCCGTCCCGCTCGCGCAGATTCGCTAACGCGAGTTGGAAATGTTATCGTGCGAGCGGGCGGGTATAAAGATAGGCCGCCTCTCGTCGAGCGGCATTCGCTTCCGAGCAGCGACGCACTACACTCTCGAGAAGAAATAGGACAAGAAGAAAAATACTCTCTTCAGACGGTACCGGAGGCTTCAGAAGAGTAATCCCTGTGTTTCACTCCAGCCTGAACCAACGCCCCTACAGTCCACGCTCACCGAACGGCAGTCCACACCGTTCACATTTAACACACGTAAATTAATGAATAAAATGATACAATTTAATTATTTACATTTTTTCATTTTTTATTTACACAGTTATGCATATGACTTAGAAGTATTATTATTATATAAGCTAACTAAACTTTTAAATCTTAAATAACTAATGAAATCATATCATTTGGTATGCCTCCATAATTATAATATTAATTTAATTTCTTGTAATAATTGCTATGTACGGCTTATATAGATTATTGATTGTACAAATTGTTATAATATTGTTTGTTATATTTTTTTTTCACTACGCTAAATGGAACGCTTTTTTGGCGATAAATAAAAAATAAAAAGTAAATTAAATCGTTATAAAATTGATACGTACGGATGTACCGCTTGGTCTTTGGTCGAGAAAGCTCTTCTAGAATATATTGATTGTCCCAATACTCTTCTAGCATTTCTTTTGTTGGTATTTTACTGTGATTCCTGCCATTATCATGATTAAAAAAAAAAAAAAAACTAATGAAAACTACAAACCTCGACTCTAACGCCATCTAGGACCTTCACCAAAGGATTGTATAAAAGTTGTTTGCTTGGCCACCTCTGTCCTATTCGTGTTTATACCGTAATGCATTTTGTATAAGACTTTTGAAGACCAATAAAAGCTTTTTTCTCTTTTAGGTCTTATATTGTTGTCTCCTTTTTTTTTCATCTCTTTCTTTGATCAATTAAGTCTCTCTACTGCTTTAAATGCTAGTTTTTACTTATTCTTTGGGTATTTTGTTCCCTTTTCCAACCGACTATATTTATTGTTATTTTTTAATGGTAAAAATGAAATGGTAACCCCGCCTGCGCTATTGATATACGCTAGTGGGGCACCAGTGAGGGATAATAGGTGAGGATGAAAACAGATCAGTTAGCCCATCGTGGCGAATTTCACAAAAAATTATCACGATGGTTTCCAGGTGGAACTGCGTAGAGGTCGACCAGATACGGTGCATTGTTAGCAAAGGAGTAGTTAACCCCCATTACTAACAATCCCCTTATCCCATATTTATTATGTTTGTACCTTATAACTCAATCAGTTTTAAACCGATTTGGATTTTTTTTTATCTCAAAGAATAAGGAACGGCGGTTACCACTTATCATCAGGTGGACCGTCAGCATGTTTGCCATTCTAAGTTGTATATAAAAAAAATTGAAACGGGATGGGCATAAAGAGAAAAATAGATACTTATTGCAAATATCTTTTTTTTATTTAAATAGTAAAATGGCTAAAATCATTGTCAAATCATTTCCGAGTGGTTTTGTTTACAAAGATATATTTATTATATTTTCTCTACATTTCATTAAAACATTAAAACTTTTGAATAAATAATTTATAAAAACAATATTAAAAAAAAAACAAAGCTAAAAGAGGTCAGTTACTGATAGCATTTCTTTTAATACAGCATCAAAACATTTCAGTAATTGTTTTGTAATCAATTATTATGTATTTTGCGATTCGTCCAACAAATTGCACAATAATTGCTGTTAACTTTTTATACCACGAAGGGCCAAACAACAAGCATACGGCCAGTCTGATGGTAGACAAATTCAAAATAAAAATTTTATATGAATAACCTATAAATATTTTCAAGGTTCATTTGTGTATCTTTATTCCACTTTAACTTCTAAACGCCTGAACAGATTTGTTTGTATGCTGTGTGTGGATAACATACAGCAATATACATATATATTGTACCAACACTATCTATATATTGTTTTTTTTTATACGACTTAGAATGGCAAACAAGCTGACGGCCCACCTGATGGAAAGTGTTAACCGTCGCCTATAAACATGAGCAGTACCATGGACATAACAGAGTATACTGTTTCGCCCATGATCCCCCCCATGCGTTGCCATTCCTGAGGACTCAGATGTTAATCCTCTGCACCCTGTAAATTCACTGCCATATCCCACCCTTCAAACCGAAACACAGCCATGCAAACACAACTGCTTCAAGGTAGAAACTAGTATAATTAATTTAATAATGGATATAATATATAGGGTTTATCCAATATATAATAATGAAATGAGGCACCCGGTCGTAATGAACATAGATATCCGACTGATATGGGAGATCTCGAAATGGATGATGACCCAGCGGAATATCTAATATATATATATATTGGAGTGATACAGATAGTACCCGATAGTACAATAGTATAGTTAAAATCCTTCAATAATCTCGTGAGACTATATTTTTTTTAATAGTTCATTTCTTGGCAAGGAAGTCGTATTTTTAATTCCTTCTATTACAATTGCTATAACCACTTTGATACAACACAAAGTCAATTTGCCTCAATTGTTAACCATCTTCACATTCCACGTGCCATCGCTCGCTTCTTCCAGGAAATCATTCTGCACCCCCTGGACGGCCACTACGTACTGCTCTCCTTGCATATCCTCGATTTGGATCTCCACCGGATCCACTTCCATTTCCACCTCCTTCTGTATCATGCCCACCAGCTCTGCGTACTTATGCTTCTGTTCCTCGGTCATGTTCGAGGGGTTATGGTTTTTGAGATGGTACTTCAGGTGACTGCTTTGCTTGAATTTTTTCTGACAGATGCCGCATTGGAACGGCGACACGTTTGTGTGTGTCCGCATGTGCTGTTTGAGGTGTACGGACTGACAGAATGCTTTGTTACAGATGACACAGCGGTACGGTTTCACTTTGGTGTGTATGCGAAGATGCTGGTCGAGGCCGGACTTCTGGGTGAACGCTTTGGGGCAGAAGGTGCAGGGGAATGGACGGTCTCCAGTGTGCATCCGCATATGTTGTTGGACTCCGCTCTGGAATATAAACATTGAATCATTATTTCAACCATTACCTGTCCACTGTTGGACATAAGGGGAGTTTTGCCAGTAGTTGCCACGCTTGGCAGGCGGGTTGGCAATCACAGTTAGAATTTTAGAAAGAAGATCTTGGCAATTTAAAGATGTATCTTATCAGAAATCTACACTAATATTATATTATAAAGAGGATAGATTTGTATTTTTGTGTGTATGTATGTTTGTAATGAATAAAATCAAAAACTACTTTGCCGATTTCAAAAATTCTCTCATCATTAGAAAGCTACATTCACCCTGAGTAACATAGGATATATTTATTGCTAGAAAAGATTAGGGATCCTTACTAAAACTTTAGTAACGTAACTTAAGATGTAAAAAAAATGCTATGAAATATCTTTGGTCGCGTGCGCTGCGGAAACTATTGGTGATAGAACAAAAGCATGTTTTACAATATTGAAGAAAATATCGATAACTACAAAAAACTTCCCGACACTACATGTCCAACTATTATCGTTATGTCACAATAACCACTTATTAAAATGTTGTAAAAATGTTCACCCGTGCGAAGCCGGGACGGGCCGCTAGTATTAAATATTTAACAAAACTTTAAGTTTTAGTTTATTTCCTTTCTCTCTGTAATAAAACAAGATATTTTTTTACCTGTTGTGTGAAGCGTTTGTAGCAAACTGTGCATTCGAATGGCTTCAGTTTCACGTGAACTATAGACATGTGATCCATGAGCTCCTTGTTGGTCTGGAAACCCACGCCGCATACCTGCAAACACACAAACACAATTTGGCGACCTTCATGGCGTTGTGGGGAACATGTCGGATGTCGGATTCGATATTGGTCGAGTCAATTTTTTTTTATACAACTTAGAATGAGAACATGAGCATGGACATAACAGAATGTACTGTTGCGCCCATGATACTCCCCATGCGTTGCCATTCCTGAGGACTCAGATGTTATTCCTCTATACCCTGTAAATTCACTGCCATATCCCACCCTTCAAACCGAAACACAGCCATGCAAATACAACTACTTCACGGTTGTAACACGAATAGAACAGAGGTACCCAAGCAATCGACTTTTGTACAAAGTCTCCCTCCAGTGAGGAAGAATTTTGGAGATAAACTTATATATAATACCACTTTCCATCAGGTGGGCCGTCAGCTTGTTTGCCATTCTTTGTTTTCACTATGTTTTCCAGGGGGAACCGCGTGGAGGTCGACCCGGCAGGGTATAGTGCTAGTAATAGGTCTGTTAGATCTCGTTACTAACAATCCCAGCCGCCCCCCCCCCCAGCAGAGAGTAGTTAACAGCTGATATGCTGATGACGATGATTATGTCGAAGCTTACCTCGCATGGATATGGTATCGCCTCGTCGCAAAGGAGAAGCGGCTTCTCGCAGACCTGGCACCTGTGCCCCTTGCGGCGTCTGGTGTGCTCGTCCCTGAAGTGGACTGAGTACTCGCAGCACGAGAAGAAGATTTGGTGGCATGTGCCGTCCGCCACCAGGGTCGACGGTTGCAGACATTCGAATGGACCCCTGTACCAAATATACATTTTTTTTATACAACTTAGAATGGCAAACTAGCTGACGGCCCACCTGATGGAAAGTGGTAACCGTCGCCTATAGACATGAGCAGTACCATGAACATAACAAAGTATACTGTTTCGCCCATGATACCCCCATGCGTTGCCTTTCCTGAAGACTCAGGTGTTATTCTTCTGTACCTTGTAAATTCACGCCATATCCCACCCTTGAAACCGAAACACAGCCATGCAAACACAACTGCTTTACAGTTGAAACACGAATGGGATAGAGGTACCCAAGCAAACGACTTTTGTCATTACATTACATTTATGTTGAGTCATAAATAATCGAGTCCTCAGGAATTGCAACGCATGGAGTATATCATGGGCGAAACAGTATACTCTGTTATGTGCATAGTACTGCTCATGTCTATAGGCGACGGTTACCACTTTCCATCAGATGGGCCGTCAGCTTGTTTGCCATTCTAAGTTGTATAAAAAAAAGTAGTGTTAATGTATTATATGTGTATTTCTTATGTATTGTTATGTATAATTACGTCACATATTTTTCACCACATCTGCCCTTCATACGCTTTTTGTTTTCACCTAATGGTTAGCTGGTGGGGGGAAAGGGATTGTTTGCAATGGAGTTTAACAGCCCCATTGCTAGCAATATGCCTTATTAGGTCGACCTCCACGTGGTTCCCCCTGGAAACCATCGTGAACAATTCTCGTTGAATTCGTCACGATGGGCTAACTGACCTGCTTCACCCTCACCTATCATCCGTCACTGCTGCCCCGCCGGTGTATACCGATAGCGCGGGTGGGGCTACCATTCCATTATCATCCATCAAAAAAAAACTTACCAAGCTGGTAGAGAATGCCATATGGCATTAAGCTCGCCACTTGTACAAAGTTTTATTGTTGCAATCACTACGTAGTATAAAACAAAGTCGCTGTCGCTGTCTGTCCGTCCTTATGTACGCTTAAATCTTTAAAACTACGCAACGGATTCTTAAGCGTTTTTTTTTAATAGATAGAGTGATTCAAGAGGAAGGTTTATATGTATAATACATGCATAATATTGTAGAGAAACACTGATAAATTTAGAAATTTCTAATGTGATGTCGTAATGTAAAAGGGGGCCGGCGACGCTATTTAGTATCAACATTGTACCCGTGCAAAGCCGGGGCGGGTCGCTAGTAAAGAATAAAATAAATAAATAAATTTATGAACGTAAAAGAAATCGTCAAGTCGGTGTCAGCTTACAGATGCATTGTATGTAGGATCGTTCACACGGTTTAGGAACATTTAAGTGTCGAATAAAGAATTAAAGATAAATGAAAATTCGACGACCCGATTCCACGAATCGACCATATTACCGCAGTAGGTACATGTTGTTTACGTATATTTATTTATTTACTTAGACTAGCGTCTCGCCCCGGCTTCGCACGGGTGCACATTACATCACATTAGAAATATCTAAAATTATCAGTGTTCCTCTACAATATTATGTATGTATTATACATATAAACCTTCCTCTTGAATCACTCTATTTATTAGAAATAACCGCATCAAAATCCATTGCGTAGTTCTAAAGATTTAATCATACATAGGGACGGACAGACAGCGACAGCGACTTTATACTATGCAGTGATATAGAGATAAAATTTTATCTATGTAGTAAGTAAAGTTTAATTTCAAAGATAAATTAATTATATTTTGATTTTAATTATTTTTTTCTTTATTAACCACTTTACAAAAAAGAAATGTTTGGTACAAAAGGCGGATTTAAAGCTTTATTATATGGAAGCATTCTCTCCCAGTCGACCTTTGGTAGAGCAGAAATGTACCTAATTATGCGGTGAAAAATATTGAAAATTGTTGTGTGTTCAATTTCTTCATAAGAGAATCGTAGATATTTTTTAAAGTAAATTTGTTAGACACTTGTATTTGTATGTATGTTTAATAATTTAATATAAATTTTGGATTATTTTAAACATTATAATATTATTTATTTATTTAACTCTTTATTGCAGCATAAATAAAAATATACAATGACAAGTGAATAATTCAAGTGAAATACAGTAACATAAATACAGATTGAAATATACACATAAAGGTACAGAAGGCGGTGTTATCGCTAGAGCGATCTCTTACAGACAAGCTTTGGTTAAAGGAGAACAGATAGAAAAGTAAACCCAGTAAAGTCACGCCACATCCCACCCTTCAAACCGAAACACAGCCATGCAAACACAACTGCTTCACGGTGGAAACACGAATGGGACAGAGGTACCCAAACAATCGACTTTTGTACAAAGTCTCCCTCTGTTAGTAATGTGCACCGCCAGTCCCATTGCTAGCAATATACCTTATTGGGTCGATCTCCACGCGGTTCCCCCCGGAAACCGTCGCAGTTAATTCTAGTGGAGTTCGTCACGATGGACTAACTGACCTGCCTTTTCATTATCACCTATTATCATTCACTGGTGCCCCGCCAGCGTATACCGTTAGCGCAGGCGGGGCTACCATTCCATTATCACTCATCAAAAAAACCATAGGGATTTACAAGGTACAGAGGAATAACACCTGAGTCCTCAGGAATGATAACGCTTGGGGGATATCATGGGCGAAACAGTATACTCTGTTATGTCCACGGTACTGCTCATGTCTATAGGCGACGGTTACCACTTTCCATCAGGTGGGTCGTCAACTTGTTTGCCATTCTAAGTCGTATAAAAAAAAAGAAACGATAAATTTCTAACTTACGTAATGGGCTGCGGGGGCTCTTTTTCCTTCTTTGTAGTAACAGGTTTTGGCACCTTCATCACTTTGACATCCTTCTTCTTGGTTGCCTTCAGATTTGGAAGATCTTCTGCCTTGATGATGATGTAGCTGACATCCTCGGAGGCTAAGCTCATGAGGTTGCCTGGTTCCATGGTTGAGAGTAATTCTTCCGTTTCCTTTTTGATCTGTATATTTGGGTCGAAGCGATCAGGAGATGCATTGCGTTTTGGCTAGAACAAAAATCATTGTTATCACCATGCCAACCATTTATCAGCCACAAGACATAACCCTCTCCCATAAAGGAGAATTCTGCCAGTAATTGCCACGCTTGGCAGGCGGGTTGGCAACCACAGTTAGGATTTGGTTCTAAGAGGGACGCTGTTGCCTATTTCTTAACCATTTCCCTTAGTTATCCTTACAACAGCCACAGGAAAGGAAGGGGCTGCATACTCTATGCCTAGACTACAAGGAGGGAACAAAGAACAATCCAAGGTGAAAATCTTGGAAAAGCCAGGAGATTATAAATCATATGCATGGGTACCTCTGTACCACTGGGGGGAAGGGATTGTTAGTAATAGGGTCTAACAACCCCCTTTCTAGCAATATACCCTATCAGGTCGACCTCCACGCGGTTCCCCCTGGAAACAATCGTGGTAAATTCTTGTGGACTTGTCACGATGGGCTAACTGACCAGCTTTCATCCTCACCTATCATCTCTCACTGGTGCCCCGCCAGTGTATAGAGATAGCGCAGACGGGGTCACGATTTCATTTTCACCCATTAAAAAAAACCTCTGTCCCACTCGTCTCTGTTAAAAAGTAGCTATGCTTATATAGCTGTTTCGGTTTGAAGAGCGAAATATGGTTATTATATTGAATGGTATAGGAGCACAACACTTCAAATTTGAGGGAAAAGGCATTGTTAGTAATGGAGACTGAGAATCCCATTGCTAGCAATATACCCAACCAGGTCCACCTCCTCGCGGTTCTCCCTGGAAACTATCATGGTTAATTCCTGATGAATTCATCATGATGGGCTAACTGGCCTGTTTTCATTCTCACCTATCAGCCTTCACTGGTGCTCCGCCAGCGTATCCCGTTAGTGCAGGTGGGATCACCATAACATTTTCACCCATCAAAGAAAACCACTTCAAATTCAAATCATCTTTACTCAAATAGTCTTGTTTACAAGCACTTTTAAACCGCCATTTTTAAAATCTACTGCAGGGTTCGGAAAGTTATCTGTTGAGAAGAGCCCGCAAGAAACTCAATAGTTATTATTTTAAATTTCTGTTAACATTATGAGTATTTATTTAAACGTACTATGTCTAAAATTACATTGTCGTCAAAAGCCCGCGCATGGTCGACTAACACCATGCACGCTTGTCATTCAAGTAATCGTTTAGTGTGTAATAGGCTTTATTCAATAAGTGTTTTTAAATAACAGTTTCAAATTTATTAAAAGGTAGATCCAAAATATCCTTCGGTATCTTATTGTAACATTTAATGCCCGTTCCCATAAAAGACCTATTAACTTTTTCTAAACGATACTTCGGAACAGCAAAATTTGTATTTACATCTAGTGTTAAGATTACTGAGGTCGCTGTTTTAGTTCTTAAGTGTGGCAATACATAAATTACACCATGGACGTCACTGGGTATTCAGTATTGCTTGTCATGCTTTTCGTATCAATTGTCTCCAGCCTTCAAACACTTTTTTTATACAACTTAGAATGGCAAACAAGCTGACGGCCCACCTGATGGAAAGTGGTAACCGTCGCCTATAGACATGAGCAGTACCATGCACATAACAGAGTATACTGTTTCGCCCATGATAACCCCCATGCGTTGCTATTCCTGAGGACTCAGGTGTTATTCCTCTGTACCCTGTAAATTCACGCCATATCCCACCCTTCAAACCGAAACACACAACAACACAACGAATCGACTATTGTACAAAGTAATACTTACAGATGATGGAGGAGTCCTCATCCAGACCTTGCTGTCTCCAGTTGCGAACGACTCAAAATGCTCCATGCGGGCATGGTTCCGCAGCGCCATCTCGCTCACGAATCCCTTACTACACAGCCGACAATGTACAATAACTTCATCATCATCTTCTACTACCTCTTTCTGTAAAAGAAATTATTAGTTGAATATTCGTAGGTCTATGGGAAACTGGAGTGTGATATATCAAATGTCATTTGTAATCGCCATCGACAGGGAGTTCATCCTCATGTCCTACAGCCTCAATGGTCGCGTACTGCGCGGTTACAGAGATGTTTCCTCCCACGAACACTCAGGTTGTAGAATGAGCTCCCTGCCGAGGTTTTCCCAAGAGACTACAGCATGGATTCTTCAAAAGGGGGGTAAAGAAGTTTCTTCAGGGTCGGCAACGCGCACGTAATACCTTTGGTGTTGCAGGCGTTCATAGGCTGCGGTAACCACTTACCGTCAGGTGGGCTGTATGCTTGTTTGCCACCTCAGTGGTATAAAAAGAAAAAAAATCAACCAAGATCATTGCACAATTTTAAACATTTTTCAATCATTATTTTTTTAAGACTATTGAAGAAACCTACTAACTAGTAGCCGTCGCCTATAAACATGAGCAGTACCATGGACATAACAGACTGTTTCGCCCATGATAACCCCCATGCGTTGCCATTCCTGAGGACTCAGGTGTTATTCCTCTGTACCCAGTAAATTCACGCCATTTCACCTTTCTAACCGAAACACAGCCATGCAAACACAGCTGCTTTACGGTTAAAACACGAATGGGACAGAGGTACCCAAGCAATCGACTTTTGTACAAAGTCTCCCTCTGGTACTTTGTACAAAAGTCGATAAAATGCCTACGTGATTTTTATTGTTACTACATAATATAAGAAATGCTTACCTTTATTTTAATATTTGGTACCACATTTACATAACGAAATGGTTGAGACATTTCTGAAGCCGAATCTGGAATATAAAGGACAGTAGTTACTATATTGTTAATATATTGATATATAAAAATGTTATTTACTGACCTAAATTGGATTAAATTAACCATGATAGTTTCCAGCGGGAACCGTGAGGAGGTCAACCTCGTTGGGTATATTGCTAGCAATGGGATTCTTAGTCTACTAACAATCCCTTTCCCCTCCCCTCCTATTGCTAGTAATACACCCTATTAGATCAACCTCATTGCCGTTTCCCCTAGAAACCATTATGGTCAATTCTAAGCAAATTCATCATGATGGGTTAACTGACCTGTCTTTTCATTCCCACCTATTACTCATCGCCTTACAGGTGCTCCACCAGTGTATACCGATAATGCAGATAGGGATACCATTTCATTACATTCATTAAAAAAAAATTGTATGCAATCAGGATAAACTTTGCTCAAAACACTGGTTACGTTAAAAGATGTTTTTCTAAAAGACGGAAATTTAAAATTTTATCCAGTCTGCTAAGGTGTGGACAGTGACTCTTGTCGACTATGCCTTTTTGTTTTTGTATGGGTGATTAGGATGTATTAATTAACCAGGGCACAAGTATTCTATATCTTTTTCATCTCAAATTTTGTGTATATTAAATTTCAAAGCAGTTAAGTCAGTAAAGTACTAAGTAGTGAAAAAAAACTCATTTTAACATTTTTAATATTAATAAAAGTCAATATTATATTATATATTTGAAATATGTGTGTAAAAATGTTTAGATATATATACAAAATGTTTGCTATACAATCACACATAAAAAGTTAAATGATTTTGCATAAATCACCAAACTATTTTAAATTATAGGATACCTAATTAAGAAAGGCAAAAACATGGTGTAGATGTAAAATTTTTATGTAATATTTACGTAAAAACACTTGAATGTTTCATATTCAAAATTATTTTCAGTGAAATTTGGTAAACAGATTAATAATTAAGACTGATACACAGGATCCTTTTTATTCTAATTGTCCTGGATTAGTCATGAATTAGTGCTTGTTATGCATTACATTCATAACATTTACTAATAGGACGAAATCTTATACATCATATTTTGAAACAAATATAAAAATAACATGAAAGATAGGTACCGATTGGAGCAAATATTACATCAAAGGTCATTTTGCGGATATTTATACAATTTTCTAAAGAATAAAAATAACTAGGTAATAAAATTAAAGAAAAAATTCAAACAAATTCAAAAAGCGGGAACAATAATTGTCAAAAATAACTTTTTATAATAACTTTTTAAGATTTGGAATCAAACATACCACGAAAAAAATGTACACTGCTATTGATTTCTGGGTCCTTAGGGGTTATGTAGGGCTTGCAGATTTCAGATATTTAACAATATTAATAAATATAGAACTTAGGGACACTTCTATTAATATAAAGCGCAAAGGTAAGCAAAAATACAAAACTCGTATACAATAATACATAAGACAGGAAAATGTTTTTTTTTTTTTAATTAAAAAAAAAGAAATCGAAAAGAAAAAATTAAAAAAATATTGAGATTTCAAAAATATGTCAAAATGGCAATGACACTCGTACTTACCGGTATTATTTTTACAAAAGAGTAGCTTTTTACTTTTAAGGACTTAAAATATACACGAAATTTTGAGAAAATTCGCAAAGAAAGACAAATATGGAAAGCAAGTCAATGATAGGACGCCATTTCGTGAATGAAGCGTCTTTGGTTACGCTGCGACATCTACTTTTTATGAACCTATTACACTATCATTTATATTGATACATATATTTATAAATCGTGTATGAATACTACACATTGTTTAGATGTCTATATGATTTCTTCCAATTCTATGTGATCATTAAGTGTGTTTTAATTCATTAAAGAAATACAAGTTTGTTGTTATTAAATAAATGACTATAATATTTACAATTCTACTTGCATTCTTTTTGCAACTTATAAAAATTAATAATATTTAATTGCGTTACTAAAGCATGATTGAGAAGATTTGATAATTTTGATTGATTTATATAGAAATGAATATAATGTAAAATATATAAAAATAATATAAAAAGGAAGCACGACAAACATTGAATGATAGGTAATTTCTTACAATGGCAGATACTCCGTAAATTATTCATGAATGATTGTTAATTTTCAAGAAATGGTTAACATAATATATGGAACGGTTTGATGATAAATTAGGACTAGGCCTGAGTTACATGTATTTTTCTCCTAAAATCTTTACTTTTTTTCCAATAAACAGTTCCATTAGCAAATTAGTAAACAAATAGCATAAATTCATAGTGTATATTTAGTTCTAAAATAGCTCGATAGAGGCAGCACTACCGGTCACATACTAACCCTTTTTAATAATCTAAAATGTATCATAAAATTTGTAATTTGTTCATAAAATTTTCGTAATTATTATATTTGCTGATTTAAGCAATTATAACGCGACCACAGATTAAGAATAATGTCTAAAATATAGACGTTACTAGATTTTGTTACTTAAGTGTTACTTAAGTAACAAAAGTTGTTTTATCAATAATTTCTATAACTCAATCAACCAAGCTTATCTATCCTTAACCATAATAATGGCCAAAGCAACAACAATTAAAGAAGCAATAAAAAAATGGGAAGATAAAACTGGTCAACAAGCTGCAACGGCTACAGAAGTGAGTTTAATATTCCAATGGCCTCCGATTGAGAAAATGGATAATACATTAGCTTGTCTCGTTAATTGCGAGTAAGTAAGAGTCCTAAGAATATATATTATCAACCTATGTACTTGTCATTGTTGTTTTATATACAATGATGGTATTTATATTCGTTAAGCATACGGCCCGCCTAATAGTTTACCGCTGTAGCATGTAATGAACACGTACAACTCCAATTTCTCAATCTTTACTAGCAATTACAAACTAAATAGAGTTGCCAGAGGTAAAGAGATTGTTAGTAATATGGTCTAATAGCCCTGTTGCCACCAATTTATCCTATCAGGTGAACCTCCACACGGTTTCTCCTGGAAACCATCGTGGTTAATTTTTATAGAATTCTTCACAAAGTAACTGACATCTCTCACTGATGCCTTGCCAACAAATATTGATAATGCAGGCGAACACCATTCCTAGTCCCTTAAAAATAATGATATTAAAATTTTAATTTCAGAAAATTAAGTCTCTCTACGAATACCATTGAGAAAGTATCAGGACTTAATACTTTAAAAAAACTGAGAATATTGTCTCTGGGCCGTAACTATTTAAAGTCTTTTGCTGGGATGGTAAGTCTATTAGATTATTGTTATTACTCAAAATAATTTGCCGTGTGGTCCCGGCATAGAATAGGCCATGCCTTCGCAACTCTTAAGCTGCGGGTTGGTAACCGCAGCTAGGCTTTGATGATGTTTTAAGAGGGACGCTGCTGCTCATCCCTGCTGCTCGATCTTAAGTTCCCTTAGTCGCCTCTTACGATGGCCACGGGAAAGGAAGGAGTAGCCCATTTTATGCCGGGATCATAAGGCGACTTTTAGTATGGCGGCGATTGGTATGGTTCTCTATCACTTATTGTTATTAAAAATGCAACTAATATCTAATTTTACCCAGGAATGTTTAGGGGATACTCTTGAAGAGTTATGGATTTCGTACAATCTAATTGAAAAGCTAAAAGGCATCAATGTGCTGAGAAATCTTAAAGTATTGTACATGAGCAACAACCTGGTGAAGGAATGGAGTGAGTTTAACAAACTGCAGGTAGGTTGAGATCAGGTTTATTAATTGATGATAATGGTACATTACTTACTTATTGGTACATTAATTACAATAGTAAACTTATTATAAATATAAATAATTAAAAGAAATAATCACTTTATATACTATATATACACTTTCTTCCTTCCTTGGCTCCGAAAAAGGCACATATTTCAATGTCGTACACACGCGGCATTCATTTCGGATCTAATATCGCCCGATCGCATCATTTTCTGAGGCTGATACCTACCGATTAATTAAGTAAAATAAATTGTTTCTAAAATAATCCAAATATGTACGTTTAATAAAAAGGAATTGCCACACCTGGAAGATTTGCTGTTCGTCGGAAACCCGCTGTACGATGGTTGTGAGTTAGATGCGTGGCGGGCAGAAGCTGCTAGAAGGCTGCCCGGTTTGAAGAAACTGGATGGGGAGACGGTTATAAGGGAGGATGAACCACCATTGACCGTTGCTGATATGCAGGTTAGTTTCCATTAAGATTTGCCTGCGTTATTTGAAGAATAATTTACGGTGAACATTCTTTATTAAAATAAAAATTTATGTCTCGACTACCTTAAGATTTAAGACAAGACAATTTTCGACATAAAATGTATAAAATGCATCGCTGTGTGTTACGCAAATGTACATCGTGTAATAATTGAATTGTTTCTCTTATAAAAAAAGCCGACTTGAATTGTGTCAAAACCAGTCACTTGGAATTGGAAACTAAAATACTGAACTGATAAAAATTTTATTTTAATGACAAAATTTCTATTGAATTTATCTATAAGTGTATCGTTTCAAATAAAAAAATAATTTTCAAATCTGTTTACAACTGACGAACTTATGAAGTAACAAACATAAAAAAATACAATCGAATTAAAAACCTTCTTCTTTTTAAAGTCGATTAATAAGAAAATTAAAATCCAACCAAAAAAACTTTTTAATTAATTGAAATACCGACGTAAACAAGTTTTTTCGTTTCCTGTTTGTTGGTGGCATAATGGGCAACATTAGCCCTTTGCCATTAAAAAAAAAGTGTGTCATAATACCTAAGCATAGTATCATAATAACATAACAATTGATTGTTTCAGCCTGATAGTGGGGATGCAGTAGAAACCCTTGTCAGTGCAGAGGCGAACGATTGAAGCAAATATTATGGGAAGAATCAATATATAATATTTATGATCACTATATTGACATCAAATAGAATTTACTCATAAATTTATTATACTCACCTCAGATAAATTCATTATCATGATCAGCTGCTTGTTTGCTTTTGAACATAGGTCTTTCCCATAGAAGGAACGATCCTGAGTCAAGCCAGATAAATTGATGTAAATTAATAGAAATGACTTTCAATACAGAAAAGAATTGCGAGATTTCATATTTACTATCAATCTTAATTATTTTAACATTTATAGTTACAATTAGTTAACATACGATTGTGCTGCCTCTAATGAGCGGTTTAGGAACTAAAACTTAATTAAATTTGCAACCGTATTAGTTGTATAGTAATGCTATAGAGTTATTTAGTAATTGTTTGTGAACTACTTCGTTATATTAATATACTTTTGTGTTTGTCTGTGCAGAATTGTATTCGCCTTAAATAAAGTAAGTCTATGATTAAAAAAAAAGAATAAATATCTAAGTAATAATTCCTTAATTCTAAATTTAATTTATCTACGAGCGCCATGCCCTCAAACTTATTTTCAGGTAACTTTTTTCTAGCTGTAGATATGGTATAGCTTCAGCTTTTTCTTCTTTTCTCTTAATTATACATATCAATCAATGTACTAAAATAAAAACCGCGGGATAACAACGTCAATAAAAAAAAATGCGAGGACGTCGAAATAGCGGGATGCGTGAAATTAAAGTAGTCGATACTGCATGCGGAAATCACAAGACGCTTGGTCGAGGTTCTCTCAGACAAAAGCTTGCTATTAGAAAACAATTTGTCGGAATTTTTAAAATAATTTTGTCGACTTCTGTGACAGCATAATCCATGACAATTGATACACTATTAGCTTACAAAGAGCCGTTAGAATTTATTAACATTTAAATTTCTTACCAGCCACTAGCTACATTTAAATTCATCATCATATATGCCGTTAACTGTCCACTGTTGGACATAAGTCTCATCCTATTGGATGGAGGGTTTTGCCAGTAGTTGCCAAGCTTGGTAGGTGAGTTGGCAAACGAAGTTAGTCCTTGGTGAGTCTTAAGCGACGCTGCTGCCTATCTCTCGACCATTAAGTCCCCTTAATCACCTCTTACAACACTAACGGTGAAAGAAGGGGGCGGCCCATACTATGCCGGGATTATACGGCCAATTGTTATTTAAAAATTAAATAAAACCATACATAATTCATAGAAAATATTGTTTATTTACAATCTCTTAAATTTATAACAATTTTATTGTACAACTTCATAGAAGGCATCGATATTTTATACATCACTAATGGCTTGCACAGGCGACGGACATTTTGTACGCAGACAGAATGTGTACTAAAAATGTACGTAGACAAACATGGCCGATTATAAAATTTGGCGGGAATTATATAAAAAAAAAATCTGATTATTTTTACGTTTTGAAATGTAATTATGTTTACGCAATATTATATGATTCAACATGTTTAAATCTCATTTTTATATTCATTTCAAATAATCATAATTTATTCCTAACGGGTGGGATCTTATTGTTTTTAGTACGTTTGTTCAGTAAGGGAACAGGCTAAGGTCGGAGACCATGCTGCCTAGTCTTCAGTATGATAATTTGTCTGAAATGGTGGGATCTTAGTTTCTTATAGTCTATGGTCTAGTAAAAAATGCAACTATAATTATCGTTGACTCGCTCTCTTCCGTTCGGCGTTTGAACAAGCAAACGTGTCTTAACTATTACATTTCAGTTGTTAAGTAAATTATTATATAAAAATAATAATTAATTTAATATAGTTCAGTCAGAATATTTGTCAGTGTGTTTAAAAGTAATAAATTAATGAACGCATTAATTTTCAGTTTCATTTACCGAGCCACTGCAATGTACGTTGTGTCCACGATCAAACATTATTTGACATAGTGGACAAATTAATTTCAAATGAATATAGTTGGTTAGTTCTATACAATTCTTGCATATAATATATATTAAATTAAACTATTATCTTCAGAAATAAGTTTAGGCAAGTGGCGTTTCTGAATTGGGTTGTTAGTCTATGGTTTATCCCTTTCAGACTCAAGATTCTTTTCTTTCAGATAAAATATATTTTCGTGTTTTGGAGCCAAGCCATCTTGCCGGCACGCACGAGACTACTGCACCACCTAACCGCTAAAACGATTTCTTATTGGCCGGTTTAGAATCTCGCTATCATGTTATTTCAGCTTCGTGCGTAAAAATGAATTGCGCGCGATTTTAGAACTTTTTTAAGTTACAACTCACGCCCGTATCGTTCACGTCTGAAAGGGTTATACAAAAGAACATTTAATAAAAAAAAAAAAAAGTCCGTCGACTGCGCAGGCCTTATTGATTTCTGAACTATTAAATACTTATAGTATTGTTTTATTACACAAGTTATTGTATTATTCATACACACATATACACATTCAGTGCGAATAGCACACAGAAATGTGGAATCGAATCCTTTTAAATCGAAATAACGGAAACAGGGGGGCGCCAACTTCGTGGGTTTTCTTAGTAAGTAGTAAGTCTATGCGTTCTTAACTCCTTTTTTATTTAGCAAAACCGATTTTAACATGTCATTGCTTTTAAATAAAAATATAACAGAAGGACCGATCGTTATTCCTAAGTATATTTTATTTTTTAAACAACTTAGAATGGCAAACAAGCTGACGGCCCACCTGATGTAAAGTGGTAACCGTCGCCTATAGACATGAGCAGTATCATGGACATAACAGAGTATACTGTTTCGCCCATGATACCCCCCCATGCGTTGCCATTCCTGAGGACTCGGGTGTTATTCCTCTGTGCCATGTAAATTCACTGCAATATCCCAACCCTTTTGTTAGTATAATACTTTCTTTAAAATAGAAATAAAGTTATTGACAATCGGCCATCTTACATCGATACAAAGATTGGTCGTATTCATAGTGTGGTGAGATGATACTCACCAACGTTTATTATATACATCAACTTTTATAATACAATTGAACTTAAAAAAACAAGCAGACAAACTAACATTTATATATATATATATATATATATATATATATATATATATATATATATATATATATATATATATATATATATATATATATATATATATATATATATATATATATATATCACGACGCTTGGTCACGGCACTCGCTCGCAAGATGCGCAGGCGCTTTGTGATTGTCGGCTGCGCGCGCATACCGCGCACGGGCCAGCGACCAGAGAGTGTTTTGTTAACTTGGACAATTTAAAAATTTATTTGTTTTATTGTAAAATAATTATTGATTAAATATATTTACAAGTTGAACTCTACAATAGATACAACAAGGGTATGCTTGGGCAGAATCAAGGATGACGATGATGGAACAAGGGCCAACTCTATGGGAGCTCGGCGACTTCAGCACCCACGAGAGGCAGTCAGCGGAGCACTCGTGACTTTAGACATCATAATATGACTATTTTATTTATTTAAACTTTAATGCACAGTGAAATTCTATGTACATATGGCGGACTTAACACCGGACGGTGTTCTCTACCAATCGACCATTGGGCGAACAGAGAAATAAGTTGGCGGTGCATTTTTGAATACAGAAATAATGTAATCCTAGTTCAATTATATTGAATTGTTGAGGTCGCGTTCGCTTGTCCAGCAAGCATACAGTCTTTTAGTTGAAATGATATACCTAGCTATATTATTTATAATTACTCCTCTCCATCCAAAGGTTAGCTGCAAGAGATCGCTCTTAGCGATAAGGCCGCCCATTGTTTTCTCATTGTGATTATTTCTTGTAATTGTTTATATCTATACTTATAATAAATCTGTAGAGAGGTCAATTCTGTACATGAAATATATTTGCAAAATAACTATCAGCGGGTGATTAGTGATCGATACTGATGCCAAAAATGCAATCAGGAAAATTTTTGTCTGTCTGTCTGTCTGTCTGTATGTTCGTTATAGAAACAAAAACTAGTCGACGGATTTTAACGAAACTTGGTACAATTATTCTTCATACTCCTGGGCAGGTTATAGTATACTAATCACGCTACGATCAATAGGAGCAGAGCGGTGAACGGAAATGTTGGGGAAACGGGAGAAGTTACTCCATTTTTAAGCTTCCGTCGCGTGTGCAGCATTAATGGTCACTTTTTAAAATGTAAAAATGTCCACCCGTGCGACGCCGGGACGGGCCGCTAGTCAATAATAAGTTTACTATTGTAATCTTATGGAGGGAACAATAAGAAGTATCTAGACAGACATCTAGTTAACAAAAAAGCATGAGCACCCAATTGTTCTTGAAGTCGGCGCCCCCGGTTGGAAAGTAACATTTTAACTTGAAAAATATGTATAATGCGTATCAGACAGTAGGCGTGTCTAATATCAGGATCGTTGAACCATTTCGATATCGCCCATACCAGTTACATTTCTCCATTCGTTTCAGTCGAGTGCTTACTTATATATTGGACAATCGATGTTTAACATATATTTTATTAGGTCAATATACATATATTGTTACTTCAATATATAAATATTTCTATATCCCTTTCAGAGCCAAGATTTTTTTTCTTTCATATTAAATATATTTTCGTGTTGTGGAGCCAAGCCATCTTGCCGGCGCGCACGAGACTACTGCACCACCTAACCGCTAAAACGATTTCTTATTGGCCGGTTTAGAATCTCGCTATCACGTTATTTCAGCTTCGCGCGTAAAAATGAATTGCGCGCGGTTTTGGAATTTTTTAAAGTTACAACTCGCGCCCGTATCGTTCAGGTCTGAAAGGGATATATCACCCATATCTATTAGTCAGTTCGGAAATCGTCACACTTTTTTTTTCCATTAACATCTAATATATCTTGTTTTTCATCATTATATGAAATAAATAATCAACATTCCATTCATAGATACAGTGAACGGTCACTTAAATTTTTTGAAGTCATCTAACTTCAAAAAATTTAAACGAGAGAAGAGGAGTCTATGCAAAATATACTCCACGCGTAATAAAAACAAAAAAAAAAAAGAAAATTCTTTCTTAATTCAATAATAAACAGTTAATTACAAAATTACCGCCTCTTTATTTTTATTTTTTTTAGTACGTTTGTTCCGTTTTAGAACAGGCTAAGGTCGGAGACCATGCTGCCTCCGCCTCTTTATAACAGGCCATAGACAAGTGTCAAACGAATCTGTCAATACATTTTTTTTTTATATTGGCAAAGGGCTGTTGCCTATTATGCCAGTAACAAACAGGACCCGAAATGGGATATTAAAAAGGAACGGAACGGTAGGTAGAGGAACTACCAAATGATAAATGGTGCTGTCTCATGTTATTTCATGCATTATTAACGTTCACACAGCCATTATCTGTACACTGCTGAAGTTAGACTGCCATAGAGAACGGTCTTGAGTCACCTGCATCCACTGACTGCCTGCAACGCATTTGAGGTCGTCCCTCCATCTAGTGCAAGTCCGTCCTACACTGCGCTTGCCCTTACGGGATCGCCAGGCAAAAAACTTCCTTCCCCATCAGTTGTCTGTTCTTCGAGCTATATGACCAGCCCCATAGTTGGGGCTAGTTAGTAGTTTTAGCCCCATTAAAACAGTTGTTTGGCCAGCCCATTGCCACTTCAGCATGCTCATCCTTTGGACTATCTCATGCATGAAGCAGTGAAAACGTACCTATCGACAGATTCATCTGTCACTTGGCTAGAGAGGCTGGACTGATTTTGCGAGAACTCTGCTTCCATTCGATAATCCTATTAATTATAATATTAACTCAGACTTGAAATAGTTATTGGCTCATTGAGCAATTACTTATATATAATTAATAAATTGAAAGCTAGAGACAGAAAACGGGAGATGTTAGGTTTGCCCCTTATTTTGACACCATAACAAATATATATATGTATACATATGTATATATATATATATATATATTCATAGTCGTAGAATACTGACGGATCTGACAAAGATTGAATATACATATCCGTCAGTATTCTATAACTATGACGATATATATATATATATATATATATATATATATATTTGGTATGATGGCAATATATATATAAACTATACAAAATTATATATTACTTTTCAACTTTGTATACGTTAAAAGTGTTTATCTTTTCTTTTTTTTACAATATTTTTTTTTAAATCATCCAAATATTACTGTTTTATTATTATTGATTAAAATCTATCATTTTTAGTCTCTACCTTTCAAAATATAACTCTAAAGAGTTCTATTCAAGTAATTCCGATACGAATAGTGCCTTGAAACCAATAAATTAGACTCAGAACTAAAGTATACGAGAGATAATACTTAGGAATTACAGAATTTTTTATCTTTTATTTAAGGCCTGATACAAAAAAAAATATGTATGGGACAGTTTATGGCCGTAAAAAATAAATATGGGTGTAACAGAGAGGGAAATGGCAGATTGTAGTAAAAGGGACTAGTAGCCCCATTGCCAGCAATATCTCCTGTCAGACCGCAGTCGCCTAGAAACCATCGTGGTAAATTCTAGGTAAATTTGTCACAAGGGGTCCTGACTCTACCCTCACCTATCAACCCTCACTGGGGGAAAAGGGATTGTTAGTGATGGAGTCTAACGAGTCCACTGCTAGCAATATAGGGGGTATATATATACATATATATAAACATATAATCAAGCCATTATCTACACGGTTCCCTCTGGAACCCATTGTGTTTAAGTCTTTATGAATTCGTCACAATGAGTCAACTGACCTCCCCCACCAGCGTATACTAATAGCGCAGGCGGGGTCACCAACTTTGCCAATAAACAGGATTGTCATTAGAAGACAATGCCAAAACGACGCGAGTCGACATTTATTAGTTTCAATTTTCTACATATTTTGGTATTTTCTTTGCCGTATCATCATACCTTAGCATATATATATATATATACATATATATATAATTACATATATATTCTTCTGAGATGGTCGGTAGTAGTGATCGCGTTGCATTGTGGACAAATTTTCTTAGCCCTTAAAGATTGCAACCAGCAAACCTGCAACAAAAAAAAAATATTCTTTATTGAACTATAGTCTCAATTAATAATTCTCAGTAAGCGGGGGGGGGGGGGGGGGAAGGGATTGTTAGTAATGGAGACTGAGAATCCCATTGCTAGCAATATACACAACCAGGTCGACCTCCTCGCTGTTCCCCCTGGAAACTATCATGGTTAATTCCTGATGAATTCATCAAGCCCAAGCAAACGACTTTTGTACAAAGTCTCTCTCTGGTGCTTATACTGTATTTACCATTAAATACTTCTAATGTAATAACCTGTATTCAAGCAAATAAAGTTCTCATTGATTCATACAGATATTTATTTTTCACTAGCGTTTACCCGCGTCTCCGTTCGCGTGACCGGGATATTTTCACTGACCGAGTTTGAACCGACCGAGAGTGAACAGCAGTCTACAACCTTCTCCATCTACCACTAGTTGCCACGCTTGGCAGGCGAATTGGCAACCGTATTCAGACTTTAGAGATGTTTTAATAGGCACGTTGCTGCCTATCCCTCGATCTCCCTTAGTCCCCTCTTACGACACCCACGGGAAAGGAAGGGATGGCACATTCTACGCCGGGACATACAACTAAGCACATAAAATAGTGAAAATCTGAACATGTGACTTATTAGCCAGACAGATAGATACTCTTGTTTCCTCCAAAATATTACAATAGTAAACTTATTATAAATATAAACAATTACAAGAAATAATCACAATGAGAAAACAATGGGCGACCTTATCGCTAAGAGCGATCTCTTGCAAGCAACCTTTGGATGGAGAGGAGTAATTATAAACAGTTTGGTGGGAGGCACGATGAAAAATTTTGTTAGTTCTAGATATGGGAGATGTAGTACATATAATAATATAAAAATTATTCACCTTCATTCATTTAATCTAATCTATATCTAATAATTTAATTTTTTTTTATCCAAATTATTATCAATTTTTTTTAATGATTATACAAGTATTATTTTCAAATAATGTGTTTTTCTGAAAAAATGTTTTATTAACATCTGACGATTATTATTGACAATGTTGCTGTAATTTTCAATAGTATTTGTTTGTTTAATTTTGTTTATATTTGTTTAATTTTGTTTAATTTTAGTATTGTCTAATTTTGTGTTTCGTTTACTTGTATTTTATTTTGTGCAAATTCTAGCGGCTACCAAATTACTGTTTAAGTATATAATTATGTATTATTTTAGCTGTTTGTTTGCCTTAAACAATAAATAAATAAATAATCTCGTTGAGTAAATATCAAGTTACCTCACAGTATACATGCCAGCACTGTATGGAGACCGCGGGCGACGTGTACCCTCCGAGACATATCAAACACTTCGCCTGGAACAAATTTATTTTTAATTATTTATTTAAATACTTTCTTCCTCCATTTACTTTTAATATAGATTTTTTTTTTATTGGATGAAAATGGTACGGTAACCTCGCCTGCGCTAACGGGATACGCTGGCGGAGCACCAGTGAAGGGTGATAGATGAGAATGAAAACAGGCCAGAAGTAGCCCATCATGATTAATTCATCAGGAATTAACCATGATAGTTTCCAGGGGGAACCGCGAGGAGGTCGACCTGGTTGGGTATATTGCTAGCAATGGGATTCTCAGTCTCCATTACTAACAATCCCTTTCCCCCTAATATAGATATTAGGTTATAACAAAAATGCACACAGGCTTGAAGGGATTTCTTTCAGTTAACCTTGAGAACACGAAAAGATAAAGTATCTAACAGAGCCTGTATGTATATATGGTGCAATGATAAAATCATCATCATAACAGCCTTGAACTGTCCACTGCTCAACATGAGCCTCCAACTTTGCCAGTGGTCGCCACGCTTGGCATACGAGTTGGCAACCGCAGTTAGGTAGAGATATTTTAAGAAGCGTCCATCGAATAGAACCCAATAAGGACCAAATTAAAAGTACTCGTAACCGGCGAGCGTGTATGAAAAGATTGATACATGTGGAGGAAGCGAAAGAGGTCTGTTTGAATCGAAGCATTTGGCGTTCCATTGTTTCTGGTAGGCAGTAATGGGAGACAGGCGTGACAGATATATATGTAATAAAAAAATATATTTTATTTGAAATTTACCTTCTCAAGTATTTATATGCTTTTTTTAACGTCCTGAATATGGAAAGAAATAGTGACATATGCTCTAAATATATTACAAAACAAAATGATACCAAAAGAACTAAACTCTCACCTCAGAGGATCCATTTTGTTTCTTCTCCAACTCTTGTATTCTTAATTTTAAAGCTTGTATTCTAGTCTGGAATTAAAAACGGAATATGAGTTTAACTAAAAAAAAAAAAAAAAATATGAAAGTAATTAGTTAATTTTAAACGTTGACAATAAAGAAACAGGTATGTAGGCATTCTTTACTTGCTAAGGTCTTTTCTTTTTATTTACTTAAGACCAGTTTTAATATATATTTACATGCATATATATTATATCTATGATATATTATTGCAAATTCCAGCACTGATAATCACAATTTGGGTATATATATATATATATATATATATATATATATATATATATATATATATATATATATATATATATATATATATATATATATATATATATATATATATATATATTTAAAATATGATATTAAATGAAGGCGAATGTAATGGACAGAGAAAGACTCCGTTTTCCGCGCTTAGCCTCTCATTTGGGCCGTTGTGCGTATGAGTCGTGGCTAGTACAGCCAATGTATGGACACACACAATGCATTTATATTTCTATTAAGAAATTTTAATTAAAAAATTTCGCGACTGACTCTTGGCCACGACTGAGTATCAGTGTTTCGCTCTTTCGAGGGCAAAGCAATAAACTGAGTTGTGACCATTTTGCGTTACTATGGGCACACGCATAAAAAACAAGGAAATTGTTGTTTTATATATTTTGTTTTTTTTTTGTTTTGTGCTTTTTTTATTTTCATTCTTTTACCTCTTTTACTGTGTATTATGTGTATGTTTGTATTGTAATTTGTGTGTTGTAAGTAATGTAAATAAATTATCTATCTATCTACCTAATTTCATGGAGTGAACCAATCTGTAAATATATCCCTTTAGACAAAAAAAAAAAAGAATTTTAAATCACTTTAAAACTGGCAGTTATAATGTAGCAAACATAAAAGAAAATACAAGCAAATTCTCAATTTTTGAAGACTCTATTTTTGAAGTCGGTTGAAGAGGAAAAAGTAATGCAGTTTACCTCGGCGCTCGCTTCCACTAGACCATTCGGTTTGTGTGTTACCAGCTCATTATTTTCTTGTCGCTCCACTGTATCCGTAGAGTTTTCTTCTGTCTGCCCGTCGGTCTGATTGTTTTCCGATGGTTCTATTTCAGCCTGAAAAAGAATCAAGTTTACATTGTTTTTTAATGGAGTTTATAGTTCAGACGTTATGGACTCAGACACTGAGGTGGCCACAGCTTACCAAGCTCCCCCTCCCCCCCACCTCTAAATAATCCTACGTCCATTTGGCTGTACTAGCCACGACTCATACGTACAATGACCTAATAATGGAAGAGTTAAATTTACATTTAAAAGGCCGGCAGCACACCTGCAATGTCGCTGGTGTTGTGGGTGATCATGGGCGGCGGTAGTCACTTACCATCAGGTGAACCGCATGCTCGTTTGCTGCTGTTATTAAAAAAAAAAAGCCAATGCCCTATGCTATGATGTTGTTGTTTTAAAATTCGTCCATAATGGACAGGCAAGGGGGAAAAGGGATTGTTAGTAATGGAAACTGAGAATCCCATTGCTAGCAATATACCCAACCACGTCGACCTCCTCGCGGTTTCCCCTGGACACTATCATGGTTAATTCCTGATGAATTCATCATGATGGGCTAACTGGCCTGTTTTCATTCTCATCTATCACCCTTCGCTGGTGCTCCGCCAGCGTATCCCGTTAGCGCAGGCGGGGTTACCATAACATTTTCACCCATCAAAAAAAAAATGACAGGCAAAGAGAATGGCCCAATACAGCCTAGTCATATGTATCAATTCTTTATAAATGGGTAGAAAACTATTTCACACTTATTTTATATTAATCTTCATTAGTGTTTTTTTATGGATGACAACGGAATGATAACCCCACCTGTGTTATCGGTATACGCTGGCGGGGCACCAGTGAGGAATATTATCCCTCACAGGTGAGGATGAAAAGACAAGTCAGTTAGTCCATCATAAATTCCACAAGAATTAACCATGATGGTTTCCAAAGGGAAATGCGTGGAGGTCGACCCAACAGAGTATATTATTAGCAATGGGGCTGTTAGACCCCATTGTTAACATTTTTTTTCGCTCCACCTCTTCGTTGGTGTTGAAACTACCACGCGTCAGAATTCTTCGTGAATACAATTCTTCTCATATGAAGTAGTCTCCATTTTAAGTTTCCCTTCAGAGGGATTAGAGGGATACTTTGTACAAGTCATTTGCTTGAGTATCTCTGTCCCATTCGTGTTTCTACCGTGAAGCAGTTGTGTTTGCATGTCTGTGTTTCGGTTCGAAGGGATGGGATATGGCAGTAAATTTTCGGGGTACAGAAGAATAACATCTGAGTCCTCAGGAATGGCAATGCATGGGAGGTATCATGGGCGAAACAGTATACTCTGTTATGTCCATGGTACTGCTCATGTCTATAGGCGACGGTTACCACTTTCCATCAGGTGGGCCGTCAGCTTGTTTGCCATTCTAAGTTGATTAAAAAAACTCTTCATTCTATGCTATGAGTACTGAAGCCTCAACAAAGATTAGAAATGAAAAAAAAAATACTCACATTAGGGTCTATCCTGGACGGCGAGTACTGAGGTGGTCCATACAGCTCCGTGTCTTCATCGCCGTCCACCACCTGGTGAACAATATCAATATGAACATTTTTTTTCTTCTTTTTTTTTTATATATACAGACAAAATCACGCAGATTGAGCTAGCCCCATAGTAAGTTCGAGACTTGTGTTATGGGATACTAACTCAACGATACTATATTTATAATAGATACATACATAGATAAACATCCAAGACCCAGGGCAATCAGGAAAAGATCGTTTTCCATCATAACCTGGCCGGGGATCGAACCCGGGACATTGAGAAACATTTATGGGCATCGAACACATATTTATCTGTAAACAAACCAGTGTCTGTTGGAGGAAAAGGGATTATTAGTAATGGGACTAGAGGCCCAATTGCTAACAATATACCTTTATCAGGTAGACCTCCAAGCAATCCCCCCTGGAACCATCTTGACTGTTTCTTATTGGTATTGCAGGCGTTCATAGGCTACGGTAACCGCTTACCATCAGGTGGACCGTATGCTTGTTTTTGCCACATCAGTGGTATAAAAAAAATTCATCACTATGGGCCAACTGACCTGTTTCATCCTCACCTATCATCCTTCACTGGTGCCCCGCCGGTGTATACCGATAGCGCGGGTGGGGTTACCATTCCATTATCACTCACAAAAAAATAAATAAGAGAGGATAGGATATTGGTAGTAATGAGGATATTAGCTTGCTCGTCACTTCCCCCCAATCATGCAGCATTGGTCGGCAGCACACCTGCAATGTTGAGGGATGGAATAAACTCATCTACAGCGGTGGCAGACAACAGACAAGACTCATTATGGGTGCCCTAACTGGACATATGCCAATAAGGCGTATACTACACAAGATGGGTGTATCTTCGGACACACTGTGCAGACTGTGCGGGGAGAAATCGGAATCCATGGAACACTTGATGTGCAACTGCGATTCATTGGCAAGTATGCGTATGAGTCTACTGGGAACGGCTTATCCAGAGCCAGGGGACTGCAGATATGTTAAACCGCGGGATATCGTTAGGGTAACACATAGGATCTATGAAATGATGGTATAAGGCAGGGGGAAGCACAACAGATCCGTATGGGTCTACGTGCATCGACTTAGCTGACCCCATATGCGAAAAATAAGATAAGATACACCTGCAATGCCGTTGGTGTTGTGGGTGATCATGAGCGGCGGTAGTCACTTACCACCAGGTGAGCCGTATGCTCGTTTGCCCCCTGTGTGGTAAAAAAAAAGTGGCGGCGGTTACCAGCGCGCAGTCGCTGGAGGCGGCCCGCGGGCGGGCGGCGGGCCGCGGCTGCAGCGCCGCCGCGCGCACGCGCCACTCGCCGCACCACTGGTACTCCGCGCCGAAGCTGCCTCCGCTCGGCTCGTCGTTCTGCACACAACGGGCAACTGTTACTAGGGGGAGCATCGCTAGCAATCTTCCTAATCAGGTCCACCTCCACGCGGTTCCCCCTGGAAACCATCGTGGTTACTTCTCGTGTAATCCTTCATGATGGGCTGACTGACATGCTTTCATCCTCACCCATCACCTCCACTGGACACCATCACTGGTGTCCCGTCAGCATATCCGTTTTCTTAATGGGTGATAATGGTATGGTACCCCTGTCTGCGCTATTGGTATACACTGGCGGGGCACCAGTGATAGATGACTGATGAAGATGAAAGTAGGTCAGTTAGCCCATCCTGACGAATTAAACTAGAATTAGTCACGATGGTTTCCAAGGGGAACAACGTGGAGGTCGACCTGACAGGGTATGTTGCTCGTAATAGGGCTATTTGACCCCATTACTAACAATCCCTTTCCCCCAGCATATACCGTTAGCGCAGGCAGGGTTACTATTTCATTATTACCCATTTAAAAAAAAACTGTTAGTAGATTCTATTTTCATCAGCTACTAAGTGTATTTGAATGAAATTTGATACATGGATAAGCTATATCCTAGTTTACCATATCTACAAATTAAATTTTCAAATAAATTTTTACAAGCACAATTGCCAATTGTTGCTGTGCTTGGCAAGCAGGTTGGCAATCATAATTAAGTTTTAGTGATGTTTTAAGAGGGACGCTGCTGTCCATACCACAACTATTAAATTTCTATAGTCACCTCTTACGACACCCACGGAAAAGGAAGGGGTGGCCAGTTCTGAAACAGGACCATAAGGCAAGTTTGGATATAGCAGCAAAATTTCAGTGTAGGAATAGTAATGTATAAGGGATATCATGAATGTCACATCCTGTTAGAGGGAGTTAGTTGTTACATTACATTGTTAGTAATGTGGAGTACCATTACTAACAATGTAATGTAACAATTTTACCAGAGGGAGACTATGTACAAAAGTCGATTGCTTGGGTACCTCTGTCCCATTCGTGTTTCTACCGTGAAGCAGTTGTGTTTGCATGGCTGTGTTTCTGTTTGAAGGGTGGGATATGGTGTGAATTTACTGGGTACAGAGGAATAACACCTGAGTCCTCAGGAAAAGCAACACATGGGGGGTATCATGGGCGGAACAGTATACTCTGTTATGTTCACAGTACTGCTCATGTCTATAGGCGACGGTTACCATTTTCCATCAGGTGGCCCGTCAGCTTGTTTGCCATTCTAAGTTGTATAAAAAAAAATACCAGTCCCATTGCTTGCAATATACCCTGTGAGGTTGTTATCCACGTACCCCTAGGTAGGGGGGTACCACTTGAAAAACAGTATGCTGAATTCTGGGTGTATTCATCAATGAATTAACTGACTTGCCTTTTTCATCCTCATGTATCATCTCTCACTGGTTCCCTGCCAGTGTATACTGTTAGCGTAAATGGGGTTCACCATTCTATTATCATCTATTAAAAAAAAAAAAGTATATTCTGTTATATCCATGGTACTGCCCGACGTTTACAGTGTACAGGCGACAGTTAGCAATTTCCATCCAATGGAGCGTCAGCCCGATTACCTCGACGTCGATGCTCTCGTCCTCGGAGCTGGTGTCGGGCACGTGCTCGTCCAGCACGGCGCCGGTGCGCTGCAGGCAGCGCAGCGCGTGGCGCTGCAGGCGCGCCGTGGGCAGCGTGGCGCCGCACACCGGGCACTCGCCCTGCGCCGGCGGCGGCGTCCCGCGCCGCCGCGCCCGCAGCCGCCGCAGACGGTTCAAGTGGACCCGCTGTCGAATACGTACAAATTACAAAGCCTCTGCAATACACTATTATAGGATAAGGATTGTCCATAATAGTAATATTCTATTAATCTCATTCCCATTGCCCTGTGGTCCAGCATTAAATGGGCCACCCATTCCTTTTCCCTGGGTGTCTTAATTATAAATTTTATACACTTTTTATTACACAAATAATAGATTTGCTTCACAAAAGTTTTTTGCTATGCAAAGAAAAACAGGAGCTACAATTGTTGCAACAGTAAAATGTTTCCATTAATACAGGCTTAAACACTATTCCAATTACACTATAACTTTAGTAATGGCAACATTATTACATAACACAGCCGCAGAAAAAAAAACAAACAAATTGAGACCCTTCTTCTTCTGAAAGTTATTTTAAAATAAAGTTTTATTTTCTCACCAGTTATATCTATGATCAGTCAAAAATTATAAGCAGATATGTTGTTTGTGGATAATAACAAAATTGTATCCTCATCAGTGACACCACCTAGTTAGGAATGAGACTAAGGACCCTATTGCTAGGAATATTTCCAACCAGGTCGACCTCCCCATGGCTCCCCCTGGAAACCATAGTGTTGAATTCCATGTTTATTCATCATGATGGCCTAACTGACCTGTCTTGTCATTCTCACCTATCATCATTCACTGGTGCCCCACCAGCATATACCGCTAGTGCAGACGGGTTAGCACTCTATTATATGGAGGAAAGGGATTTTAGTAATGGGGTCTAACTGGCCCATTGCCAGCAATAGACCCTATCAGGTCGACCTCCACATGGTTCCTCCTGGAAACCATCATGGTTAATTCTAGTGGAATGCATCATGATGAGCTAACTGACCTGCTTTCAGACTTATCTATCATCCCTCGCTGGTGCACCGCCAGCATATACGGATAGTGTTGGCGGGGTTACCATGCCATTGTCACCCAATAAAAAAAAACCACTCTATTATCATCCATTAAAAAAAAATCTATTCATACAGATTTTTTTAGGCTCTTATACTATACAATATACAATACAAGAATTATCTATGTACTATTTAACCTATAAATCTTACGGCAAAGTAGTTGTATATATATGTTTAATGTTTATATTTATTAATGTTATTTTATTCTATTTTGTTCTTTCTAGTATATGTAATTGGTTTGTATTTATTAGTTGTAATTTTGTTTTAATTATTATCATGAATATTATAAATAGTGCCCTCTCCCCCCCCCCCCTTTTATATATATATTTTTGGTGCCACTGAAAACCAGCTGTATGTTCACCTAGGACATACATTAAAGCTGAGTGGAGCCATTTCAGTGCATTTTTGGATGTAAAAATTATTATTTTATGTTTATTTTTAATTATGGTAAATTAAGTTTAATTATATGTACATTTTATTTGCTCATTTTTTTTCTCGTTTGTTGTTTATATTGTATTTTTTACATTGCACTGAATAAAATGTTTTTCTTTCTTTCTTATTATATAAAAGTAATTAGTCAAGTAAAGCAAGAGATATGACAAATCTAAAAGTGTACTAAGTATTTTTTTTAATTAGTCCTAAACTGTTGTACCACTAACAATTAAAAAAGTATTCAATTATATATTTATTTAATTATATATGATAAATAAACAATTACCATAATATTTACTAGTGGCTAAACCAATTATTATAATTTACAAAGACCTTTACATAATTACTTATTACATAACATTTAAAATCAATCTTTTGTTATATTTATACACACTTTTTTGTATTAATTAAAGAGTAAGACATAAAAATATAACTTATATAAGAAAAAAAAAACAACTAGTAATGTTATTACTCAAGAAATTTTGAAAAAATATATAACTAGTTTGAAAACTAAAGAAATAACAACAATTTTGTATTCCCTCCATTTCCAACACAATTTGTAAAAAATGTTGGCATACTTTTATTGAAAACAAAAAAAAAAAAATCATAACATCAATAAACAACAACTGTAAATGAAAACTTTGTATTAATTTTTGTTATATAATTACTTTAGGATATTTTATTTTTGAAATGACTAAATTCATTACAGACATGGACAAAAAAACTGTTTACTAATTGTTCTAAATTTGAAAAACACAGTGTACCTGATATACATCGCTGCCGGTACCACCAGAGACGTCAACTTCTGGTTCTTCTACATCTGTCATGCTAGTACTGGATCCAGCCACAGCGTGGCTTGTATTCGGCGAGGAATTACTATGCTTCCTCTTAGAACTGCCGCTAGACAATTTCTGTAGTTTCTCCACTTCTAAAGCCAAGTGGGAATCAAGTTCCCCGTACCGGATAGTACATGAACATACCGGACAATTGGGCAATTCACTAACTTTCTTACGATTTCTAACGCCTATCAATATTCTATCATCGTAAAAATTTGAATAACTACCACTAGCACCATCGTTCACCGAATTCGAACATCCCTCCATATTATTAAACATCAAAATTGGTAACATTTCACAAAACTACTGTTTATTGTCCATAAATAAATCTAAAAACATCGTCACTTTTATTAAAGGAAACACGGATTTAATAGTAGTAACAGGATAAAGACACTTCTATTGTGGTTTTACAACTCATTTTGCAGTTATTTCTTGTTTCATTTAGGGTAATTAGAGTGGTATAATAATCACAAAACAATAACAAACAGACGCGACTCCGACAGAAATCACATACCAATTTTTTCATTAATTTTTTAATGACATATGTCAATTTATGTGACAGTTTATGTTTATCGTTGCAATGAGTTTTGTTTATGCTTTCAGATTAGAAAGACAAATTTCTAATTTATTGTAATGTGTAAATAATGTAACTCTAAAATAAATTTTAGGTATATTATTTTACTAATATGAAATGATATTGCTGGAAATGTTTAACACTATTCTATTGATATGACATATTACTTTGTAAAAATAAAACGCAATAATTTAAAAAAAAAACGACCACCATGTATTTATTTAGGTAGTATCTCTAATATATACGATCTGGGGGAAAGCGATTCTTAATAATGGGATCTAACAACCCCAATACTAGGAATATACCTTATCAGATCAAACCTTCACAATGTTCCCCTTGGAAACCATCGTGGTTAATTCTTATTGAATTTGCCATAATCGGCTAACTGACCTGCCTTTCATGCTCACCTCTCATCCCTCACTGATGCCACACATAGCGTATGCTAATGTTTTCCAATTTTATCCATAAAGAAATATATACAATCTATCTATCATAAATAATTATTTGAGGTTATATTTCAGTTGGAAGGGTCGGATGTGGCATTAAAAAGATAGGGTACGGAGAAATCACACCACAAGCCACAGGAATGAAAAAGATAAGGGTCGTTTTAAGTATCATAGAGTATTTTGTAGTATCGACAGTCCATAGTGTTATTCATGTACAGACATTAATAACACTATGGATAACGTCACTTATAGAGGTGACTTTTTTTTATACAACTTAGAATGGCAAACAAGCTGACGGCCCACCTGATGGAAAGTGATAACCGTCGCCTATAGACATGAGCAGTACCGTGGACATAACAGAGTATACTGTTTCGCCCGTAATACGGGGGTATGCGTTGCCATTCTTGAGGACTCAGGTGTTATGGCTCTGTACCCTGTAAATTCACGCCATATCCCATTCTTCAAATCGAAACACAGTCATGCAAACACAACTGCTTCACGGTAGAAAGACGAATGGGACAGAGGTGGCCAAGCAATCGACTTTTGTACAAAGTCTCCCTCTGGTAACCTCTGTTGAACATCAGCAGACTGGCATGTGGTCGGAACGATTATTCTTTTTCATTAATTAAATGAAATTAATTACCATTAATTTTAAATAAACAATCGGAACGAACTGCGATGAAAAATTTACAAGTAAATAGTACCTACATACCTTCTTGTTATTTTTATAAAAGCATGTAGGTACAGCGGCTCTACCATGAAATGAAATTCCGAAATTTCGGACACAATTGCGTGTTTTTGTTTATACCAAAATCGGACCAATAAATAGAGTTTAACATTTCGATCGTCATACATCCTATCATAAAAGTCCAAAGGAACAATGTTTTAACATTTTTAATATTTCCAAACGGCATGTATTATGTAATTTTAACATCAAATTTTTGTTTCGTTTGGCTCCGAAATTTCGGAAAAACATTTCATGGTAGGCTCTCTGGTCACACCATTACGGTGCAAATAAATACTTGGATAAAAACTACGGTATTTTTGCCTATCCACAAGGCATAAGGTAAAGATAGAATGAATTAATACTGAAGTAAACACATTTTATTTTTTACATTACTGTTTGTTTATGCAATTATAAAGTTTGTACAGTTTGTACAGAATTGTCTATGGATTTCTTCTCTTTGTCCTCTTGACTTTGAACCTTATTCCGCTTGTTAGTAGACGGCAATTTCAAATGCACCGTCCTGACATGGAGTTTTAGGGAGTTCGACTGGCTGAAGGTTTTCGAACAGAACTGACATGCGTATGGCTTCGCTCCAGTGTGTACCTGAAATTAGAAATATATCATTTAATACCCACAAGGTAATTTTACTAATATAATACAATTGTAACTTTTTTTTTAATTTTTTTCTATACAACTTAGAATGGCAAACAAGCTGACGGTCCACCTGATGGAAAGTGGTAACCGTCGCCTATAGACATGAGCAGTACCATGGACATAACAGAGTATACTGTTTCGCCCATGATACCTCCCAAGCGTTGCCATTCCTGAGGACTCAGGTGTTATTCCTCTGTACCCTGTAAATTCACGCCATATCCCATCCTTCATAGGATTCTTAGTCTTTAGGTATCGGCCACACTCACCCTGTAGTGTCTGTTGAGGGCTGGCTTCTGGCTGAACCTCTTGCCGCACACGGCGCAGCAGTACGGCCGTTCACCAGTGTGCGTCCTCGTGTGTATCCTCAGTTGATTGTTATCAGAGAACCGCTTCGAGCATGTGGAACAAGAGTACGGCTTCTCGCCCGTGTGTGTCCGCTGATGGTAGCGCAGCGAGGCGTTTGACTGAACATTTTAGAAGTAAAATGAAACTTTTTGCAATAAACGTGTAAAGTTTAGCTGACATTATACATTTGGTGTAACCAGCCAGTGTATTCAGCCAGCTTGGTATGCAACATTTTTACATTTTTTGTTTGTACACAACATAGAATGACGAATAAGCTGAGGGCCTACCTGATGGAAAACGGTAACCGTCGCTTATACACATGAGCAGTACCGTGGACATAACAGAGTATACTGTTTCGCCCATGAAACCCCCCATGCGTTGCCATTCCTGAGGACTCAGGTGTTATTCCTCTGTACCCAGTAAATTCACTGCCATATCGCACCCTTCAAACCTTCAAACCGAGTTGCCACTTTCCACCAGGTGGGCCGTCAGCTTGTTTGCCATTCTAAGTTGCATAAAAAGAAAAACAGCTGTATACTCACGGTACACTTTTTGCCACAAATTTCGCATACAATGTTTTTGTTGTACTTCAGCCCCAGGTGGATCCTCTTGATATGTGCCTGCAGTTTCGATCGGTTCACGAAGTTGGCACCGCACTGGAAGGTAGACGTGACATGGAATTAGAATAGAATAGAAAAGAGTAGAGTAGAATAGAATAGAATAGCAATATAACAGAACAGAACAGAATAGAATAGAATAGAATAGAATAGAACAGAATAGAATAGAATAGAATAGAATAGAATAGGAATAAAACAGAACAGAATAGAATAAAACAGAATAGAAACATTTATTGCCAGTAAACACACAATTACAATATAAAATATAAATAACATATACAAAAAGTGTCCCGTACTAGGCAGAAGGGACCGGCTCAGCGGATGCTGTGAGTGTCCCAGCGCAATGTGAACAGCTGCACAGCGCTGGTTCTCAGCCAGTCAGATCAGATTGATGGACACTCTTTATTGTTTCCTCCAAAAGATTACAATAGTAAACTTATTATAGATATAAACAATTACAAGAAATAATCACAATGAGAAAACAATGGGCGACCTTATCGCTAAGAGCAATAAGATGTCTCATCATTATATTAGTCGACATTTTGTCCACTGCTGAAGATAGGCCTCCTCCTTGGAAGGCTCTGCTAGTAGTTGCCCCACTTGGCAGGCGGGTTGGCAACAGCAGTTTCTTAATGGATGATATTGGTAATCCCGCCTGAGCTGTCGGTATACGCTGATGGGGCACCAGTGAGGGATGACAGGTGAAAATGAAAAGGCAGGTCAGTTAGCCCATCGTGATGAATATACTTAGAGGGGGGAAAGGGATTGTTAGCAATGGAGTTTGACAGCCCCATTGCTAGCAACATACCTTATTAGGTCGATCACCACGTGGTTCCCTCTGGAAACTATTGTGAACAATTCTTGTTGAATTCGTCACGGTGGGCTAACTGACCTGCTTCATCCTCACCTATCATCCTTCACTGGTGCCCCACCGGTGTATACCGATAGTACGGGTGGGGTTACCATTCCATTATCATCCATTAAAAAAATATATATTTAGAATTCAGCACGATGGTATCCAGGTGAGACCACGTGGAGGTCGATCTGTTAGGGCATATTGTTAGCAATGGGACTGCTAGTTCTCATTACTAACAATCCCTTCCTCCTCTGGCAACAGCAGTTACGCTTTGGTGATGTTTAAAGAGGCTGGTTTTTCGCTGCTGCCCATTTCTCGGCCATTAAGTTTCCTTAGTCACCTCTTACGACATCCACGGGGAAGGAACAAGGTGGCCCATTCTATGCCGGGACCACACGGCAAGATGTACATATTATATGACCAACCCACTTGCCTAGAGTGGCGACTTATGAGGATAAACTTCTCAATGGAAGGGACCGATAATGTGAGAAAAGCAGAGGATCACACATGTTGGAAGGCACTGGGGAAAGCTTGTATCCAGCAGTGGACAGAGACAGACTGGAATGATGATATTGATAACGACTTTAATGTTTTTTTATACTGTTAGCGCAGGTAGAGTTGCCATTCTATTACCACCCATTTGGGTGAGAAGGGATTATTAGTAATGCGGACTACCTGTCCCATTGCTAGCAATATACCCTATCAGGTTGATATCCACGCGGTTTCCTCTGGAAACCATCGTATTGAATTCCAGGTGTATTCATCACGATGGCCCAACTGACTTGTCTTTTCATCGTCACCTATCACCCCTCACTAGTGTTCCGTCAGCGTATACCGATAGCGCAGGGTTTTTTTTTAATGGATGATAATGGAATGGTAACCCGGCCTGCGCTGTCGGTATATGCTGGCGGAGCACCACTGAGGGATAATAGATGAAGATGAAAAGACAGGTCAGTTAGTCCACCGTGACTAATTCAACGATAAATTAGTCACAACAGTTTCTGGGGGGAGCCGCGTGGGGGTCGGCCTGATAGGATATATTGGTAGCTGTAGGGATTAACCTCTGCACTACTAACAATCCCTTCCCCCTTATTCATTACGATGGGCTAACTGACCTGCCTTTCAATCGTCACCCTTCACTGGTGCCTCGCCAGCGTATACCAATAGCGCAGGCGGGGTATTTTTTATATTTGATGGGTGAAAATGGCACGGTCACTCCGCCTGCGCTAACGGGATACGCTGGCGGAGCACCAGTGAAGGGTGATAGATGAGAATGAAAACAGGCCAGTTAGTGCATCACGATGAATTCATCAGGAATTGACCATGATAGTTTCCAGATGGAACCGCGAGGAGGTCGACCTGGTTGGGTATTGCGCAGGCGGGGTTACCATTGTATTCCCAGCCATTGGACTGCATACCTGGTCGCAGGCGAGCCTTGTGTGCGCGTGTGTGGTGGCGGGGACGGGCGCGGTGTTCCTCAGGGCCCGCTCGTGCAGCCGCCGGTGCTGCGCCCGCGCCTCGCCCGCCACCGCCGCCCCGCAGATGCCGCACTCCGAGCTGCCCACATAAGCCTTCTTTTACTACAAACGGGGCTAACGAGCAAGCGGCTCACCTGCTGGTAAGTCACTACCGCCGCCCATGATCACCCGCAACACCAGCGGCATTGCAGGTGTGCTGCCGGCCTTTTAAAAAGGAATACGCTCTTTCCTTGAAGGTTATGTTGTCGTATCGGTTCGGAAATACTGCTGCTGGAAGTTGATTCCAAAGGGTGGTTGTGCGTGGGAGAAACGCTTGCTTTATATAATAGCTTATAATAGTCCATGTATGTCAAGGTTGTCCTTCTGTAGAAATCTGTCCGATTCTAGAATAACGGCATACGGGTACAAGACCCCGGCCTTCCGAGTTGCTGTAGTGTTCCCCACTTTCCTTTCCCATATAAGTCCCTTATTCCTCTCATTCACCAATTTCCTTTACACATTTCCAACGTTCCCTTCTTTTTTTCCTCAATCCTTTCCTCCATACCGTAGGTGGAGAAAACCACCAATAAATCTATTCCCAAAGAGATTTAACGTCAGGCAAACCACCGGTCGTAAAACCATAAGCCATTCATGTTTCTACCGTGAAGCAGTTGTTTGCATGGCTGTGTTTCGGTTTGAAGGTTGGGATATGGCAGTGAATTTACTGGGTACAGAGGAATAACACCTGAGTCCTCGGGAATGGCAACGCATGGGGGGTATCATGAGCGAAACAATATACTGGGGGGAAAGGGATTGTTAGTAATGGAGACTGAGAATCCCATTGCTAGCAATATACCCAACCAGGTCGACCTCCTCGCGGTTCTCCCTGGAAACTGTCATGGTTAATTCCTGATGAACTCATCATGATGGGCTAACCGGTCTGTTTTCATTCTCATCTATCACCCTTCACTGGTGCTCCGCCAGCGTATTCCGTTAGCGCAGGCGGGGTTACCATACCATATTCACCCATCAATAAAAAATAGTTATACAATGTTATTTGAATTGAAATTTATTATTTTTCTGATACAAATATATGTATTATATCTAAATATTTAAAATGTAATCCACCTGTCTATGGCAAATTTAACTTTTTTTTAATGGTAAACCTATACCTGTTTTCACTGGCCAGTTTGTGCTTGACCGAGCTGAGTATGTGACGCTTCCACGCCTCTATGCTGGCAAATTGTATGTTGCATTCCGCACAAAATCTATCAGTCTCGGGTTCTTCGGGATTTTCTATCTGCAAATATATACAAAGATACATACTAACATACATACTAATATATTTTATACAACATGATGATTTTTTAAAGAGCATAATAGAAGGAAAAACAGCGTTCCAGCGTCAGGGGTGTTCTTCTCTAGAAATCTGTCCGATTCTAGAATAAAGACATACGGCATAAGGACATGCGACCCCGGCCTCCCGAGCCGTTGCAGTGTCCCAGTTCTTTCCGCAACTGCAGTGTCCCCCCCCCCCCCCGCTTCCTTTTCCATATAAATCCCTTATTTCTCTCATTCACCAATTTCCTCTACGCATTTTCTACGTTCCCTTCCTTTTTTTCTCAATCCTTTCCTCCTTACCGTAGGTGGAGGAAACCACCAACAAATGCATTCCCAAAGAGGGTTGACGTCAGGCAGGTGGCCGGTCGTAAAACTAAAAACCAAATCTTTTTGTAATATGGATAAAATCATATTACGCCGACCCCAAATGATTGGAATAAGGGTAGGAAGATGATGAATAGAAGAAAAAATAGAGGGCAAAAGAGCAAGGGGTTTGGGTTTTTATTGGATCTAACGGTATACAAAAACCATTAGAAATTGCAAATCATCAACATCATTCCAGTCTGTCTCCATCCACTGCTGGATACAGGCTTTCTCCAGTGCCTTCCAACATGTGTGATCCTCTGCTTTTCTCACACTATTGGTCCCTTCCATTGAAAAGTTTATGCTCATAAGTCGCCACTCTGGACAAGTGGGTTGGTCATATAATATGTACATCTTGTCGTGTGATCCCGGCATAGAAAGAGCCACCTTGTTCCTTCCCCGTGGGTGTCGTAAGAGGCGACTAAGGGGACTTAAGGTCGAGAAATAAGCAGCAGCGAAAAACCAGCCTCTTAAAACATCTCCAAAGCCTAACTGCAGTTGCCAGGTAAAGAAAGGACTTGTTAATGAGAACTAGCAGTCCCATTGCTAACAATATGCCCTAACAGATCGACTTCCACGTGGTCCCCCTGGAAACCACATGCTGAATTCTAAGCGTATTCATCACGATGGACTAATTGTCCTTCCCTTTCATTCTCACCTATCTTCCCTCACTGGTGGCTCGTCAGCGTAAACTAACAGCTCAGGCGGGATTACCAATATCATTAATTAAATAAGTGCGGGTGGCAAGCGTGGCAACCGGTGGCTATGGGTTGGCATGGTATATGGTATATGGTATATGGTATATGGTATATGGTACGGTACGGCTAGGTGCGCGGCGGCGCGGCGGTGCGCCTTGCTGCGGTGCATGCGCAGGCCGCGCGCGCCCACGCAGCCCACGCCGCACGCCGCGCACACGTGCTCGCTCGCGTGCCGCTTGCGCGTGTGCGTCAGGTACGACGTCGGCTTCCTGCGGCCCGCCACGCACGCACGTACATACAGTCATACTCTTTATTGTCCCCTCCATAACGTTACAATACTAAACTTATTATAGATACAAACAATTACAGCTAGCTCTTTCAATGACTGATGAATTTATATCAGAGGGAGACTTTGTACAAAAGTCGTTTGCTTGGCCACCTCTGTCCTATTCGTGTTTCTACCGTGAAGCAGTTGTGTTTGCATGGCTGTGTTTCGGTTTGAAGGGTGGGATATGGCGTGAATTTACTGGGTACAGAGGAATAACACCTGAGTCCTTACGAATAGCAGCGCATGGGGAGTATCATGGGCGAAACAGTATACTCTGTTATGTCCATGGTACTGCTCATGTTTATAGGCGACGGTTACCATTTTCCATCAGGTGGGTCGTCAGCTTGTTTGCCATTCTAAGTTGCATAAAAAAAATATAAGTAAATCTCAGTTCGCCCACTGATTGACTGGTAGAGAACACCGTCCAATGTTAAGTCCGCCATATGTACATAAAATTTTACAGTGCATTAAAGTTTAAATAAATAAAAATATTACATTATAAATATTTAGTATGGTTGACTGGGAGAGAATGCTTTTAGCATCTTCTACCGAATTTGCCGAATTTTCATGGGGAGTGCTCTGAAGAATTGTTCGCATTGATACCTGCTGCTGATTTTCACCATCGTACAACCCGCCATAAACTAAAATTTCATCCCAACCATCTGGACGAGTGGCGGTCCTCCACCGTGCGTTTTTCAAGGCACTTTCTTCCACGCACAACCACTCTTTGGAATCAACTGCCAGCAGCAGTATTTCCGAACCGATACGATAACATAACCTTCAAGAAAAGATCATATTCCTTTTTAAAAGGCCGGCAGCACACCTGCAATGCCGCTGGTGTTGTAGGTGATCATGGGCGGCGGTAGTCACTTACCAGCAGGTGAGCCGCATGCTCGTTTGCCCCCTGAGTTGTAAAAAAAAGTGTCCGCTATGTACATGTCTATGTGCTAATGAATAAATAAATTTCTTACCTGAATTTCTGACTGCATAGCTGGCATTCATACGTGTACCCGTTGTGCCACTTCTCGTGTTCTCTTGCCTGATTTCTGGAATTTGATATAATAAATAGTACGAGTTTATTTTGATGGCAGAGTATTTTGACATTTGAATACTTTGAGACTTATTTTGATAGTTGAATTTTCTATATTTTTCTATAAGCGAAAACATAGAAGTGACTTCATTATTACTAACTTGTTATTGGTTTATTAAATAAATAAATTGGATTGGCTGTAAGTGTTCTCTTTCAGAGATAAAGGCCACGCTTGCAAACTAGTTGCTGACTGCAGCCGGCACACGGCACACGGCACACGGCACACGGCACACGTAGAGTGAAGGGTTACTCACGCGGTGTGAGCGCGGTGCGGGCAGCGTGCGCAGGCGTAGCGGCGCGCGCGGCGGCGTGCGCGCGCGGCGGCGGCGTGCGCGCGCAGCTGGCGGCGGCTGCCGTAGCGCAGCCGGCACACGGCACACGGCACACGGCACACGGCACACGGCACACGGCACACGTAGAGTGAAGGGTTACTCACGCGGTGTGAGCGCGGTGCGGGCAGCGTGCGCAGGCGTAGCGGCGCGCGGCGGCGCGTGCGCGCGCGGCGGCGCTGCGTAGCGCGCGCGCAGCTGGCGGCGGCGCAGGCGTAGCGGCGCGCGTGCGCGGCGGCGGCGTGCGCGCGTAGCAGCCGGCAGCGGCACACGGCACACGGCACACGGCACGCGGTGTGAGCGCGGGCAGCGGCGCAGGCGTAGCGGCGCGCGCGCGCGGCGTGCGCGCGCGGCTGCCGTAGCGCAGCCGGCACACGGCACACGGCACACGGCACACGGCACACGTAGAGTGAAGGGTTACTCACGCGGTGTGAGCGCGGTGCGGGCAGCGTGCGCAGGCGTAGCGGCGCGCGTGCGCGGCGGCGGCGTGCGCGCGCAGCTGGCGGCGGCTGCCGTAGCGCAGCCGGCACACGGCACACGGCACACGGCACACGGCACACGGCACACGTAGAGTGAAGGGTTACTCACGCGGTGTGAGCGCGGTGCGGGCAGCGTGCGCAGGCGTAGCGGCGCGCGTGCGCGGCGGCGGCGTGCGCGCGCAGCTGGCGGCGGCTGCCGTAGCGCAGCCGGCACACGGCACACGGCACACGGCACACGGCACACGTAGAGTGAAGGGTTACTCACGCGGTGTGAGCGCGGTGCGGGCAGCGTGCGCAGGCGTAGCGGCGCGCGTGCGCGGCGGCGGCGTGCGCGCGCAGCTGGCGGCGGCTGCCGTAGCGCAGCCGGCACACGGCGCACTCGTACGCACCGCTGCGCTGCGCCACATGCACACGGCTTTTTTAACGAGTGATAATATAATGGTAACCCCGCCTGCACTATCGGATACCTTGCTTGGGTACCTCTGTCCCATTCGTGTTTCAACCGTGAAGCAGTTGTGTTTGCATGGCTGTGTTTCGGTTTGAAGGGTGGGATATGGCGTAAATTTACAGGGTACAGAGGAATAACACCTGAATCCTCAGGAATGGCAACGCATGGGGGGTATCATAGGCGAAACAGCATGCTCATGTCTATAGACGACGGTTACCACTTTCCATCAGGTGGGACGTTAGCTTGTTTGCCATTCTAAGTTGTATAAAAAAAAAAACCTGTCAAAAAGCTTTAGATACGATTATTTTGACTTGGGGTGCTGGGTCGGAAAACCTCCAAGTGGTCCCTGGCCATTCTAAGTTCACTTGTCCTGGTGCGGATCCGTCCGGCGGGAACGGTGGCTGACAATGGCTGGGGACTGGTGCACCCCGGGCAAAGGCGGTAAGTGACTTCTCGCTGTAGAGATCTCACTTACCGACGACTAATATTTCGACGAAGGTAGCAGCGGTGTTAGTAAGGAAGTTGCATTGTGATGAGGAAGTTTTGTCTCCCAGGAGAAAGGTCGTGCCAGCAGGATGCGCTGACTGACCCCGTGGTACCCCAGCCAACTGAGGCATCTTGGGTCAGGGTGGTAAGAGGTGGCCACAGGAGGCTCCTATATGTCCAGGAAGGACAATTGGCGACGCCTACAAACCGCCAAGTAGGCCAATCGGCTAAAAAGCCGAAGAAGCCGTGACCATCCAAGTTACGGCCACCCAGCTCTGCTGCGGTGGTCATAACCTTCGACCCGGCAGCCGAAGAGCAAGGCGTGACCTACGCTAACATTCTTGCAGAGGCAAGAAAGCAGGTAGCCTTGAATTCTTTGGGGATCCTTTGGGGATTGTGAGGATGTGGACGGCGATCACCGGAGGTCGTATTATTGAGGTCTCCGGTGACAATCATTCGGAGAAGGCAGACGCGCTGGCATTAAAACTCCGGGAATTTATCCCGGAGAATATGACAAAAGTGGTGAGACCCATGAAAAGCGAAGAAATGCGCATTATGGGCCTTGACGACTTCGTAACAGCGAATGAGGTGGTGGCAGCAGTAGCACGCGTCGGTTGCTGAATTGCGGCGAACATCAGAGTGGACATGATCCGTCGCAATTCCTTTGGCGCGGGAGCCTGTTGGGTTCGCGGCCCTATGCTGGCCGTGAAAAAGGTCACTGTTGCGGTGCACATTCGCATCGGTTGGGTGTCGGCGCGAACGCAACTGCTTCGGCAAAGGCCGTTGCGCTGCTTCCGCTGCCTCGAGGGTGGCCACGTGCGAGTCAGGTGCTCGCACGACGAGGACCGCAGCAACGTATGTTATCGCTGCGGTATCGGAGGACACAGGGCAGCGGAATGTGCCGCCAACCCGCTTGTCTTGCACCCCACCCAAACGGAAGCAGAAGAAGCGGGCAGCCGAACAGGCTACCAGCAATCAGGAGATGGACACGGACCAAGCCCTGTCCCACTCCGGCGATCAGGGCGGCTAGCCGCCGATCGCCAAAGGACCGGGATGATGGCCGCGGGGGCGGTCTCACCCCACTCAACATGGCCCTGGGAAGTTGCGCGCGTATCCCCGCGTGCTTCCCCTTGAAGAGTGGGCGGGCGCTTAATATCAGGTGCCTGCTCCATATTTGAGTCGGGGCCCGCAAGCCGGTGCGGGACTCGGTGGACTACGAAAGGGAACCCGGGTCCCCAACATTATGACGCGGCGAGGGATGCCGTGGTGGTTTTAGCCGGTAGGAGTCCGGCAGTACCCATACACCTCTCCAGGGAATAAAAAAAAAAGGGTTATTTTGACATGTTTTGTACACCTAAAAAACCTGCAGGCCAACATGTTACTTCTAATATTCTGCCAATGATCTTAAGCGTTCTACATATAAAACTTTTTTTTTTCTGATGGGTGAAAATGGTATGGTAACCCCGCTTGCGCTAACGGGATGCGCTGGCGGAGCACCAGTGAAGGGTGATAGATGAGAATGAAAACAGGCCAGTTAGCCCATCATGATGAATTCATCAGGAATTAACCATGATAGTTTCCAGGGAGAACCGCGAGGAGATCGACCTGGTTGGGTATATTGCTAGCAATGGGATCCTCAGTCTCCATTACTAACAATCCCTTTCCCCCCAATACATATAAAACTTACCTCATCATGTTTTTCCCTGTGGTTGACGTAAGCTCTCAGATCCACGAATCCTTTATAACACAAGTTACATTTGTACGGCGAGTTCAAATAGTTTAACGACTTCGACCGTTCCATTAACTCTTCCAGCTGTTGCTCCTTCGTCAGTATTATTTCTCGCGCCTCCATTTTGTATTCTACAAGTATAGAAAAGAATGAATGAATGGCTTATTTTCTCTTCACAAAAGCTAGTATAAAGTGACAACTTGAGGTACAATTTGACATGAAGACCTATTTTGTGAGAGACTGGTGCTTGCGGTAGGTTTAGAAGAACCTGTGTTACAAGTCACCAGTGCCCCGTCTCCATGGACTGCACAATTACAAGGCAACCAATTAATGAGATATAAAATGCAAAAAAATACTTATAACATTAAAACTTATTTCTAATATATAACTTAGGCAAAGTTAATTACAAAATACAGACTGTGTGCGTGTGCGTGTGCTTGTGCGTGTGCGTGTGCGTATGCGTGTGCGTGTGCGTGTGCTTGTGCGTGTGCGTATGCGTATGCGTGTGCGTATGCGTGTGCGTGTGTGTGTGTGTGTGCGTGTGTGTGTGCGTGTGCGTGTGCGTGTGCGTGTGTGTGTGCGTGTGCGTGTGTGTGTGCGTGTGCGTGTGCGTGTGCGTATGCGTGCGCGTGCGCGTGTGCGTGTGCGTGTACGTGTGCGTGCGCGTGTGCGTGTGCGGATATTGATACATAGATCGTCATAGTCGTAGAATACTGACGGATCTGACAAACATTACATATATAGATCCGTCAGTATTCTACGACCGTGACGAGATACTCTTTATTGTTTCCTTCATTACATTACAATAAATTTATTATAGACTAGCGGCCCGTCCCGGCGTCGCACGGGTGGACATTTTTAACATTTCCCTTCACTGCTCTGCTCCTATTGATCGTAGCGTGATGAAAAGTATACTATAACCTGCCCAGGAGTATGAACAATAATTGTACCAAGTTTCGTTAAAATCCGTCGACTAGTTTTTGTTTCTATAACGAACATACAGACAGACAGATAGACAGACAAATATTTTACTGATTGCATTTTGGGCATCAGTATCGATCACTAATCAGCGCCTGATAGTTATTTTGCAAATATATTTCATGTACAGAATTGACCTCTCTACAGATTTATTATAAGTATAGATAGATAGATAATATAGATATTAGGTATAGATAGAGAATTTTTTTCATATTACAAAAAGATTTGGCTTCGTTTTACGACCGGTCGCCTGCGGGGGAAAGGGATTGTTAGTAATGGAGACTGAGAATCCCATTGCTAGCAATATACCCAACCAGGTCCACCTCCTCGCGGTTCCCCTGGAAACTATCATGGTTAATTCCTGATGAATTCATCATGATGGGCTAACTGGCCTGTTTTCATTCTCATCTATCACCCTTCACTGGTGCTCCGCCAGCGTATCCCGTTAGCGCAGGCGGGGTTACCATTCCATTTTCACCCATCAAAAAAAGAAACCGGCCGTCTGCTTGACGTCAACCCTCTTTGGGGAATTACAAATTTATTAATGATTCCTTTTTATTTATTTACTAACGCATCGGTTTAAAATAACTACAATGGACCGTATCATAAGATTAATATAGATATATGAATAAATAAAAAAAAAAATGTTAATTACATATGTATGTATGTACACATATAAGGTATGTACCTTTTTTAAGTCTTTTTTTCTCTTCTACTCCCTTTTTACTAGTTGTTGGAGTCTCCTTTCTCTCTTTGTCATTACCGATATTATGTAGAGGCAAATCATCTTCGGAATCCGAATGTATGTTGTCGGATCCTAATGTATGGTTGCCTTCTGCTAAAAAAAAATGTAAAAAAAATTGAACTAGTGAAAATTTTTCCCACATTAGGAATATTAATAAACCAGATTCCAAAACTTTAATAATGGCAACTTATTTGAAAAATACTGAGGAATTCCCAACAAGTTTCGAACATTTGTTTGAAACTTGCGGGAAATTCCCCTGTATTAGACTGGTTTCACAGTTTCACCGTCGAACAGCGCGTTTCAACAGCACGCGCTTGACGCCGAATTTGGATTCCGTCAAAAATGGAGTACGTCGAATTCGGAACACGACGAATACGGAACAAACAATTTTAAACATTTTAGTTGGGGTCTTAGTTTAGTTACCAGAGGGAGACTTTGTACAAAAGTCGATTGCTTGGGTACCTCTGTCCTATTCGTGTTTCTACCGTGAAGCAGTTGTGTTTGCATGGCTGTGTTTCGGTTTGAAGGGTGGGATATGGCGTGAATTTACAGGGTGCAGAGGAATAACACCTGAGTCTTCAGGAATGGCAACGCATAGCGGGTATCATGACTCTGTTATGTCCATGGTACTGCTCGTGTCTATAGGCGACGGTTACCACTTTCCATCAGGTGGGCCGTCAGCTTGTTTGCCATTCTTAAGTTGTATAAAAAAAAAGTTATTTGCCCCAGGACCTTTGATTACCTAGCTACACCAGTGCCAATGTAACTGTGCTTTAGTCTTCCCTTTTCCCCTCATAATAAAAGGTAAGTCCTTTATTATGAAGGGGAAAGGGATTGTTAATAATATTATATGTATTTTTTTTTACAACACAGAGGGCAAACGAGCATGCGGCTCACCTGATGGTAAGTGACTACCGCCGCCCATGATCACCCACAACACCAGCGGCATTGCAGGTGTGCTGCCGGCCTTTTAAAAAGGAATATACTCTTTTCTTGAAGGTTATGTTGTCGTATCGGTTCGGAAATACTGCTGCTGGAAGTTGATTCCAAAGAATGGTTGTGCGTGGAAGAAAGTGCCTTGAAAAACGCTCGGTGGAAGACCGCCACTCGTCCAGATGATTGGGATATGAAACTTTAGTTTGTGGCAGGTTGTACGGTGGTGAAAATCAGCAGCAGGTATCAATCCGAACAATTCCTCAGAACACTCCCCATGATAAATTCGGTAGAAGATGCACAGAGATGCAACATCTCTGCGCAGTTTCAGTGGATCAAGTCGGACAGTAAGGCGTTGACTATCGATAATTCGAGACGCCCGACTTTGAATGCGGTCTAACGGAAGGAGTTGGTACTGTGGCGCTCCTGCCCACAGGTGAGAACAGTATTCCATATGCGGCCTGACTTGACTTCCACATGCCAGAACACCGCCTGAATTTCAGGCGGTGTTCTGGCATGAAATATCGTCTCACCCTATTGAGCACTCCTAACTTTTTGGAAGCTATCTTAGCCTTCTCCTCCAGATGACCGCAAAACTGGACGTCGCAAGATATATCAACGCCCAGAATTCCTAGACTCGACTTTTTATCAAGGGAAGTACCCTGAAAGTGAGGAGATACGACAAACGGCGTCTTTTTTGCGGTAAACGCGCAGACTTGTGTCTTTTTGGGGTTAAATTGGACAAGATTTTGTTCACCCCAGATCGAAACTTAATGGAGTGAAGTTTCGATTTCAGACACAAGTCTATTCCGGCACTCATCGGTATGTGCCCGCGAGATCTTTGCATGACCGGTATATAATGTATCTCCTGTACTGTCGTCTGCATAGCAATGAATATTACTTATGTATATTTTGGTCTGTACTCCATGCTACTGTATTTCACTTGAATTGTTTATTTTTATGTTTTTGGTGCAATAAAGTGTTAAATGAATAATAATAATAATTACCTTCTTCTTTATCACCATTTCTCGTCTCACTTTTTCCTTGGTCTCCATTTACTTCTGCCATTTCATATTTAATAGGCGAGACGAGTGGTTGTTTCTTGGATCTCTTCCATTTGTTCCCATCTCTCCTTCTGCTACTAATATCCTTCAGGGGGAGATCATCTTCTGAATCTGTTACATGTGATGTGTTCTTTACGGCAGTATCTATAATATATTGAAGAGTGTTTATAGGCTAGATCAGCTTTTCCAAAGTGGGCGATAACGCCCACTTGTGGGCACTACAGGCTTAAAGGTAAGAAACTCAGAAAAGCGTTGTGTAGTGGCTTGGGGGGTGATTTGTTGATCTTGAAGTAATAATAGTGGTTTTTAAGTAGGTGAAAAAATGGGGGCGCTAAAAAATAATTTATCCTTAAAGTGGGCAGTAGACAAAATTAGGTTGGGAACCCCTGGGTTAGACTTTACACTTTATTACACCATTTATAAACCAGCCGGTTGGCAACCGCAGTTAAACTTTGGTGATGTTGCAAAAGGGACGCTGCTGCCCATCTTTCGACTATCAAGTTCCCTTAGTCGCCTCTTACAGGTTTACTTACCCTTGGCGTTTTCACCTTTTACTTCACTGTCATACATTGCGGGTTCTTCTTTTATTCTAATTGGATTTGATTCATTTTCCACTATTGCTATACATTGTACTGATGAAATTTGCAACGCGTGTGTTAATCTGTGAGTTTGTCTGTCAATCACGCTTACTGATTTCTGTGTTAGCTGCAAATTAAAAAATAGAAAGGGTGAATTTTTATTATTCCAAGTAGAATAATGTCAATCATTTCACATATAGATTTAATTTTTATCAGTCATTAACTGTACACTGCTGAATGCAGGATTTCCCCTTAAGGCGAGCTTGCCAGTAGTTGCCACGCTTGGCAAGCGGGTTTTGAGAGTGACAAACAGTGTAATAATTAATTTTCATGTAGTCATTATCATGCCTTTGTAATATTACAAATAATTGTTAACAAAACCTCCCTCTCTCTGTTATAATTGTTTATTTATTTATAGGATTACCAACATAAGATACAGCGAAACATTTCAATACAATACACTGGCAGATTAGATCTAACTGTTCTTACATTTATAGGCGACCACAGCGTGCCTTGTGTTTGATAAACATTAAAATAGAATTAAATTATTAAATGTCATTAAATAAGTAAAGATATTAACAATATGAATAATAACATAATATAAATAATGGTAATTGTAATTAAATTATTTTAAATTAATAAATAAATATAATGCAATGGCAGGTACGTCAACATTTTAATTTAGCCATAAACACAGAGTGAATATCGTTATGAATATTAAGTCAGGCTTGGTTTTTACAATATCATTATACAGACGCGTTATGCGGACGATAGGTGATTTCATTTTAGGAACATACCTCAACACCGCAGCTCAGTATTTGCGTTAATAGTTCATTAGCTTTTACAGACTTCTCAAGAAACTGTTGATATTTCTTCAGTTGTGCGTAGCAGATGTAGCAGGCTGTTACTGGCTTCGCACCCGTCACAAGCTGAAGTAATATAAATAAGTACATAGTCATACTATTCATACAGTTCTCAAGCTAGAGGGAAAGGGATTGTTGTTAGCGATATACTTTATCAGGTCTACCTCCACACCATTCTCCTTCAAAATCATCTAGATTAATTATTGTGAAATTTGTCACGATGGGTTAACTGATCCGTTTTCATCCTCATCTATCATCACTTACTGGAGCCCCGCCAGCGTATACTCATGGCGCAGACGGGGTTACCATTTAATTTTTATCCATTAAAAAAAGTCCTCACACTAAAAGATCCACGTAATAAACAGCTGGGGGTTACAATCTAGACCAGTGATTCTCAATCTTTTTTTTATTGTGGCACATATTTAACGATTTCAAAATTTGGCGGCACACAAAGAAAAAGATAAAAATTATTCACTTACTACAACACACTGCATAAATAGTTTATGACAAAAATTTTAAATATTTGCAAAATTTGGCGGCACACTTTTAAAATTTGGCGGCAAACAAAAGTGCCGCCGCACAGTGGTTGAGAATCACTGATCTAGAACATTTATATCAATATTTTGTAATTGTAAAATCTTTATTATACATTTTACATTGGACACATTAAATGATTTAATATACAATGGCAAACTTATCCCATAGAGAGATCTCTTACAGTCAACCTTTGAGAAGCTGAAAAAAAACTATAATTTGTTTATGGACAAAAACAGTACAGCTTAACTCTATAATACCTAGTTAAAATTGAACATAACTTATATATAAAATTCTCGTGTCACGGTGTTTGTCACCAAACTCCTCCGAAATGGCTTTACTGATTTTTATGAAATTTTGTGTGCATATTGGGTAGGTCTGAGAATCGGCCAACATCTATTTTTCATACCCCTCAATGATAAGGGTGACCCACCCAAAAAAATTTTTTTTATTTTTTTGACAAATTTTTCCATTTTTATTTTATTATGATTTAGCATTGCAAAATACACACAACTTTAAATTTTCACCGTTTCACGATCAACCACTGTTTTTTAAGCGCGATTGTTATATTCCGCAATAGGGTTGCAAAATGGCAATCCAATATAATAATTGTAGTAGGATACATTTTCATGTATAGTTCTAAAAATAATGTATATGGTAAAACAATGTTTGCCGAGTCAGCTAGTAATACAATAAAAAGTAATTGTTTACACCTATCATCATCATATCAGCCATTACTGTCCATATTTATATTTTATTTGGAAAACAAGCACCGCAAATAACAGAAAAAAATATTATATAAAAAATAAAGTAATAAAGTAATAATCAGTAAAGTAACTAATAACTTTTACACACAGACCAGACAAGGTTTGATGTACAGCAATAAAAACAAAAGAAACACTAAGATGCAAATACTGTGATATTGAATACTTTCACTGGAGATTGCAAAGTAAACAAGCACATGGCCTAACTAGGCTTATGCCCAAAAGCGTTTACAGATTTTGTAACAGTGAGGAAAAAATGCTGCAGCACTTAATTTGTGGCTGTAACTCACTCATACATACACAATATATCTCCTTTGGAAAGTACACTTTATATCCTGAGGAGGTAAAACACACACCAGCGAATTTAAAAAAAAGGGAGAGCATAAAAGGTCATAACAGGTCATAATGTCACAGGTTTTCTTGCCTGAAAAAAGCCCCACTTTCAATAATAAATTTATAAGGTTTAGAGCAATGAGCGTTTTAGAATTAGATTCAATATTAGAAACATTTGGGCCGATTCTAAATTTGAATAAAATAAATTTGTTTAATAGCCAGAAGTAAACAAGGATATGAAGAATTTGCCCGAGGATGCCTACTAAGATATGGTTAGTCCTGAGTATGTTATAAGGGCGTTGAAAAATATAACCAGATGATGCTTATAGTGTTTCTTTAACATTTTATCGTCCAGCAAAGGACAAACACTAGCCATCTTAATTAACAATAAGAACATTGTTTTGATCACTTCAATCCTTTTAATATTTATTTGACGATGTTGTGTAATACTTAATGTGATGTTTCCTGTGTTCGGAACATTTTTTTTTTCAATTGTTTAAAAAATCAATGGACTAGAATGGATAGAAATGTTACTCACCGATACATTGGTTATTTTTTCATAAAATTCTTGAAGTGCCGTACCAGCCAGGTTGTGCAAACGTACATCGTCTGCCAGACATAGTCTACAGAGAGCTACTTGAGCCATTCTTATAATAATTTAAATATAATAATTTTACTTATCGTACTAAAACATAATCATTAACACTTTATTTTTTTAAATGCGAATTCGTTATACATTCCGTAGTTGTATTTACAAATTTATTTATATGGCAAATATATTCAAAAATTCGTTAAAATTATAAAATTAAGTAAAGTAACACATAAAAGTGCTATACACATCACAAATATACAACAAACAAACGACAATCAACAAAAAACAAACTAAATCATTGAATGGTGTCAGTCAGGTTGTCAATCAAACAGAAATAGTAAATGGCGCTTCCTTTATATGTTTGTCTCTTTCTGATATGTTAATAACTTCATAAACGCAACAAACTAAGCACTATATGGATTTTTATGTTCAATCTATATTTGTTCAGAGCTATATATATATTGGTACTGTCTATGTCAAAATTGACAACTAAAAAAAATACTTTTGTAACAAAGTAGAAAGGAAGATATTTCTTTGTTTTTTTTTTTCTCATTTCTCCTGCATTGGTCGATGCAACGGACGCAATTGCATTTAGTTTCTTTTAGTGAATATCTAGAATATTATGTGCGATTACCATTACAAAGTATAGTAAATAGTAACCTATAACATATTGTTATGATTCAACTCTTTATGCGACGCTTGTTTTGTTCATTGAATTATATATTTCGTAACAGAAATCTTCAACAGTTACAAAATGTAAGTACTTATGACTTAATCACTTACTATTACAAACAATTCTACTGCTCAGAGCATTTAAAAACTATGGGTTTATATAATTTCGACTATATATTTATTCTATAATCTGATACTTCTGAACCGGTTTTGGTCCGTTGATACTTTTAGGTTCTTTTTTTTTTAATCATAGCTGTTTACTACTGCACTGCGTTGGTATAGAGCAAATTTGATTCTTTTTTCTTATGTAATAAGGGCCCATATTTTCTATAGTATGGATGGGTACTTAAGTAAAATAGCTAAAGGAATAAACATTGTTTAGTATTAAAAATAATTTAAAAAATAGTATTTAATATTGTGTAGTTATAAGTCCCAAGTCTACTCTTATTTATCAAAACAATCTACTACAGAACTCTATGCCTGAAATTTTTTTGCAATATGACATAAATTTTGAAGAATTTTTATTATACCAAAATAAAAACTTCAAAGGTCATGAGTTAGAATCTGGCCCATATAAAAAATATTGTCAATTTAATTACCTTACACATTTATGACGGAAAACACAAGTAAGACACCAAATTCATATTTCTAACCATCATAATTTGGGGGAAAGGGATTGTTAGTAATGGAGATTGAGAATCCCATTGCTAACAATATACCCAGCCAGGTCCACCTCCTCGCGGTTCCCCTGGAAACTATCATGGTTAATTCCTGATGAATTAATCATGATGGGCTAACTGGCCTGTTTTCATTCTCACCTATCACCCTTCACTGGTGCTCCGCCAGCATATCCCAGCGCAGGCGGGGTAATCATTCTATTTTCACTCATCAAAAAAAAACCCTCCATGACTTCGCACAGATGCACATTACATTAGAAATCTTTAAAATTATCAGTGTTCCTCTACTATATTATGCATGTATTACATATATAAATCTTCCTCTTGAATCACTCTATCTATTAAAAAAATCGCATCAAAATCCATTGTATAGTTAGATGGGAAACGACTTTGTTTTATACTATGTAGGGATGATACTTTTAAATGGTAGATATTGCTTCTAATTGATAGCCCATCAATTAAAAGCATTCTTTAAAAAAAATAAGGACTTTTGTGAATTAAATTTATTATTATTAAAAATAATTTTAATAAAAAGTTATATTTAGATATTTTCTTTATTTTTCAGGTTCCAATGAAGAAAGAATATTATCATATTATACATGTAAATAAAATTATAATAATTCCATAGACTATGGCTACTGATTATCCATTGACAAGAAGAATACTCGCTTTATGTTATAAAAAAGAAACAATATTATATAATATATTTCTAAATAATTATTTATAAAATCATGAAATTTAAATTTTAATCATGTCCATGTTTCAAAGCCAGTTAGACTTTGTCTGTGACTACTGCAGTCGGCCGTTTACAAGAAAATACAATCTACAAACACATATAGAGAATTGTCATTTGAATAGCTCTTGTTGTTGTGAGATTTGCGAGCAAAGATTCAAGAGCCCAGCTGGGCTTCAGCTTCATCTAACGAGAGGTCACAATCGTAATGGCGAACCATACCCAGAGTGCGAGCTATGCGGTCGCATATTTACCAGGAAACAAAATATAATTTCACACATGCTCAGTGTTCATTTACAAGGTCTGATGCCCAATCAACAGTGCAATTTATGCTTTAAAACGTTCACCACAGAACGTAATTTGAAACGACATGTCTCACAGGTGCATAACCCAAACATTCAACATCCAACTTGCAACGAATGCGACAAAACATTTATAGGCAAACACTCTTTAATTGAACATATTAAATCTACCCATGGCTGTTCTGAGAAAGATGCCATAAAATGTCACATGTGTGATAAAGAGTACACTAATAATAGGAACTTAAAAAGACATATTGAAATGTATCATGGTGAGAAAGGGGAGTACAGATGTGATATTTGTCCAAAAGTGTACACTTCCAATCAGAGTTTAAGGAGGCATCTGCGTACTTGTCATTGGATAGAAGACCAAGAGACTTTACAGTGCGGTTATTGTGAAAAATTGATACCAGGTAAAGAAAATTTAGAGACACATGTTACGTTCTATCACAGACAAGAGACGTATCTCTCTGATTATGATGTCGATAGGAAAACAGAAGAGTTCGCATGCAATACTTGTAATAATTCATACGAAGAGGAATCACTGCTACGGCAACATATAAAAATGGAGCATACATTTGATATTTTCTATAAATACTGTAAAATGGCTCTTCTAAAACAAGTAGAGAAGAATGATAATAACAAAATAAAGACTGTGTTTTATAATTGTGAATTTTGTAATAACATGTTTACAAGTGTGTACGAATTTAAAGATCACATGAAAGTCAATCATGATAAAGAGTATTGCTTGTCGACGTGTAATGTTTGTTTCAATAAGTTCTACAGCAAGGATACAATGTCAGAGCACAAAAAGATATGTCTTCCACCGCCAAATGTGAACAGCTGTGGACACTGCGACAAGTTGTTCACAGATGTGAGCAGTTTAGAATTCCACACGAGAATATTTCATCCGCAAGCTCATATCGCCGATTCCAATATCACATCAACAAATGACGATATAGAAAACGCGTACAAATGCAAACATTGTAATAGAATCTACTACAGCGATAGGTCGTTAAAACACCATATTAAGTTGAAACACACAACAGACGAAGCTATGGAGTGCGAGTACTGTGGGAAAGTTTGCAGCAATAAATATTATTTGGCATCCCATATAAAGATAGTGCACACAAACAATTCCTGGTCCAAATGTGATTATTGTGATAAACAGTTCAAATCTAAACGAAATATCCGGAGGCACATTGAATACACACATCTAGGTATGCAACGGTATAAATGTATCGAATGTGAGACCCTGTTTAAAGAAAAGAGAAGTTTGAGAAAGCATGTTCGAACCAAGCACCCGAATTCGGCAGCATTTCCACAATGTCATATATGCCACAAAAGGTTTGAATCGGCCAAATCCTGCAAGATACACTTGAAGTTACTCCACTCATTCAATATGAATACGCACCCTTGTGATCTGTGCTCTGTATCCTTTAGCTCAAACGAAGCTCTAAGCATACATTTGCAAACGAAACATTTAGCCGAAGACGAGATATACAAATGTGAGCATTGTAATTTAGTGTTCAAAGGGCTTGACAAATTCGAACAGCACAACGAACTATGTCACGTCAATTTAGTACCGAATATAAAACAAAAGGTTCTGCCTCGATGTATTATCTGTATGAAAGACTTCAGTACTAGAAAAACTTTGAAGCGTCACATTAAAAAGTTTCACAACGAATTCGATGCGGACGAATTGGCCACATTCGGTTCTCGACACCGGGTGTTCAATGTCGAATGTGAGGACTGCATCAAAAACTTTCAGGACGACTTCTACTACAATATATATCAGAAATTGAAGCATTTACGCGATTCGATAATATTTAAATGCGAGAGTTGCACATCTACTTATAATTCGTTGGAATTCTCCATTCAGAGGTACAAGTTGAGTCATTATGACACGTGTAAAAGTAAAATGGTGCTGAGCGAGTTATGTACAGCGGAGATGAGCGACGAAGAGGCGTCGTACAGCGGATTTGGTTCTTTACACCAAATGTTGCCGGAGAGTACTACGAATGATGTGAAATTAGAGCCAAGCGAATTTTTAACAGAGGGAGAAATTAAGACTGAACCCATGACACCATAAAATACTTATAAAGTCGACATAAGCTTATCATAGATTATACTCATTCACTTATTTATGATTATTTTCCGGGTGGAGGGGTAAAGGAGCGATGGTCATTGATAAAAACGTATGTAGGTATCCCACACGTCTGCGCAAAGCTGAAATCTCCGTTCGTATTCAGTGATCTCGCACCAGAAAAATTCTGGGTTGGGCACGGCTCACTTACACTCCCGATACATATGCTATGAACACAAGTGAAGCCATTTCTAAAATGGGTAGTACAGTAGATTTTAAACAAGCATAAAACCGTATATACTGCGACACAGACAAAGCATCTCTACTACAGTGTAGTAGAGTGCTTTTTATGACGGCACAGATACATAACTTTGACACTTTAAAAGTAAATTTAGCGCCAATTTATTTTTTTAAAATCTGCAAACAGTCTAAAGATGCGGTGGTGGTATATATATATATATATGATATTTTTATTACAGTGAAAAAACCTGTGACTACATACAGATGATATTTGATTGTATTTTTTTTTTATTTAATTAAATTAAACTTTACTTATTTATAAATGATGTTCCCATAGATTCCCTTATTTTTAAAATAAGAAAATCTATAGGGAAATATAGTATAAAAAAATATACTTAATTAAAAGTAGCAACAGGAAACTTAAATTTTTGTATATTATGTTTAGTTGTTAAACCTCTTTAAATCAATAATGTATAATTAAAAAAAAAATAAACAGCTTTCTTCAAGGAACAGTTACATATAAAAAAATTATCCATTTTACAAACTGTATGGTTTTACATAATTTATTTAAATATTTTTTTTTGTCATATGGAATAGTATCTGACAGTTTCATATATTGTACCCATATATTTTTTTTATAATGTACTTTTATTCCAGATATTAGCAATAATTACCTTAAAACCTTTATTATTTACCTGCTATTGTAAATTAAAATATTTACCTGCTTACATTATTGAATAAAAAAAATATATTAAAAAAATCGTTTTTCTTGAATACTCTATCTGAAAATACAATACAATATAAAAATATTAATGTTTTTTTTTTTTATCATAAGTATCAGGAGAGGGGAGGGGTTATTGCAACAGAAACTTTGTTATTCATTAGACTAAACTTCTTAAAAAGTCTGTACGACTGAAAAGTAATAGAATAATTACTAGTACCGCATTCGAGTGTTCTGACACTTCCCTATGGTTGACTGGGAGAGAATGCTTTTTGCATTAAGTCCGCCATGTACACATATATGTACTAATGAATAAATAAATAAAAAGTAATAAAAAAAATAAGCCCAATAATCAATGAAAAGAAAATTAAAAAGCATTCAAAACCTCCAGAAATCAAATACTTTTATGTTTCCATTATTCTGTCTATTAGGTTTCCTTAAAAATGTTTTTTTTTTAATCCTGCTTTTTGCTTTAATGTCTATAAGCAAGAAAGTTTATTAAAAAGAAATTTGTCAATATAAAGAGTTTGTCCCTAATAAGTATTAAATTAAATCGCATGCTATGTTCATAAATTATATTTAATACTAAAACTTTGCACTTTTACGTCTAATAAAACTCGACGTACTGAGAGGTAATTTTAGTTGTACTACTTTCTTGTTATCATTTGTCACCATTGAAGCACCAATAACTCTTATTTTGTTCCCCAAAGTCTTCAATGATATTTTAAAATTGGCACTCAACTCTTCTGCGTCATATTTAAAATTATTTAAAATGAGAACGAAAACCATTGCATGGCACATCGCCTTATCCTTTAATTGGATTGACCTCGATCGTCTGTTATTACTAAATGTGGTAAAATTAACTAGAATAATATTGTTCAACATAGCAGAATTTTGACATACAGTATAATTTTTTTTCGTAATTTCTTTAGTCATTGTAAAATATAGTTTTACTAAACAGCTCGCGTACAAAGCGAGCACTGTATATTCATTTTCTGTATTACTCTTTAATGCTGTCAAGTTGTTAATCCATGGCAATAACTCCGAAGTATAATCTTTATCCTTAATTTCAGACAATATCTTATCGTACTGGTCGCTACTTAATATCTTATGTTTGTGGTATACATCGTCGACTTTTTTAGCTGCTCTGTCAATCGGAGGGATGTACAAGTCGTCAGATTCGGTTTTTAAATACTGAGAAATGTCTACTTGATCTTCTGTAATATTGACAGTAACATTATGCATCTGGTCACTCACTGTCTCTGTATCGATCTTCAATTTCTCTCTCTGCTCCATTACTCGCTTCTGTTTCTTAGAACCGAATTTCCTACTTAACTCTAAACGACTAGTGTCGACTACCGTGGTTTCGTCCAAGTCATTTTTCGGCACAGGTTTCATCTCTGCAGTTCCCACTTCGATTAATCTAACCTTACCGGTTTTTTTGTTGCGGGCAATTATCCAAGTCTTCCCCGACTCTTCCTTTTGCTCTTTACCAGCATACACTAAGTTAGAAATGGTAGTAGCCACTGTTTTTTCTTTAGTTTTGGTGTCCTCAAATAGAGAGAATTCATTTGGGTTAAATTCATTAGCTGTGTAGCCATTTTGGAAGTTTACTATTAAAGGGTAAGAAGATCCCTTTGGACAAACCTCGTCGATGTGCAATACAGACATTTCTGTTATATTTTCACATTTATCTCTAGTTTTCACGTTGTGTTTAGTATTTTTTTTAGGTTAGGTTAAGTCAAAGAAGACAATTAATGTAGTTAGGTAAATAAAAGCACAGACATAACATACAATAGTTGTCATCTAAGAATGACAGTTGTCTTTACTGTCAAATATAGGTTCCATCTATGTCGACAAATCACATTAACGTAGATAAAGAATGTCTCAGTACTACATCTGATATCACTTCACTAGCGATCCGCCTCGGCTTCGCACGGATGCAATATTTGTTTGTGTAACTTTTAAACTGTTCAACGAATTTTAGTAAGGCTGGTATTTTGGCGTGTGTGAAAGTAATGTATTAACATTCTCTAAAATTAGCTTTTTTATGTACTTGCTTTTATATTCCTCCTGCGTCTTTCATTTCCTCATCCGCCTACTAATCTTGCATGGCCAGCACCAGCGACAGTGCAATAATCTTATCGACTTATTGTTTCAATTTCATATTATCTTCTGACCAACTGCATTAGAAGAGAAATGATTGTTAATAATGGGGACTAAGGGTCCCTTTGTTAACAATATACTAAACAAGGCCGACCTTCACGTGATCCCCCCTGGAAACCATCGTGGTGAAAAGCAGGCCTTCTGGACAAGTAGCGGGCGTCGATGGAATTGTTACCGCTGGTAGGTCCGTGAGATACAATAAGATGGCAACGTCAGATGTTCATTTCAACTCACGGACTGACGATTGCGATTCCATCGAGTAGTTAGCTTGCCGTTTGTCTGGAGAGCCAGGTGTATTTTCTATATGATGAGTTAATTAATTTTTCTTTTTACTCTCACATTTTGGTATCTCGTCAGTGTATACCGATAGCACTGGCGAGGTTACAACTCCATTATCACCCATTAGAAAAAAACCACTTCATCAATTAACATGCTGTAAGAAGTAAACTTTATGAAATTTCCATTTTGATTTAGCTATTTGTTTTTAAAGTACCCGTCAATATCCAAACTTAATCTTGTAAACTTTTTTATTATAAATTACTTTTTATTAAATTTTATTTTTAACATAAAACCATCTTATTGGCTCAGATAATGAACTTAGACATATGGTGTAAATAAAACAATGAAATGTCTTTTAATAAACATATATTTGTCATATAATAAATTTTTCTAATAGATTTTCTAAGTTTTAATAAAATAATCTTCATTATCAACGCATGCAATGGTAAGTTTTCGTGTCTCTAGTCTCGAGGTAATCGCAAAATCAACGACTGTTATGTCAAATAGAATATTAAATAAAATTTTATAATCAACAATTTTAATTCGAACATAGATAAAGAACAGTAGTTTTTACTTATTTAAAAGATGCAAAAATTATAAATCAAAATAAAAATAGAAGTTATAAAGGAAACATAACTATTTATCACGTAAAAGTGTATAAAAAAGTTAACTCGCTTTTCTCGAAGCATTTTTATAGAGACACTATCTATATAATTAGATATAAAAATACCATATATATATATATATATATATATATATATATATTCAATGAATTTGTTTTAACGTTTTCGGTACCGTCTACTATGGAAACATAGGCGTATTAAAATCTATTTTGTATGTGTCAAAACATGCTTGCGTAAATGTGATTTCTCGTTTGTTTTATAATTGCAGTGGTCACAATGCAATCTTTTGTTTTCAATATGTATATTACGTTCATGTCTTTTTAAAGATTTCTTAGTTGAATATTCCTTTGTACATGAATCACATATGAATTTATCTGTCAAGTCTATTTGTAATTGGTTTTTATAATGAGTCAATATGTGTTTGCGCAATTTAGATGGTTCGTTCGTTTGATAATTACAATGATTGCAATGAAATCTGTTTGTTCCTAAATGTATTCGCTTGTGCCTTGTTAAATTTCTTTTATAGGGAAACTCTTTGTTACACAAATCGCACACAAATTTATTTTCATTTTGTTGTTCTTTTGCACCGACATTTTGTTGTAACTTGGCATTGACATTTTGTTGTAACTGTATACTAACATTCTGTTGTTTAGTACAAAGATTTTGTTGTAGTATCTCCCTAATCATTCGTTTAAAGTGAGCATTTATATTTTGTTGTAATTGATCAGTAATAAATTGTTGTAACTGAGTATTAATATCTTTTCGTAATTGGGCACTAATGTTTTGTTGTAATTTGGCACTAATAATCTGTTGTAACTGATCGGTAATAATTTGTTGTAATTGATTGGTGATACTTTGTTGCAATTCGTTAATAAAATTTTGTTGTAACTGAGTACTAATAGTTGTTTGTGATTGAATACAGTTTTGCTCAAGTTGGTCATTACAAATTATATTTAAATTGTTTTTATCTGTGTTTATGTCATTTACAGCTCTGTTGTCTTCAAATTGAACTGATGACGGTGTGTTGTCATTACTTTCAACAAAATCGTCGTGTCCTTCTTTAGTATTTGTTAATTCTTCAATATATTCTATTGTAATATCTCCTGTTTCTTCTTCGTGAAAATTATCATCGTCACAATCATCAATTACATTAGTACAATCATCATCATTAATTTCATTTACTTCATCATACAAATTAGATTTATTATTAAAACTCTCTTTAATTTCCTTATGATTATATATTGATTTTATTTTTAAATTATCATATCTTTTAATATCTTTACCTGTAATAGAAATTTTAATATTATAATGTAATAAATTATGTTTACTTTTTAAGGAATTTTTAGAGTAAAAAGAAGTAAATATAATACAACGCGGTTTCAGAGATGTTTTCTCCCACGAACACTCAGGTTATGGAATGAGGTTCTCTGCCGAGGTTTTCCCAAGAGTCTAAAGCGTGGGGTTCTTCAAAAGGGGGGTAAAGAGGTTTCTTCAGGGTCGGCAACGCGCGCGTAATACCTCAGGTATTGCAGGCGTTCATAGGCTACGGTAACCGATTACCATCAGGCGGGCCGTATGCTTGTTTGCCACCTCAGTGGTAAAAAAAAAATACATTGAATATTTTCGGGAAGTAACAATTTTTTTTAAGATGGTTAGAAATATGCAAAGTTGATTAGTCTATCTGTCTTATTTCCTATAACGTAACATTCATCCCGTTGATTTTAATTTTGGCTGAAATTTTACATTTAATTTAGCTTACATCTATTATATGTTGTGTATGTAACTAGGTGTAAAAAGGGGGAAAGGGATTGTTAGTAATGGGGTCAAATAGCCCCATTACTAGCAATATACCCTGTCCGGTCGACCTTTATGTGATTCCCCCTGAAAATCACCGTGGTTAATTCTAGTTGAATTCGTCACGATGGACTAACTGACCTGGTTTTCATCCTCATCAGTCATCTATCACTGGTGCCCCGCCAGCGTATACCGATAGCGCGGGCGGGGTTACCATACCATTACCAACTGTTAAAAAAATTAGATGTAATATTTTACTTACACATATCTGTATAATGTTCTGGTGCATTGTAGCTCCCCAAGTTGATGTTTAGTGAATTTGCGTATTCACTGCCGTAGAACACCATCAGTTCAGTGAAACGGGGAATGATTTTCACTGTCCTACAGGGAAAAATACAATAATAGGAAAATTTGATATTGTTAGCAGTACGTAGAACTAAGAATCTGCCTATGTTACTAAATATATTAGGATAGAACGTATAGACGCATTTTAAATGTTTTAACGCAGCATAAAACCATGTCTGTATACTGTATATTCACCTGCAGTATATCTGCCCCCGGTACTGGTAGGCGACGAGGTTCTGCCCGCGCCAGTGTTCAGCCCTGTGTACACTCACCTGTAGTATATCTGCCGCCGGTACTGGTAGGCGACGAGGTTCTGCCCGCGCCAGTTCCCAGCCCTGTATACACTCACCTGCAGTATATCTGCCCCCGGTACTGGTAGGCGACGATGTTCTGCCCGCGCCAGTTCCCAGCCCTGTATACACTCGCCTGTAGTATATCTGCCCCCGGTACTGGTAGACGACGAGGTTCTGCCCGCGCCAGTGTCCAGCCCTGTATACACTCACCTGTAGTATATCTGCCCCCGGTACTGGTAGGCGACGAGGTTCTGCCCGCGCCAGTGCCCAGCCCTGTATACACTCACCTGTAGTATATCTGCCCCCGGTACTGGTAGGCGACGAAGTTCTGCCCGAGCAAGTGCTCAGCCCTTTACACACTTACCTGTAGTATACTCGTATCTGCCCCTAGTACTGGTAGGCGACGATGTTCTGCCCGCGCCAGAGCCCAGCCCTGTATACACTCACCTGTAGTATATCTGCCCCCGGTACTGGTAGGCGACGATGTTCTGCCCGCGCCAGTTCCCAGCCCTGTGTACACTCACCTGTAGTATATCTGCCCCCGGTACTGGTAGGCGACGAGGTTCTGCTCGCGCCAGTGCCGAGCGCAATTCACGTAGCGCATCCAGTTGGATGCATTTGGGTCCGCCGCGTCAACCACCGTTAGTTGTTTCTTGTTGCCGTTATATAACTAATGTACAGGTAATATATTTAATAAAATTAAAATAATTGGACTTATGCAATAATAAAGAGATGTGAATATGTAAATAAACATCGCCGGCAGGCAGGTAGGCAATTGTCGAATAGACTAAGCAAGTCTAAAATATATTAGGTAAATATTGTTAAATGGGCAAAATTATAAGAATCTTAGATATTTTAAATATCTTAAATATTTTTTTGCCCGTCTACAGTATTTGAAAAAATAACAATTTATATTTCAAAAGATAGTCCAATAAAATTCAGCGGCTAATAATATTTTTATAGCCTAGAACATTCGTTTATTTAATATATGGGTGATTTATATTTCCTTAACAAATGGCTTCGCTTAATATATCCCTTCATTTTCTGTATAATATGTAGGTATTATGAATTATCACCATCATATCAGGCGTTAACTGTCCACTGCTGAACGTAAGCCTTATACAATTGAAGGAGGGTGGGGGGAGGGGATTGCCAGTAGTTGCCATGCTTAACAGGCGTGTTGGCAACCGCTGTTAGGCTTTAGTGACGTCTAAAAAGCAACGCTACTGTTCATCCTTCAACCACTAAGTTCCCTTAGTCGCCTCTTACGACACCCATGGGAATAGAAGGGGTGGCCCATCTGGTGCCGGGACCACACGACGAGCTACAAATTGTATACAGTATAGTTTTTATTTGAAGAACATAATATATGAATACTACCTTACCTGCCAGCAATACATTGAGGTTATTTCCTGCGTCTGCCTTCCTATGTACGGACCAAAGCGAACGCCGCGTGGCAGAGTTAGTGTACTAAATACACCTAATCCTGCTCCTATATATAAATAAACTTAGATGTAATATTTCTAGTGGCGACACCATACAAGGGGAGGAGGGGAGGGAAGGGCTCAGGGTAAATTAATAAAATGTTTCGATTACTTGCCAATTTAAATTTGTGATTAGAGTCGAGAGTGAGACCACATTTCTTTAAACTTATCGTTTTTTTTATGCCACAAAAGTGGCAAACAAACATACAGCCTGTCTGATAGTAAACGGTCTCTGTAAACTAAAGACGCTGCAACACTAGGCGTGTCACGTGCGCATTGTCGACCCTGAAGAAACTTTAATATACTCTTTTTGAAGAACCCCATACTGTAGTCTCTAGGGAAAACCTCAGCAGGAAGCTCATTCCACAGCCTGAGCGTTCGCGGGGAAAAAATCCTTTGAAACCGCACTGTACGTGACCATTTAGCTTCAAGCGTGTGAAGATGAATTCCCTGTCGATGGCGAGTGGGACGATGATAAAAAGTGGCTATGGGCATCATTTTAAATAATTCATCAGAACGTAATCCGTTATACAAGCGGTAGAACACACAAAGGGAGGGAAAGTCTCGCTTTAGACTTAAGGGCTCGATACCGCCTGTGAGCTTGGGATCGTCAACAAAACTCAAAGCCCATTTTTGAACTAAATCTTTAAAATTCCAATTGGATATCACAGCGTATATTAATTTGATTCAATATGAACTTAATTTGGGTCCGTGGGGCCCCGAGGCCATGAATCTTTTCAAAGAGATATCACGCCGGCTGGTGGAAATTTCTGGTTACCGGAAGGCTGGCCTATACTTTGGTCAACACATTTCCATAGCTATTCAGCGTGGAAATGCAGCAAGTCTCCTAGCTACCCTACCAGCTGGCAGTGATCTCAAAGAAATGTTTTATCTATAAATAATTTTTTAATGAATTGTTTTTGATATTTCTAAAATATTTAAATCGAAATTGTTATAAATTTAGTTTATAATGGTCTATAACATGTTTGTAAATAAATTAGATAGTCGTCTCGTGAGATTTTTTTTATACTACTTAGAATGGCAAACAAGACATAATGTTTGCCAAGAGGACAAGATTAAGTATTAACATAGTTTTTAAGTACATTTACTAACAAAAATGGATTCAGGTTGTCTAAAATAAATAAATTTAATATAAAAAATAATAAAACAGTAATGTCGTGAAACTATCAAATTATTTTTTTAATGGGTTTTTATTTTTATACAACTTAGAATGGCAAACAAGCTGACGGTGCACCTGATGGAAAAGGGTAACCGTCGCCTATAGACATGGGCAGTACCATGGACGTAACAGAGTATACTGTTTCGCCCATGATACTCCTCATGCGTTGCCATCCTGAGGACTCAGGTGTTATTCCTCTGTACCCAGTAAATTCACGCTATATCCCACCCTTCAAAACGAAACACAGCCATGCAAACATAACTATTTTACGGTTGAAACACAAATGGGACAGAGGTACACAAGCAATCGACTTTTGTACAAAGTCTCCCTCTGGTAAACTAGGTATTAATAAACTCTTTAGTTAAATTTGAAAATGGAAAAAGAAAAATATTATTGCCTAGTAACCTTAATATTTATTAGTATTCCAAAAATTGACTTTTGTCTAAAATTGTCTTTACAAATGTTTTATTTAATATTTTAATATAATAGTGCGATACAAGAAGAAGGGCCAAATTAAAAGTATCTACACGTAACCGGCGAGCGTGTATGAAAAGATTGATGAATGTGGAGGAAGCGAAAGAGATTTGTTTGAATCGAAGCATTTGGCGTTCCATTGTTTCTGCCTACCCTAATGGGAGACAGGCGTCACAGATATGTATGTATGTATGTATGTAGTGCGTATAGTAGTATATTAGTAGTATACAGTGTTTTATATATTTAGTGTGTGTTGTGTTATAAATAAACTGTCAATTACTTGGACTATAAAAAAGACTAAATCCATTGTGATATATTACTGCTAGTTCTACTTTCACGCTGGTCCTATTTCCATGTATATTTACTTCTAACAAGGTAGGTATTTAACTGCTACTTTAACAAGGATAAAATTATTTATTTATTTTACACTTTATTGCACCAAGTAAAAAGAGAAATAACAAATACGTGTAAATATTAATGAGAAGTGATACAAAAGGCGGCCTTATCGCTAAGCAATCTCTTCCAGACAACCTTTGGGTAGAGGACATTGAGAAAATGACAAAAAATAATTTTTTATATCACTAGCTTAAAAAAAAGAAGTAAATAAATACCTGGTATTGTGGACGGCGCTATGTGCAGGAAGACGTGAGGCACGGTAAGGGCGGCGCGTGGTACGAACGACGGTAGACCAGTTTGGGATGGTACCTGCCGCACAAAAAGGCTTACGCGACCTTTGAAGTTTTCAATTATTTTTTGACGTCACAATTCAAATTTTTAGTAATAGTTCAATAGGAATTTTACTACATAACATTTTGGTTTAACTAAAAATAAACAAATATGATATGTATGCCATACTAGCTTCATGTTTTTTTGTATGCAATGCACCTGATGGAAAGTGGTAACGGTCGCCTATGAACATAAGCAATACCATGAACATAACAGAGTTTCGCTCACGATATACCCCCCCCCACCCCCATGCGTTGCCATTCCTGAGAACTCAAGTGTTTTTCCTTTGTACCCTACAAATTCACTGCCATATCCCACCCTTCAAACCGAAACACAGGCATGCAAACAACTGCTTCACGGTTAAAACACGAATGGGACAGAGGTGCCCAAGCAAACGACTTTTGTACAAAGTTATTTATATTATATTACCTTGTCGTCTGGAATGACAAGCAATGCTCCGTGCATGGAACAATATTCATATACAAAATCCATGCATTCTTCACAATCTGAAATGGTTTTTATGAAATATCAAATTAGGTTAAAATCTCGTTTCCTGTTTGTTGGTTGCATAATTACATTAGCACATTGCCAATTAAAAAAAAAAAAAACATATTTTTTTTATACAACTTAGAATGGCAAACAAGCTGACGGCCCACCTGATGGAAAGTGGTAACCGTCGCCTATAGACATGAGCAGTACCATGCACATAACAGAGTATACTGTTTCGTCCATGATACCCCCCATGTTTTGCCATTCCTGAGGACTCGGGTGTTATTCCTCTGTACCCAGTAAATTCACGCCATATAGCATTCATACACATTCATTGTTTAGCACATTGCCTTTTTTATATGTTTTTTTTTTTTATTAAAGTAGATATTAAAAAAAAAAAAAAACATATTTTTTTATACAATTTTGTTTAAGCTACCATTATGTGTAGTATATACTAGTATGTGTGCGACTGCCAACACTCAAAGATTTTTTTTTATACAACTTAGAACGGCAAACAAGCTGACGGCCCACCTGATGGAAAGTGGTAACCGTCGCCTATACATATGAGCAGTAGCATGGACATAACAGAGTTTACCGTTTCGCCCATGATACCTCCCATGCGTTGCCATTCCTGAGGACTCAGGACTATAAGTAGCAATTATTAGCAAAACGCTCCAATATGGAGATGCCAATTTTCAGCAGTGGACAGTTAACCGCTGGTATGTACAAGGTCTAATATACAATTGTCTATTACCTTGTTTGTCTATGACACGTTCTCTCTTCTCTCTGACATCGTCCCGCGCTTACATGTGTAATATTTTTTTTAATGGGTGATAATGAAATTGTAACCCCACCCGCGCTATCGGTATACACCGGCGGGGCACCAGTGAAGGATGATAGGTGAGGATGAAGCAGGTCAGTTAGCCCGTCGTGACGAATTCAATAAGAATTGTTTACAATGGTTTCCAGAGAGAACCATGTGGAGGTCGACCTAATAGGGCATATTGCTAACAATGGGGCTGTCAAACTCCATTGCTAACAATCCCTTTCCCCCTACATATGTAATATTGTAAACGGTTCTATCTTTTTCATTTATGTAATTCTGTATAATCAATATGTGAATACTTACCGTTAAGTATTTTGCCAACTACATTAGGACCCGATGATATAGTATGGTGATGGTGATGATGACGACATTTATGTTTAAATATAATTAAATAAAACCTTTTACTAACATATGTATTTATCGAATGATGGCTCATCTGGTTCATAGTAACTTAACAATTTTCTTTTACGTAGATTTTTATTCATAGTTTACAATGTAAATGGAACTTTAAAAATATCTTGCTAATATATTATTTAATAAATAGAATAATGTTATTAAATAAATGGTTAATACGAAATAATATTTTTAATCTAATTTTTCTGAATTTGATACGCTGTAGTATGCCGCCTAGTTCTATTTTTTTTAAATAGTTCCGTGTCACTTAGAAGAAAGAAATGAAATAACCCATGCAACCAGGTGATTGAATTTGAAAATTTGACGATATATTTTTAATTGGGATATATATATATATATATATATATATATATATATATATATATATATATATATATATATATATATATAAAACTTATAATAGTTGTTCAATACTATATATTATTTAAACTTTAATGCATAGTATAAATATGCGTACATGTGGCGGATTTAACATCGGTGAGTGTTCTCTACCAATCAAATATTACGTAAACTGTGAAATACGTATTTTAATGTATTGACACTTATGGTTACACAGATCCTTTTTCTCAGTTTCTTAAATATAAGGGTAGTACCAACTCAACAATAAATTTAAATTTTACCCGCCTTTATTTATTTTTAAAAGTTATTTTTTTTTATCACGCACTGAGAACAAGGACAAATAAAGTACACAACGATTATTTTATACTTCACCGTTTGTATTTGCGACTTCTTGATAAAAATATCCCTTCACGCCACTCGTTTTAAAGATGAAGTTTCGAAATCGATGACGTGAATAAATAATAAAAACATTTAATAATAATAGGTATACAGTTTTTTTTTTTACTTTTGAAATTATAGCATATAAAATAACACCAGAGGGAGACTTTGTACAAAAGTCGATTGCTTGGGTACCTCTGTCCCATTCGTGTTTCAACCGTGAAGCAGTCGTGTTTGCATGGCTGTGTTTCGATTTAAAGGATGGGATATGGCGTGAATTTACAGGGTACAGAGGAATAACACTTGAGTCACATAACCTCAGGAATGGCAACGCATGGGGGGTTGTCCACAATTTTTTTAACTGATTTGTCTAGTAAAGTCATCTTAAAAATCATAATATCAATCATTAATTAAAACTACAGCATGCCACATTTTTTTTTACAACACGGGGCAAACGTGCATGCGGTTCACCTGATGGTAAGTGACTACCGCCGCTCATGATCACCCACAACACCAGCGGCATTGCAGGTGTGCTGCCGGCCTTTTAAAAAGGAATATACTCTTTTCTTGAAGGTTATGTTGTCGTATCGATTCGGAAATACTGATGCTGGAAGTATATGTCTCATACATTTAGTATAACGTATTAAGATATATCTTATGTCATATATGAAAATATAAATCTTATTTCTAACTCTAAACTAGCTTTTTATCCGTTTTTTTTTATACAACTTAGAATGGCAAACAAGCTGACGGCCCACCCGATGGAAAGTGGTAACCGTCGCCTATAGACATGAGCAGTACTATGGACATAACAGAGTAAACTGTTTCGCCCATGATACCCCCCATGCGTTGCCATTCCTGAGGACTCAGATGTCATTCCTCTGTACCCAGTAAATTCATTGCCTTATCCCACCCTTCAAACCGAAACACAGCCATGCAAACACAACTGCTTCACGGTGGAAACACGAATGGGACAGAGGTACCCAAGCAATCGACTTTTGTACAAAGTCTCCCTCTAGTAATTGGTAGGTAATTGTAAACTAAGTATTTAGGGAAGAAAAATAACACAGAGAGCAAAAACAAAACATGTATTTATTTGAAATTAATATTTTAACAATATGTTGGTATAAAGGTACAGTAGGTATGTTGGTTTTAAAAATGAATTAAACAATTAAATAAAATTGGACCACCATTAAAATAAATTAAACAAAAAATAAACATTAGACCTTTTAAACAAAAACAATCACACTTCCACAATATAAAAATGTTAAAAATAAAACTTTAAAAGAATAGAAAAAAAAAATTTAGACAATAGAAAAAAAACAAACATAACAAAAACAATAAAATTCAAAATTAATAACGAATAAAATATTGCATATTTATTTATATACTTGCAGACATTGGTGTATTTAGGGGGGGGGGGGGGGTGCAATTTGTGTCCATTCCAGGATTTTTTTGATACAACTTAGAATGGCAAACAAGCTGACGGCCCACCTGATGGAAAGTGGTAACCGTCGCCTATAGACATGAGCTGTACCATGGACATAACAGAGTATACTGTTTCGCCCATGATACCCCCCATGCGTTGCCATTCCTGAGGACTCAGGTGTTATTCCTTTGTACTCTGTAAATTCACGCCATATCCCACCCTTCAAACTGAAACACAGCCATGCAAACACAACTGTCTCACGGTAGAAACACGAATGGAACTGAGGTGCCCAAGCAAACAGCTTTTGTACAAAGCCTCCCTCTGGTAAAATGTAAATAAATGATATCGACGCTTTCATTAGTCTTATGATGTATAATAATACAGTTATAGTTTATGTTTGTGTTAAAATATGTTTTTCTTTCTGTGGTCACGGCCATTTGAACAGTTGACCTCCACAGCTCGAGGGCGCGCGGCATTCCCCCCCCTGTATTTGATTTATTCATTAGTACATATACGTGTGCATGGCGGACTTAATGCTAAAAGCATTCTCTCCCAGTCAACCATAGGCAAGTGTCAGAATACTCGAATGCGGTACCCTTTCTTAATATAATATATATAATATTCCTTTCTTAATATAATACCCTTTCTCTTTTCTAAATTACTAAGAAATGAAGCTGAATGATTATTTAATGGAAAATAATAACTATCACTTATAGACATCATGGAATAAACTATGACGCCCATGGCACCCCTTATAAGTTACTATTTCTAAGCTCTATGCTGTTTCTGTACCCTCTATAATTCTACTGCCATATTCCATCTTACAAACCGGAACACAGCCATGCAAACACAATTGCTTCAGGGCAGAAATACGTCGTGTATGGGGCAGAGGTGTAAAAGTAGATGGTATTAGTACAGAAGCTCTCTCTGGCGAGAGTTCGCCATTTTTTAAATTGTACATGAAATAATTTACTTACAAAGCATTAGTATCGGGTAGTATATTTTTTTTCAGTAGAACTAATTGCATTTATATTAAATAACTGACTTATTTAACTTATAATAAAAGTATAATAGTTAATTTATTAAACCATATCGCTGTGTGTTTTTAAATGTTTTTTTAAGCTATTTTTATGTTTAAATCTGTACTGACATATCGTACATTCATAAGGCTTCTCGCCGCTGTGTGTTCTTAGATGTGTTTTCAAACTACTTTTTACACTACATCTGTACTGACATATCGTACATTCATAAGGCTTCTCGCCGCTGTGTGTTCTTAGATGTGTTTTCAAACTACTTTTTACACTACATCTGTACTGACATATCGTACATTCATAAGGCTTCTCGCCGCTGTGTGTTCTTAGATGTTTTTTCAAATCGTTTTTTTGGCTACATCTGTACTGACATATCGTACATTCATAAGGTTTCTCGCCGCTGTGTGTTCTTAAATGTATTTTCAAACTACTTTTTTGACTACATCTGTACTGACATATCGTACATTCATAAGGTTTCTCGCCGCTGTGTGTTCTTAAATGTATTTTCAAACTACTTTTTTGACTACATCTGTACTGACATATCGTACATTCATAAGGTTTCTCGCCGCTGTGTGTTCTTAGATGTCTTTTTAAACTACTTTTTACACTACATCTGTACTGACATATCGTACATTCATAAGGTTTCTCGCCGCTGTGTGTTCTTAGATGTTTTTTCAAATCGTTTTTTTGGCTACATCTGTACTGACATATCGTACATTCATAAGGTTTCTCGCCGCTGTGTGTTCTTAAATGTATTTTCAAACTACTTTTTTGACTACATCTGTACTGACATATCGTACATTCATAAGGTTTCTCGCCGCGGTGTGTTCTTAGATGCTCTTTAAAACTACTTTTGTCTTTACATTTATACTGACATGTCGTACACCGATAAGAACACATTGAAACATGGTTTTCCAAAAAACTTCGCGATATAAATGATTCATTACAATATTCACATATAAAACATAAATTTGTAGCATGCACTTTCATAATATGTTTTTCTAATGAGATCCGTGAAATGTCACGGTATTCACATATATCACAGGTAAGGTATATTTTGGATTTGATGGCATTATGTTTTTCTATATGTTCATTAAATCTAATCTGTGTATCAAATTTCTCACCACAATCACGACATACAAATTGTGTTGAAGTTGTATTATTATTACCATCCGTAACAACTTCGGAATCTAATGTGTGTTTTTTAACCGATTTTTCTGAATATGTCTCTAATGTGGTTTGGTTTTTTACTTCTTCGATTGACACAATTTTATTTCTTGCTTCGTTTTCTTTGTTGGTATTATTATTTTCTGGAGTAGTCTTTTTTGCATTATTTTTTAATATCTGTTTCTTTGATGGAACACCTGTACATAATTAAAAAAAGTTAACTACATAGGTAAATGTGTTGTTTATAGTAATTCAAAACATCAAAGAAAACATGACCATTATGAGTTCTATAAAGTTTGTGCACTTATTTGGTGATATATTTATATATACTAAACGACTTTCTGAAAGGTTTTCCCCATAGGCATATTTGGAATTATATTCTAGGGAGGTCTAGGCCCTTAAAAGGCATATATGTATTCTCAAGCACATCTTTGTAAAGTTTCACTAGCATCCTAGAGTGGGTACAAATCAATTTTGGGGTGGGCATGGCCTACTCCCCGCTTAAATACGCCTATTGCTTCTTCGCATATCCATATCTCTGTATATATATATTTTTGCTTATTTTATGCCGTGTGGTACCGGCATAGAATGGGCCATCCCTTCTTTTCCCGTGAATGTCGTAAGAGATGACTAAGGGACGACGAGAGATGGGCGGCAGCGTCCCTATTAAAACATCATCAAAGCCTAACTGCGGTTGCCAACTCGCCTGTCAAGCGTGGCAACTACCGGCAAAACCCTCCTAGGCCTCAACAGTGGACAGTTAACGGCTAATATGATGATATAGAATGTATCTGTAAACGCAAGAACTGTGAAAAGAAAGTAGCTACTTCATTAAGGAAAAATCTAAACTCAGAACTCGCACAGATGCCTTGTAACGTGTTTCGAATACTAAGTACTTACATTTTTACCTATCTCTTCATCATCATCATTATTTCAGCCATTATCTATCTACTGCTTGACATAAACCCCCCATAGACTGTCATAAGGAACGGTCCTGAACCACCTGCATTCACCGACTCCCTGCATTGCAGGTAGACTCTATCTATTTAGGGGTTGTCCTCTTAAGGTGGAAAAAATTATACAAATTTATAAAAAAATATTAAAATCGATTGAGCGGTGTTGAAGATTGAACGAATCGAACGAATATCCTGACATAGGATTTCCATATATTAAGTTATTATATATATAATCATACAAACCATATTTTGCGGCATAACCAGGCGGTGAGTTATATTTCCCCAAATCAATATATAGCATGTTTGCGAACTCACTGCCGTAGAACACCATGAGCTCAGTGAAACGAGGTATTATTTTTATAGTCCTGTAATGTAATTAGAAAATTACTAGCTTTTATCCACGTCTTTGTCCACGTGACGGATATGTTTACTAGTTCAAAGGTAGCCTTCCATATAGTACATGAATACCAAATACCATAGTGATGGGATAAAGATGTTAACTACACTAAGATGTCATTCACATAAACAAACTCACTTTCACATTTATTATATTACTAATTATAAATACTGCAGTGGGAAGCAAGCATACAGCCTGTTTAATGATAAACAGGGTTATTGTAGCCTATGGACGCCTGTAACACCAGTGAGAAGTTAGAAGAGCGAGTTTGTATGTTTGTTACGCTTTTACGCCTAAACCGCTGAATCGATTATAATTAATTTTGGTATAGAGATAGATGCGACACTAGAGATGTTTGCAGGCTATTTTTTTTGTGAATAACTTATAAGAGGGTGGACTGAGGTAGGGGTAAATTTTGTATGAAAGTGTTTATTGCGTCATCCATTTATTGGTTCAAACTTTGCAGAATTATTATTAATAATTCACAATTAAAATATACATACATATTTATTTTTTCAAACTACTCATTAAAGTATATAGTTGCCGTGTGGTCCCGGTATAGAATGAGCCACCCCTTCCTTTTCCATGAGTGTCGTAAGAGGCGATTAAGAGAACTGAATTGTCGACGGATACGCAGCAGCATTTCCTCTTTCTCCACCAAAAGCCTAACTGCGGTTGTCAACCCGCCTGCCAAGCGTGGCAACTACTAGCAAAACCCCCCTTTAATTTAAATGTCTGTATACTGTATATTCACCTGCAGTATATCTGCCCCCGGTACTGGTAGGCGACGATGTTCTGCCCGCGCCAGTGCCCAGCCCTGTATACACTCACCTGTAGTATATCTGCCCCCGGTACTGGTAAGCGACGAGGTTCTGCTCGAGCCAGTGCCCAGCTCTGTGTACACTCACCTGTAGTATATCTGCCCCCGGTACTGGTAGGCGACGAGGTTCTGCCCGCGCCAGTGCCCAGCTCTGTATACACTCACCTGTAGTATATCTGCCCCCGGTACTGGTAGGCGACGAGGTTCTGCCCGCGCCAGTGCCCAGCCCTGTATACACTCACCTGTAGTATATCTGCCCCCGGTACTGGTAGGCGACGAGGTTCTGCCCGCGCCAGTGCCCAGCCCTGTATACACTCACCTGTAGTATATCTGCCCCCGGTACTGGTAGGCGACGAGGTTCTGCCCGCGCCAGTGCCCAGCCCTGTATACACTCACCTGTAGTATATCTGCCCCCGGTACTGGTAGGCGACGAGGTTCTGCTCGCGCCAGTGCCGGGCACAGTTCACGTAGCGCATCCAGTTGGACGCGTTCGGATCCTTTGCGTCAACCACCGCTCGTCGCTTGTTGTTACCGTCATATAACTGAATTAAAATGTATATCATCACGACCTTGATCCTAAATTAGGTAATTAAATTTCAACAACGCGTCATTTAAAAAAAATATATAGATAGATTTATTTAAAATAATCAAAAATCCGTTTTGTTTTTTATTTCAGACCCATAAAAGAGCTAACTAATCGTGCGCCGCACAGGTTCTTTTTTTTTTAAGGAGAATAAATTCAACGCCGTCTTTAAAATAATTAAAACCTTTTTTTCTTTGTATTAATAATTTTTGTATACTTAAATAGTAATTTAATAGTCTTTTAAAAGTTTTTTAGTTGTTATTTAGGTATGAAAAAAATGTAATTCTGAGCCTCTAAACCACCGGGTCCCTTCAAGGCAAATGTTTGACGGCGCCCTTGAAAGTCATTATCCATTTTGATGTTACCCACGCTGGGTCCACCGGGTCCAACATCATATGTGGGGTTAATTGTTAAAAATTTCGTTAGTACACATTATACTTTAATGTAATAACTACCGGATTAGTATATATGTGAACATATCATTTGGTCGAGAAAGTAAAAGTTTCGGGACCATTCCGGATCCTTAATCTTGAGCGACTGTGAAGCGAGAGCAATCTATCTTGATCTGTGACAATGCCGCGAGCGCATACAGCTCGAGTTTAGCGGGCCGAGGCGCACTATTAGTGCGCCCACGTCATGGTTGCTCATGACTAAGAGTCTAGAATGGTCTCGTAACTAGTCGAGTTCTCGCGACCAAATTATACGTAAGTTAAACCGGTAGTTATTATATTAAAATATAATGTGGGACTCCTGAAAAAAAGTTAACCACCCATTTCGATATTGCTCACGCCGCGAGGGCTCTGGCGTTGCCCGACCGCTCATCCCCCTAAGGCCGGTAACCTTGGCGGATGAGGATGAGCTGTTTATATATTATACAAATGTTTTGGTGGTTACCTGCCAACAATACATTGATGTGACCTCTTGCGTTTCCCGTCCTATGTAGGGACCAAATCGAATTCCGCGTGGTAATGTGAGCGTACTGAATACACCTAATCCTGCTCCTAAATTAAATTAATATAAAAGGATTGGATGGATTAGTAGTAAGCCAAAGATATTGGAAGCGGCTCACAATTATCTGGAGTCGGTTAAAATACTTTTATTATAATTTTGTACGTCAGCACACTAGGTTTATAACATTGATTTGGCTTTTGCTGTCATAATGTTGTAATTATTTTTAATGAATAAATAAAATAAATAAAAAAACACCTAGGTATCTAAACGTCTCGGGAATGGTAATAAATACATACTAGGATCATCATCATTTCAGCCACTATCCGTCTACTGCTGGACATAGGTCTCCTCCATAGACTGTCACAAGGAACGGTCCTGAGCCACCTGCATCCACTGACTTACTGCATAGTACACACACATAGCAGGATCGATTAAAGTATTTAACCAATGTTAATGTATCTTGTAGTCCTGGCATAAAATGGGCCACTCCGTCCTTTCCCGTGGGTGTCGTAAGAGGCGATTAAAGGAACTTAGTGGTAAATGGATGGGCAGCAGCGACCCTCTTAAAATGTTACCAAAGCCGAACTGCGGTTGCCAATCCGCCTGTCAAGCGTGGCAAACACTGGCAAAATCTTCTTCATGGAGGAAGCTAATGTCCAGCAGTGGACAGTTAACGGCTGATATGATGATAATGATGATGATTTGACCAATACTTTTTATGAGAATTGTAACGACTTATTTCACTACCCCCTTTTAATCGCGCCAGAAATTTCTACGTCAATATAATATTAAGACTCTTTTTCGTTTGTATAATTTAGAAACATTGTGACGTTTAAGTTTTTTTTTTATACAACTCAGAATGGCAAACAAGCTGACGGCCCACCTGATGGAAAGTGGTAACCGTCGCCTATAGACATGAGCAGTATCGTGGACATAACAGAGTATACTGTTTCGCCCATGATACCCCCCATGCGTTGCCATTCCTGAGGACTCAGGTGTTATTCCTCTGTACCCAGTAAATTCACGCCATATCCCACCCTTCAAACTGAAACACAGCCATGCAAACACAACTGCTTCAAGGTAGAAACACGAATGGGACAGAGGTACCCAAGCAATCGACTTTTGTACAAAGTCTCCCTTCTTCTCTTTCTGTCTTTACGAATCCTACCTAATGTAAAATATTAAATACTGTTTAAATGTTATTGTCGATTACTGTTCATTAGTTTCCTTCTCTCTTATAACTGCAAGATAAATAGAATCTTTCTGCAAGCAAGGTTAGTGACTGAATGCAATAGACGTCCTTACAACGTCACTTCGAGACGTCACTACAAGAATGTCAAACAAGCCAACGGCCCACCTGATGGAAAGTGGTGTGTCGCCTACAGACGCCTAAAGCGATGCGTACCAATTTCATACCATAGACATGTAGGAGGCATCACAGAATATACTATGACGCCCGTGGCGCCCCTCATGCGTTGCAATTTCCGTGAACAATGGTATACACAAGTTATAGAATTATTTTTCTATTAATTCAATGTTTGATTGTAGCCAATATCTTGTGTTAAGTCTGTCATATATACATTTATATTGTGTATTAAATCTTAAATAAAAATATATTCTGGTTTATATTCAATTATTTAGGCAAATTTACTTATTTTAAAGAAGAAAAAACAAAAAAAAAAAAAAAATAGTTCTATTCAAGTAAACATCGATTAAAGCATTTTTTGAATAGTCATTGGTTTTTCATTACCGCCCATTCAATTAAATTCATTCAAAACGCAATTTTAGCCAAGAAGAACGGGGAAGAAACTAAGCTGTTGCTTTTTTCAAAAAAAAATAATTTAATAAAAAAAATGAGTTTGTGTGAATACAAATTAATAAATAGTATCAGATCACAAACTATAAAAATGGGGGGAAAGGGATTGTTAGTAATGGAGACTGAGAATCCCATTGCTAGCAATATACCCAACCAGGTCGACCTCCTCGTGGTTCCCCCTGGAAACTATCATGGTTAATTCCTGATGAATTCATCATGATGGGCTAACTGGTCTGTTTTCATTTTCATCTATCACCCTACACTGGTGCTCCGCCAGCGTATCCCGTTAGCACAGGCGGGGTTAGCATTCCATTTTCACTCATAAAAAAAAAAAACATAAAAAAAGCAGCGCGAAAGTTTAAAAGTTAATAAAATTGTATCTATTTACCTGGAATTATAGATGGCGCTAAGTGTAGAAAAACCCGTGGGATAGTGAGCGCGGCGCGGGGTACGAATGGCGGTAGGCCCGTCTTGGCTGGCACCTAAATTAATGGAGGCCAAAATAAATAAATATATACATATATAATGTATTTTTTATATTATTTTAAGGACTTTTACCTTCTTCACGTATATCAGCCCTATCGTACCCTGAACTGATTTCTCAAATAAAACTTTATCTACTTTCCTTAGACGCGGAAAGAGAGAATTTAATGGGCATCGATAATTTACAGAGATGTTCCAAAATTTCTGATTTGGATTCAGCTAATATAGATATAAGTAGCTAATAACAAAGTTAGCAAAGGTTAACTTATTTCTAAATGGGATTTCTATATTTTAATTTTATTAAACACAAGCTATTGCCCGTATCGTCATGCGTGTGGGTTGAGGGAGTAGGTATCTACTTCCAGATGGCCAATTATTTTGTTAAATTCCGCTACCATTAGTATGTATGTATACTATTAAATTCAAATTCAAATTCAAAAATCATTTATTCATGTAGGACATTTTAGCCGCTTATGAACGTCAAATTTTTACATTATAATTTTATATTTACCCTACCGTCCAGTTCGGTATATAGATCCAATTGAGAAGAACTGGCAAGAAACTCAATTGAATTACTTTTTTTTTTAAAGCCAGTTTATTTACAATGTATATTTATATAGGTGTCTATGTCTAACATTAAATGAAAATTCAGTGCATGAACAACTATTGCCATGCACACTCGTCATTCAAGTAATCGTTTAGTGAGTAATAGGCTTTGCTCAGTAAATATGATTTAACAGATGTTTTGAATTTATTTAAGGGTAATTCCAACATATCCTTTGGTATCTTATTGTAAATTTTTATACCTATTCCCATAAAAGACCTATTAACTTTTTCTAAACGATACTTGGGGACAGCAAGTTTGTCTTTAAATCTAGTATTAATATTATGAATATTGCTGTTTTTTGGAAATAAGTCAAGATTTTTATGAACATATAGAATATTTGAATATATAAATTGAGAAGCAACGGTGAGAATATTTGCCTCTTTGAATTTCTCTCTTAATGAGTCACGACTCTTCATACAGTAGATCGCTCGAACGGCACGTTTTTGTAATATGAATATATTCTTAATATCTGCCGCTTTTCCCCATAGTAATATTCCATAAGAGAGTAAACTATGAAAATAACTAAAATAGACTAATCTAGCAGTATCAGTATCAGTGTACTGTCTAACTTTACGCACGGCAAAAGCTGCTGAACTTAGTTTCGCTGCAAGGCTTTGAATTTGTGCACCCCATTGTGTTTTATTATCTAGTGTGATTCCTAGAAAGACAGTAGATTCTATAAATTCGAGAGATTCGTCATTTAATTTAATATTGCAATTAGTATTAAAACTTTTAGATAGAGAGAAATTAACACATTTTGTTTTTTTTGCGTTTAACATAAGATTGTTAGTTGTAAACCAGTGCAGGAGACGCCGCAAAGCACTATTTACATCGTCATAATTATTAGTCATTCTATTAACTTTAAAAATCAATGAAGTATCGTCTGCAAACAATACTATGCCGCATCTATCCTGCATGGCATATGGGAGATCATTAATGTAAACTAGGAATAAAAATGGACCGAGAATAGATCCTTGAGGTACACCCATTTGCACAAGTGACCCGTCAGACGTAGCGTTGCTAATCTTCACTTTCTGTATTCTATCAGATAGATAAGATTTTATTAAATTTAAAGCATTGTCTTTGACGCCATAAAAAGCAAGTTTTTTTAGCAATGTATTATGATCAACGCAATCAAAAGCCTTAGAAAGGTCACAAAAAACACCTATCACATCCATTATTACCACCAGAAGTTCCACAATCTTCCATATTAGCCCTCAATCTCCGACTGTCATTTCGTCCACGCACGTTTTGTGACACGTGTTTTATTTCCAAACGAGACATCTTCAGACAAATTATTAGATCGCTGATAGGAGCCTAGTGTTAACCGAACACTAATTAAAATCTTATATATTGCTAGTAATGGGTCAGTTACTGACAATCCCTTTCCCCCTTTATGTATGGATTCACGAGAGCGCAGCTGTGATTACATCCCGTGGCATTCCAGGGGGAACCGCGTAGAGGTCGACCTGATAGGGTATATTGCTAGCAATGGGTCAGTTAGACCCCATTACTAACAATCCCTTTCCACCCATTATGTATGGATTAACGTTAATAATTAAAATCATATTTATTACCTTATCATCAGGTATGACGAGCAAGGGGCCATGTATGGAGCAGTATTCGTAAACGAAGTCGGCGCATTCATCACAATCTAGTAACGAATGAATCAGTTAAAACATTTATTGTTGGCTTCAAAGAAATATATGATATCAAATTGTTTATAATTACTCTTCTCCATCCAAAGGTTGCCTGCAAGAGATCGCTCTTAGCGATAAGGTCGCCCATTGTTCTCTCACTGTGATTATTTCTTGTAATTGTTTATATTTATAATAAGTTTACTATTGTAATCTTTTGGAGGAAACAATAAAGAGTATCTATCTATCTATGATATAGTAAAATATTTATACAAAATAATTAAAGACTATAAATATTGCGTTCCCCGAAAAGAACCGAATTCATATTTTGACAAAACCAATTATATTTGTTTTCAAAATTTACCATTCTTGTATTTAAACTAATTATTAAATAAACTATTGAATACATTTTTAAAAAAATTCTATGGAAACAATCATAATATAAAAAAAAAAAATTACATACAAAAAAAGTACATTTTTTAATATGTAGGTATTATTATTTCAACCGTTAACTATCTATCGCTGAACATAAGCCTTCCCCATAAAGGGAGTTTTGACAGTAGTTGCCACGCTTGGCAGGCGGGTTGGCAACCACAGTTAGGCTTTTACAAATGTTTAAAGAGGAACGCTGCTACCCAACCTTCCACTATAAATTCTCTTTGTCGCCTCTTACGACACCCACGGGAAAGGAAGTGGTCCATTCTATGCCGGGACCACACGGCGAACCTGTAAGTACTGAAAACTGCAATAACATACTTTCAGATAAAGAATTTTCCAAATAGGTTTCCAACTGACGGAGTTATGAGGTGACAAATATACAAAATACAACCGAATTGAGAACTTTCGAACGGCCTTATCGCGGTTAACAGTGGAGGTTAACAGAGGAGAAGAAATTCTCCTCCCTAAGGTTTTTTTTAATGGATGATAATGGTATGGTAACCCCGCCTGCGCTAACGGTATACACTGACGTGATAGATGACTGATGAGGATGAAAGCAGGCCAGTTAACCCATCCTGACGAATTCAACTAGAATTAGCCACGACGGTTTCCAGGGGGAACCACGTGGAGGTCGACCTGCCAGGGTATGCTAGTAATGGGGGCTATTTGACCTTACTACTAACAATCCCTTTCCTCCCTCCACCCTAAGGTTACCATACCTACCTTAGGATATAGATGAATAATTACCTAAACTGGCGTCTTTTTTTTATTTGTATACAACTTAGAATGGCAAACAAGCTGACGGCCCACCTGATGGAAAGTGGTAACCGTCGCCTATAGACATGAGCAGTACCGTGGACATAACAGAGTATACTATTTCGCCCGTGATCCCCCCCATGCGTTGCCATTCCTGAGGACTCAGGTGTTATTCCTCTGTACCCAGTAATTTCACGCCTACTCTAGACGTAACGTCTGAGGTTTTGGTTAGGGTAACGAATTCAAGAATTACACGTTATGGTTTTTTGGATGAACTAATATAGAATTTTTTCAATGGGTGATGATGTAATTGTTACCCCGCCTGCGCTAACAGTATACCAGAGGGAGACTTTGTACAAAAGTCGATTGCTTGGGTACCTCTGTCCCATTCGTGTTTCTACCGTGAAGCAGTTGTGTTTGCATGCCTGTGTTTCGGTTTGAAGGGTGGGATATGGCAGTGAATTTACTGGGTACAGAGGAATAACACCTGAGTCCTCAGGAATGGCAACGCATGGGGGGTGTCGTGGGCGAAACAGTATACTCTGTTATGTGCATGGTACTGCTCATGTCTACAGGCGACGGTTACCACTTTCCATCAGGTGGGCCGTCAGCTTGTTTGCTATTCTAAGTTGTATAAAAAAAATACACTGACGGGGCAATAAAATATAATACTTACACACATATTCATCCAAATTTGGCTCGTCCGGTTCGTAATAACTGATCCGCGGTTTTTTCCGCAGATTAAATCGACTCATGTTGACCTAAAAATAATAAATTGGTTATATAATTACCATAATTTCAACCGTTAGCTGTCCACTGCTGAACATAGGTCTCCACCAGTCACCATTAACTGCCATAAGGAACGGTCACGAGTACTCTCGAGTTATCCACTAATGCGTTTGAGATCGTCACTCCATCTAGTAGGAGGTAAACGATAGACACTCTTTATTGTTTCTTCCAAAAGATTACATATATTAATTATTTATTGATAATTTACAAAATTACAACTCCTTTTTCAATTGATTATGTCATTTCCATTGCAAATTTGTCATATTTTATACCAAATTCGAAAACGTAACTGCATAATAATAAAGTTTAAAATGAATATTAATTTATAACAATAATAATCACGTTAGTGCAAATTGTTATTACATTAATATTTATATTAGTATTTAGTAAAAAGTTATTGAATAAAAAAAGAAGAAATAGAAAGATAGATAGATAGATAGATACTCTTTATTGTTTCCTCCAAAAGATTACAATAGTAGACTTATTATAAATATAAATAATTACAAGAAATAATCACAGTGAGAAAACAATGGGCGACCTTATCGCTGAGAGCGATCTCTTGCAGGCAACCTTTGGATGGAGAGGAGTAATTATAAACAATTTGGTGGGAGGCACGATGAAAAATTTTGTTAGTTCTAGATATGGGAGATGTAATACATATAATAATATAAAAATTATCCCTACTCATATATATATATATATATATATATATATATATATATATATATATATATATATATATATATATATATATATATATATATATATATATACGGTTAAAAAAATGGTTATATATATATATATTTATTTAATAACTGACTTTTTAAAAAATTAAATGAATGTATGTAAATGTGTAATTAACTTGTATTGTATGGCATTTGTTATATTATTGACTTGTTATGTATTTGTTTTTGTTTAGTTTGTATTTGTATCTGTTTAGTCTGCTACCACTAGTATGTGTGCGGCTGCCAATATTTATGGATTGATCCTACCAGGCTATTAATATACGTAAGCCACTAAATTATAATACTAAATTTGCATGCCTTTAGATAAGGCGAAATGTGTAGATCTATTATATTTAAGACCATTATTATTACCACATTTCTAGCAAATAAATAAATTATTATTATTATTATTATTATTATAATATAACTTAGCAAAAACAAAATTACAAAATAAAACATTACATAGGTAGTAATGAGCGGATTTATCATTAGAAATACAATACGAATAGTACAAATAAACATCATAATATGAAAAAGATCTAAATAATCCTAGACAATCATATTATTGAATAATATAAATATAAATAAACTAATAATTACCTTTTTATTATTTCTCTAAATCAGTCACTCTAAAAAACGCGGCAAACAACTTTTATTTTTTTATAGTAATTCCCGCTAAAAAGAGGTTTGCCAACTTTTAAAAATGTTTAGGTCAAAGGTACAAATTCAGATTGTTTTAGTGAAATAAGATAGTAGACTTGACACTTGTAAATTTTTTTTTTATTTTTACTCACATCACAAGTATAAAAGATGAAATTGTAGAAAAAAAATCCTGATATGCTATTCTATAACGCACTGTTTTTAAATCTTTTTCATGACACGATGCCCCTAGTATGAAAAAATATTTCGCAATCCCCGATCCTTTGCTTTTCTTTTTTTATGTATTTTGTAATAAAAAAAAGTGAAGTAAAATTGTTTTCTTGGGTCGTTTTTTTTTTATTTTAATATAGGTAAAAAAATCAACCAAAAAAAATTATTTGAAAGAATTTGACTGTTTTACATAAAAAAAATATAATTTTTGAATTAAGTAAACTTCTGTAGTTTCAATGAACTTTGATTTAAGGATTTTTTCTTGATATAAAACAATCAAATTCTTTAAAATTATTTTCTATTTGGGTCAAGTTAATTTTTTAACTATAGTTATAGGCTTTTTTTTTTGTTAATTTGTTTTTTTAACATAAAAATGTTTTAATCATGATTCTTAATGTATCCTTATAACTTTGTTTTTTTTTACTGAGGTAGTTTTCGCGACCGACGTATAAAGGTTTCGTGACTTACTGGGGTCACGATCCACACATTGAAAAATACAAAACGTAATGACTTTTTCTTTATGCGACTTAGAATGGCAAACAAGCTGACGGCCCACCTGATGGAAAGTGGTAACCGTCGCCTATAGACATGAGCAGTACCATGCACATAACAGGGTATACTGTTTCACCCATAATACCCCCATGCGTTGCCATTCCTGAGGACTCAAATGTTATTCCTCTGTACCCAGTAAATTCACGCCATATCCCATCCTTCAAACCGAAACATAGCCATGTTAACACAACTGCTTCACGGTAGAAACACGAATGGGACAGCGGTACTCAAGGAAACGATTTTTGTACAGTCTCCCTTTGGTACATACACATATATATAAAAGAAACTATCTTTAATCCACCTACGACATTTTCTCTATCAATTCCTTTCGGTTTGAAACTTGAAATTACGTATGACGTAAATTCTAGTCCATTTGTTTAATAGGAGAAAATAAAAATGCAATTTTTGTACATAATCTCTGTATAATTATAATTCAGACTGTTACATACAAATAATTATATGAGATTTCTATAAAACTAAACACTATTGGAAATAAATTAATATTAAATCTATATTCATACATTATTAATAATATTTACATTTAAAATCTAATTATTGCATTCACTCGATATAATATATGACATACAATTATGTATTTTGTTACAAAGACTTGAAATATAAAAAAAAATGCATAAATATTGCACATGTTATACGGCTTGTATTTTTTTGAATGAATGGATGAATGAGTATACTTTATTTGCATTATACAATATAGGGGAATAAGCAAGACAATTATAGTACATTACTGCAGCAGCCAGCAACTGAGGCATTGATGGACGAACGTGTAAATGTGGGCCGAGGCGTAGCCGAGGCACACATACGTGAGTCCATCAATGCCTAGTTGTAGCCAAGGCTTGTATAGTACTTTTCTCAAACAATGCGCGGAAATAAAAAAACACAATTTTACTTTTTAAGTTCAATGACGAATAACGAACAATAATAATTTTTCACGCGCCATAATGTTACTTTGGTTTTTTTTTCAATAAACAGCTTTCTATTTGCAAGCCAGTTCGAAATTTAAATATAACCTTTTATTAGTTACCTACTTGGTAGTCATGTTTCGAAGTAAATGGTCATTCCGTTTTTAAATTACAGGACAGATATGAGTTTACATAGTAATTTATCTGGCCGCAAAACACGACAGATATGAATTTTCATACAACTTTTGCCGGCCGCTGCCCGCATGTATCTGGCCAGTGCGGCAATTTTGATTTATCTCGAAGAAGATTGTCAAAATAATGCTCACATTTCTATGTATATATAGTTATAACTATATATAACCAGACCATAAACCATACAACACGTGCAATTTTTTTTTAATTTCATCTGTATTTTCAAGCTATGGGCAGTTAATTTCACCAACAGCAAATTATTGTGACTATTGTAAATATTTATATCGTCTTCACTAACGTTTCTAATTCGGGAGCTGCCCGACTAGTTTCAAACTCAATAGGAGCCCTTACTCGTGAGCGCGGTTCACGGCTGTACCGCGAGCAGCACTGTGCGACCAGCGCGCTGTAAGTTTGCTGCACGCGTGCTGTCGGCGGAAGTGACAGTTTAAAAACGTAAGTAAAGCCCAAATAAACAATTACAATAACAAATTAATACAATATATTTAATGTGAATTTATTTTTCAGTCTATAAACACGATTGAAGCATTATTCAATAACGGTTTCTAATGTTGCAACAGTTTTTTTTTTTTAATAAAAATTCATCGGTTATTTGCTTAGTTATTTTGTTTAATTCCGCTACCGTTAGTATGTGTGCGACTGCCAACACTAGAAGACTGATCACCACTGTTACTGCCAGAAGTTCCACAACCTTCCATATTTTTGTTGGTGAAAATGGAATAGTAACCCCGCCTGCGCTAACGGGATACGCTGGCGGTCGCCAGTGAAGGGTGATAGATGAGAATGAAAACAGGCCAGCGGAATTAAACAAAATTCAAAACAAATAACCGGTGATATAGACTTCCGTAAGATAACACCTAGTTTAGTAAAAAATTCATTCACTAACACACAAACAAGACACGCACACACACACAACTACATTATAAAACATAATTTGATCACAATGTAATGTTATTATATAAACTTACATGTATGTTATATATATATATATGTATATGTATATATTGAGATCGTTTTTGATAGCATTTCATGTGACATTTGTAGATATTTCTATAATTATCTCAAAAATTATATCCATAGGAATAATTTCACACAAGCAGTAGATTTTTTTTTTAATGATAACTCCGCCTGCGCTAACGGTATTCGCTGGAAGGGCATCAGTGGTGGATGGTAAGCGAGGATACCAGCAGGAAAGTTAGCCCAACGTGATGTATTTTACAAAAATTACCACGATTGTTTCCAGGTTCCTCCTGCGGGGAGTTCGATCTGACAGGGTATAATGCTAGCAATGGGACTGCTAGTCCGCATTACTAACAATCCCTTCCCCCTTTAACACTGCAGTTTTTTTTAAATGGATGATAATGGAATGGTAACCCCGCCTGCGCTAACGGTATACGCTGGCGGGGCACCAGTGAGGGATGATAGGTGAGAATGAAAAGACAGGTCAGTTAGCCCATCGTGATGGATTCACTTGAAACAGAACACGATAGTTTCCAGGGGGAACTGCGAGGAGGTCGACCTGATAGGGTGTAATGCTAACGATGGGGGTACTAATCCCCATTTTTAACAATCCATTATCCCCCCTTAACACTGCAGTTAGTACATTTGAGATATGGCTTTTTGAGTAATGGATGAAGAATGCTAGTGTATGGGGGGAAAGGGATTGTTAGTAATGGAGACTGAAAATCCCATTGCTAACAATATTACCCAACCAGGTCGACCTCCTTGGGTTCTCCCTGGAAACTATCATGGTTAATGCCTCATGAATTCATCATGATGTGCTAACTGGCCTGTTTTCATTCTCATCTATCACCCTTCACTGGTGCTCCGCCAGCGTATCCCGTTAGCGCAGGCGGGGTTATTCCATTTTCACCCATAAAAAAAAATGCTAGTGTATTACATTGTATAGCTTGGGACACTGATGGGCTTAGTTCTTTATGGAAGATCACTTATGTCACGTACTTCCATCACAAGATTGGTACACTGGGATCAGGGTTTCTTAAGGAGACAGGGGTACAGTAAAAGCTCTTTGTTCGCGGGGTATTCGTATACGTTTCCCTGAATATGCCGCGAGTATAGAAAGCCGAACCACGTATACAGCATTCGATAATATACTTTAGGCGCAGTTGCAATAAGGTCTCTTTTTATTTTTTCATTAGTCCATTTGCCGACGCGATTACAAAGTATACCTAATCGGTATGTATCAATTTAAGAACAAGGAATTAAATATAGAAGGAATGATAAAATAAAAACTAAATCATATGGTCGCCTCCTTTCTTTTTATGCAAATATAATTAGTAAAAAGAGGACGAAAGATACACCATCAGTTGCTATTTTTGTCAATTCACAGCAGGCTGGTGTATAGAAAATGTCTGATACATCAATTATTTGTCATTACTAGATTATATATTGGACACAGTTTATGTAGAAAGTGTGGAAACAGGTTGTATCTGAATTTGGTAGGGTTATACGGCCGTATAACATTTTCTATAGACTAGCCTGCTATGAATTGCCAATTTCATCACTCCTTCTATGTAATTCCTTGTTCTTAGGTATCAATTAGATCCGCGAATATAGATATTGGGTCGCGAATAAAGGAAGCGTAAATAAGGAACTTTTACTGTACTATACTGGTGATATCTAGTCCTCCATGGCGGCGCACTTCTGCCAGGCGTCCCCGTCGTGCTGCTGCTGCATGCGAGGCCCTCGCGCCCGCTTGGGCCAGGGCTTCTTGAGGTGCACGTGGTCGACGTGGGCGCGCTGCTCGCCCGCTGTCGTGAAGCATTTCCCGCAAGTCTCACACTTGAATGGCTTCAGCCCCGTATGAATCTGGAGAATGACAGATGAGAATTGATCTTTAGTTTTTAACTGTTTACTGCTGGACATAAACCTTCCCCATAAGGGAAGTTTTGCCAGTAGCTGCCACTGGCAGGCGGCTTGGCAACCGCAGTTAGGCTTTGGAGATGTTTTAAGAGGGATCTGCTGCCCATCTTTCGTCTTCGCCTTCTATGACTTAATTTAGTCATCTCATATGAAATGGGGTACTACTCACAAACATATGCCGCCGGCGGTTGTTGAAGAAGGCGAAGTGTTTCCCGCATAGTGGACACTCGTACGTGGGTCGCGTCGCGCTGTGCACCCTGAGGTGGAACACCAGGTTGGTCTTCTGCGTGAAGCTCTTGTCGCAGCGGTCGCATTTGAACCGCTTCTCGCCCGTGTGCACCCACATATGGTCTTTCAGGAGGGCCATACTCTGGGGAAACAGTTTTTAATTTAGAGTGGCAAATATGCTGACGGCCCAATTGATGGAAGGGTAGTAACCGTCGCCTATAGCATCAATTGCATTCTGGGCAATCTAGAATACACTGTGATACCCAGGAAATCCATCATGATTTGCCATGATCAAATGCATATGTGGCTGTTTGTAGGTGATAATCAGTGAATGGCATATATGTGAACTTGCAGGAGGGCCATACTCTGTGATAGGATATCGTTCATAGGTTTTTTTTTATGGGTGAAAATGATATGGTAACCCCGCCTGCGCTAACGGGATACGCTGGCGGAGCACCGGTGAAAGGTGATAGATGAGAATGAAAACAGGCCAGTTAGCCCATCATGATGAATTCATCAGGAATTAACCATGATAGTTTCCAGGGAGAACCGCGAGGAGGTCGACCTGGTTGGGTATATTGCTAGCAATGGGATTCTCAGTCTCCATTACTAACAATCCCTTTCCCCCTATCGTTCAAAGGTTACAGTAACCGCTTACCATCAGGTCGGCCGTATGCTTGTAACCTCAGTGGTATAAAAACATTTACGTGACATTTCAGAGGGGTCACTGTGAATGGCAAGTATGAGAACTTGCAAGTACATTTTTCAACAAAATATCTTTAAAACTAACTGTATTATGCGGCCTTGCCCGTGATGGTGAATAAATACCTATCTCAAATGTCTTAAATTCAAAAATATTTTTTCTAACCGGCTGTTACTTCCAGATATGAGTGCATTCAGTCCCTTTTTTAATACAACTTAGAATGGCAAACAAGCTGACGACCCACCTGATGGAAAGTGGTAACCGTCGCCTATAGACATGAGCAGTACCGTGGACATAATAGACTATACTGTTTCGCCCATGATACCCACCATGCGTTGCCATTCCTGAGGACTCAGGTGTTATTCCTCTGTACCCTGTAAATTCACGCCATATCCCACCCTTCAAACCGAAACACAGCCATGCAAACACAACTGCTTCACGGTAGAAACACACACTACACACAAACGCAAATCTCTTCTGCTTTATATACCTGGAATATCCTGCCGCACTGTTCGCACATACACGGCGTCTTCATCGCGGGATACTTGGTTCGATTCTTGTCCGGGTGCGCCCGCCTGAAGTGCTGCGCGTACAGCCGTAGATCACGCAGCTGGACACCGCACTGGACAAATTAACATAAATATTTGTTATTCACTAGCTTTCCAAGGAGGAAATACTCCTTTTTTAATTCCATACCAACACAGATAAACAGATTTTCTTTTAAATTATTGTTTTGGCGTCCATTGTTCTTATTAAAACCAGACAATTTTTTTCTTAAACCTCTCCTCCATCATGTACAGAGACGCTATCGGTATACACAACCCGCCACAATCTCAAGTTCCATCCCAACCATCTGGAAGAGTGGCGGTCCTCCACCGTGCGTTTTTCAAGGCACTTTCTTCCATGCACAAGCACTCTTTGGAATCAACTTCCAGCAGCAGTATTTCCGAACCGATACGACATCGTAACCTTTAAGAAAAGAGCATATTCCTTTTTAAAAGGCCGGCAGCACACGTGCAATGCCTTTAGTGTTGTGGGTGATCATGGGCGGCGGTAGTCACTTTTCATCAGGTGAGCCGCATGCTCGTTTGCCCACTGTGTTGTAAAAAAAAATGTTAGGTGAGAATGAAAAGGCAGGTCAGTTAGTCCATTGCCGTCGGAGATGTGGCGAGTGCGAAGGCGAACCCATGTCTCCGACATATGGCACCTCGAGGGTATATCGTCTGGTTTTTGGTGGGTACACTCCCACCTTACAGGGGAATTCCCACAGTACCCATTCCCCTCCCACAAGGTGTATGGGTCTGCATAAAGCATTTTCCAGACGTTAATAAAAAAAATAAAAATAAAAAAAGGCCAGTTAGTGCATCGTGACGAATCCAACTATAAATTAGTCACGATAGTTTGTAGAGGGAACTGCGTGGAGGTCGACCTGATATAATGATAGCAACGGGGACTAATCTCCCTTCCCCGGATTGTTAGTAATGCGGGCTACTAGTCCCATTGCTAGCAATATACCCTGTCAGGTCGACCTCCACGCGGTTCCCCCTGGAAACCATCGTGCTGAGTTCCAGGTGTATTCATCACGATGGGCTGACTGACCTGCTTTTTTCATTATTCACCTATCATCTCTCACTGGTGCTCCGCCAGCGTATACCGTTAGCGCAGGCGGGGTTACCATACCATTAATCATGAATTAAAAGAAAAATCCTCCCCCCTCAGGCTGAAAGATAGCAAAAAACGCTGAGAATGAAACGGGAATAGACTGTACGACCTGTTCGCAGGTGACGGGCCCCGCGCAGCCGGCGGGCGGCCGGTCGAGCCGCGCGTGCACGACGGGCCGCCGCTCGATGTGGCGCACCACGCGGCCGTACTTCGAGCTCTTACTCTGCGAGTCGTTCCTTATGCGGTTACTGAAACATATTGCAACCGTGTTGCCCACAGACTATTAATTTATTTATTAAATTTCAAGTAAACAGTTGCATAGACAGTGTATATACTTAGTGCTGCGAAACTGCATTGCAGTTTGTCTGCAGTAAATTGAAATAATTTGAAAAAAATAACTATTTTACCAGCCTTCCATTTATATATATATATATAAATGGCCTCAAAAACGAGTCAATTTTTTGTCAGCCAATTGGGAGACTTTGCACAAAAGTCGATTGCTTAGCCACCTCTGTTCCATTCATGTTTCAACCGTGAAGCAGTTGTGTTTGCATGGCTGTGTTTCGGTTTGAAGGGTGGGATATGGCGTGAACTTACAGGGTACAGAGGAATAACACCTGAGTCCTCAGGAATGGCAACGCATGGGGAGGTATCATGGGCGAAACAGTATACTCTGTTATGTCCATGGTACTGCTCATGTCTATAGGCAACGGTTACCACTTTCCATCAGGTGGGCCGTCAGCTTGTATGCTATTCTAAGTTGTATAAAAAAAAATTGCTGACTCGTTTTTCTTATCAGTGTTCTATATACTTACGCACACAACGAATGGGACAAAGGTACCCAAGCAATCGACTTTTGTACAAAGTCGTGATGTAGACAAAAACAAATACAAGCAAATATATAACTTCTTATTTTTCCAAGTCGGTCAATAATACAACTCACGGGTCATTGTCGCTGCTGTGTTTCGACGACAACTTCAAGTGCCTCGAGTGCGCCTCCTCGGACACGAAAGTTACATCGCAAACGGCGCAGTACGGTCCCTCTAACTGTACCTGTCAACAAGTATTTTATATTATTTTTTTTAAACAAGCCCTTTTCCGCGACTCCCAACTATTTAGTTCCCGTACCTATACTATTCCCATTTGGAATCCTTCATGAATCCGGTCTCATATTGATTTTTTTTATACAACTTAGAATGGCAAACAAGCTGACGGCCCACCTGATGGAAAGTGGTAACCGTCGCCTATAGACATGAGCAGTATCATGGACATAACAGAGTATACTGTTTCGCCTACGATACCACCCATACGTTGCCATTCCTGAGGACTCAGCTGTTATTCCTCTGTACCCAGTAAATTCACGCCATATCCCATATATACCATATAAGTAGGTTGTAAATGTTCCCTCCTTCGTGTTTGAGGTATTTATTTAGTGGCGAGACCATCAACTGACCGGCTTGTCCTTGGCCACCCTGTGTTTCTTCCTCTTGTGCACGTCGATGCCCTTCTTGCTCACGAACGTGTAGCCGCACAGCTCGCACACGAAGTCCGACACGTGCTTGATTCGGATGTGGCCCATGTATGTGGTCAGCTTGCTGTCATACACACAAATACACAAATACATGTACAATCAATACATTGTTTTTTTTTTTTTTATTTTATACTCTTTATTTATATGCATATTTTTATTTATTTTTTAATTTTATGCGTCACGGGTGTCCTTCATTAGAAATCTGTCCGATTCTAGAATAAGGGCATACGGGTACACGACCCCGGCCTCCCGAGATAGATTGAGAGATAGAAGACGATGAAAGATAGATTTTGGCAAACTTTGTTAAATTTGGATATTGTTCGGCATTAGCTGCCCGCCAAGAACAAGGGTCGCGATTGCGATCAATTCGCACTGACATCGCCGGATATCCGGCTATTCGGCCACATGGTTGGCCGAATATCTGATACCCGGTATCCGGTTAAACTGCTCTCCATATCATCTCTAATGATTACCATCATCAATCTAATAATAATAATATAAAAAGAAAAGATTTTATCCTTTATTTGTAACGGTTGAACTAAAAAACCACTGAATCGATTTTATAAATTCACTCACCATTAGAAAGCTATATAACTAGTATGCGAAATAGGCTGTATGCCATTTTCGAAAATTCTATCTACCCGTGAGAGGCCAGGCTGGTTTATTAGTATTAAATGAAGTTCTAGCTACTAACTCGAACTCGCTGGGACAGTGGGGACACTGGTAGCGGGCGCCCGCATGCCACTTTTCGTGCTCGCGCGCCACTCCCCTGTAATCACAACAACATTATTACATCATCAACAAATTTTCAAAAAAATGCAAATTTGAACGGCAAGCAAGCTGACGGCCCACCTGATGAAAAGTGGTAACCGTCGCCTATAGACATGAGCAGTACCGTGGACATAACAGAGTGTACTGTTTCGCCCATGATACCTCCCATGCGTTGCCATTCCTGAGGACTCAGGTGTTATTCCTCTGTACCCTGTAAATTCACTGCCACATCCCACCCTTCAAATGGATACCTGTTTCTCGTGACGAACGGACAGCCGTTGCAGCTGAACTTCTCCGTGTGCTGCGCGGTGAGGTGCTTCCGAAGCGCGCGGGCCGTCTTCAACCGACTTTTGCATATGAAACACTCGAATGCACCGCTTTGCTGAAATAAAAAAAAAAAATATTAATTAGAAAGACATAAATTATTTATTTAGCGCTTAATTTTACACTTTATTATTATATTTTTTTTTATGCATCTTTTGTTTTTACACTACGAGTATAAAAAGAATTATTTATTACCACTCATAATATTGATGCACGTACTTGTTTTTTTATACAACTTAGAATGGCAAACAAGCTGACGGCCCACCTGATGGAAAGTGGTAACCGTCGCCTATACACATGAGCAGTGCCATGGACATAACAGAGTATACTGTTTCGCTCATGATACTCCCCATGCGTTGCCATTCCTGAGGACTCAGGTGTTATTCCTCTGTACCCTGTAAATTCACGGTATATCCCGCCCTTCAAACCGAAATACAGTCATGCAAACACAACTGCTTCACTGTAGAAACACGAATGGGACAGAGGTGGCCAAACAATCAACTTTTGTACAAAGTGTCCCTATGGTGTCGTCTGCTATGTTATTGCCACTAGTCCTGACTAAGGACTAGTGGAAGTCACGAATTGATACTTGATGAAAGATAAATTTTTACATCATAAAAATATAAAAAATATTTTTTTTACAAAACAAGGGGTCAATGAGTATGCGGCTCACCTGATGGTAAGTGACTACCGCCGCCCATGATCACCCACAACACTAACGGCATTGAAGGCGCGCTGCCGGCCTTTTAAAAAGGACTTTTAAAAGGCTTTTCTCATTGTGATTATTTCTTGTAATTATTTATGTTTATAATAAGTTTACTATTGTAATCTTTTGGAGAGAACAATAAAGAGTATCTATCTATCTATCTATGCTCTTTTTTGAAGGTTATGTTGTCGTATCGGTTCGGAAATACTGTTGCTGGATGTTGGTTCCAAAGAGTGGTTGTGCGTGGAAAAAAGTGCCTTGAAAACCGCACGGTGGAAGACCGCCACTCGTCCAGATGGTTGGGATGAAACTTTAGTTTGTGGCAGGTTTTTTTTAATGGATGATAATGGAATGGTAACCCCACCCGCGCTATCGGTAGACACCGGCGAGGCACCAGTGCGGAATAATAGGTGAGAATGAAAGAGCAGGTCAGTTAGCCCATCGTGACAATTTCCACTAGAATAATCACGATAGTTTCCAGGGAAAACTGCGTGGAGGTCGACCTGATGAGGGTGTATTGCTAGTGATGGGGGAGTTTTTTTAATGGGTGATAATGGAATGGTATCGATATAAAGGTGATGATGAAGCAGGTCAGTTAGCCCATCGTGACAATTTCCACTAGAATAATCACGATAGTTTCCAGGGAAAACTGCGTGGAAGTCGACCTGATGAGGGTGTATTGCTAGTTATGGGGGAGTTTTTTTAATGGGTGATAATGGAATGATATCTGTATACAGGTCAGGATGAAGTATGTCAGTTAGCCCATCGTGACAAATTCAACGAGAATTGTTCACGATGGTTTCCAAGTGGTTCCCACATGGAGGTAGACCTAATAGGGCATACAGCTAGCAACGGGGCTATCGAACTCCATTGCTAACAATCCCTTTCCCCCCGTTATGGGGGAATTAGATATCATTACTTACAATTCCTCTACCCCCCAATTCATGGCAAGTTTTACGGATTTATATACTAGTTTTATGACACAAAATGTGAACTTACATCGCTATGGCGGATCACGTGCGCGTCGTATCTGTCCTGTATCTGGAAACCCCTATAGCACATAGTACACTTGAACGGCGCCGTCTTGTAGCTGGACGACTCCTGCCGCTTCTGTATCTCGGCTATTTGTTCGTCGTATGTCAGCTTTATGACCGTAAACAACGTCTCGTCGAGACCGTCGCTTGGTTTCCGCCGTTTGACATCAGACGTTTTGTACCTGGAAGGGAATTTTTAATCAATTAATAATTATGTAAGGCTGAATATATATATGTTACATTAATTTTTTTTATACAACTTAGAATGACAAACAAGCTGAGGGCCCACCTGATGGAAAGTGGTAACCGTCGCCTATAGACATGAGCAGTGCCACGGACATAACAGAGTATACTGTTTCGACCATGATACCTCCCATGCGTTGCCATTCCTGAGGACTCAGATGTTATTCCTCTGTACCCTGTAAATTTACGCCATATTCCACCCTTCAAACCGAAACACAGCCATGCAAACACAGCTGCTTCACGGTAGAAACACGAATGGGACAGAGGTACCCAAGCAATCGACTTTTGTACAAAGTCTCCCTCTGGTAAACCACCTGATGGTAAGTGGTTACTGTAGCCTATGAACGACTGAAATACCAGGGGTATTTTTCTTCAATAGGTGATCATGAAATGGTTACCCCGCCTGCGCTATCGGTATACACCGGCGGGGCACCAGTGAGGTGATAGGATGAGGATGAAAGCAAGTCAGTTGGCCCACCATGACGAATTAGAATTAACCACGAGTTTCCAGGACCCGCCACCGGCAACCGCGTGGAGGTCGACCTGATAAGGTGTATTGGTAGTAATAGAAAAATTAGACTGCATTACTTACAATCCCCCTACCAGGGGTATTACGTGCGCGTTGCCGATCTTGAAAAAACCTCTTTACTTCCCTTTAGAAGAACCCCATGAATTGATGAAAGAATTGAATCATCATAGTTGTAAGATTATCATCATCTCAGCCATTATCTGTCCACTGATAAACATAGGCTTCCCCCATAGACTACCATGAACAAAAACATACTTATCAGTAGCTGCAGTTGGACTGTCCTCCTCCTCGCTCCTCCTGGCGGACTTCTTCTTCTCCCGCCCCTTCTCCAACTTGAGTTTCTTTTTCTTAACCTTACTCTTCGGTTTCACCACCACTTCACTCAACTTCTTGTCGTCCTCTGAATCGTAGTCTACATACTCGTCGAAGAATATTTCATTATCGTTGTTTTCATCCTTCACCTCCACTTCCACTATAGGCGGATTCTCCTCTTCTTCTATCTCCTTCTCCATCTCTTTCTCTATTTCATCGTTCTCCGGTTTGACGAGGACCAATTCCTCTATATCTCCCGCTCTCTTTTCAGTTTTTAATATTACATCGTCGTTTATTACCATGTCAAATTCGTCAATGTCATTTATTTTATGTATTAAACTAGACTTCAGGTTGTGCTCCACTCGGTTTATAGTTAATATGTCGCGTATTGTTATCTGGAGAGAAAGAAAGAATGTAAGAGCAATGTAAATGTAAAAAAGAATCGATTGGTCTCGGATGGTGCCCCGCCAGCGTATACCGTTAGCGCGGGCGTGGTTACCATTCCAATATCATCCATTAAAAAAAAAAATTACATTAACCTTTCTTTGCATGATTTTTTATTATTGGTGAAACAAATCAAGGAAAAATGGTTAAAGAAATAAATTTGACAGCTATGTTTTTTTTTCTGCAATCGACATTAAAAAGGTATCTAGACACGATCAACTTAAAGTGAACATGTTCTTTTATATAATTTTTGGGCATTTAATGTTTTGATGGAAATTTCCGCCAGTATGCAAAGAAGGGTTAACTCCCAACATATATGTATGTATTATGTACCTGTGACAATGTGTATTTAGGATTATTTTTTTTAATACCATAAAAGTGGTAAACAAACATACAGTCCGTTAGATGGTAAACGGTCACTGTAGCCTATGGACGCCTGCAACACTAGGCATGTCACGTGCGCGTTGACGACCCTGATGAAATCTTAATATGCCCTTTCTGAAGTCTCCACAATGGAGCGAATATTGCATTCTTTGACATGTTTTTGTTTATAACTAAAAGCTTCACTTTCAATGTGAGCCTCTTCTGATACCTTGGTTTTTAGATAGTAAATTAAATAGAAATAAAATTAGGTTAATTTTAAAAATTAGATCTGGTCACTGTCCATCAAGAAAGTTTGCATATTTAATGAAAAAAGAAAATTGACCAAATTGCATTGTCTGTGGAAAAGTTGAAGATGTACAGCACCTATTGTATTATATTTATTTATTATTTATTTAACTCTTGCACCATAAATAAAAATATACAATGACAAGTGAATAATTCAAGTGAAATACAGTAACATAAATACAGATTGAAATATACACATAAAGGTACAAAATATTATATTATGTTTTGGGTGCTTGAAACTGATAGAAATTAACTTCTGACTACCCTTCTTCTAAATAGCGAATATAACGAACGCATACTATGTATTTGATCTTTATTTCTTTCTTTTTTATTATTATTATTTTTTTGTCAGTGGTATTTCGCGGCTCACCTTTGGCCACAACAGAATATCAGTGTTTTGCTCTTTTTAGGGCAAAGCAATAAGCTGGACTTGTGACCATTTTGTATTACTGTGGCACACGCATGAAGAAAAAAAAAGTTTTTATTAATTTTATGCATTCTGATTTTTTTTTTTTTTTCTTTTTTAATTTTTTGTACTACTTTTTTTATCTTTTTTCACTTTGCTTTTGTACCTTTCGCTGTTTGCGTGCTGTAAGTGATGCAAATAAATTATCTATCTATCTATTGATGGAATGTGATAGGAACCGAAGGGAAATGGGAAACATTTTTAAAAACAACATTTTTTTTTTGTGGGTATTGTTCAGAGCATAATGCATGCTCCTACTACCAAAATTGCTTTGTGCTTAACTGAATCAGTAAGTAGCGTTGTTTACCAATAATAGAAGATAACCAGAGTTCCCAAGTACCAGATACAACTACGCCTGTGAACTACCCACGTATTAAATAGCCGCAAGTTGCTTACATATCTGGCCGTCTGGACCACTTCCATCATGAGGGTGTGGCTGCGAAGCGCCTTGGCCCGCAGCCGCTGGCACGACAGCAGGCGGTGGGCGCACTCCCAGCATAAATTGTACGGCAGCCTGTCTTCCTCATTTAACTGTAATAATGATATTTAAAGTTTTATAGCTTACTGCATCTTATGCGTCATCGTCCTATCAGCCTTTATCCGTCCACTGCTGGACATAGGCCCCCTCCATAGAACCTGCATCCAATGAACCAGAGGGAGACTTTGTACAAAAGTTGATTGCTTGGGTATCTCTATCCCATTTGTGTTTCAACCGTAAAGCAGTTGTGTGTGCATGGCTGTTTTTCGTAAAATAAGTAGCCTATGTCTTTCCTCACAGTTCAGTGGTTTTGATGTAACAGACACATTGTCCTTCACTGCTCTGCTCCTATTGATGGTAGCGTGATGAAAAGTATACTATAACCTGCCCAGGAGTATGAAGAACAATTGTACCAAGTTTCGTTAAAATCCGTCGAGTAGTTTTCGTTTTTATAACGAACATACAGACAGACAGAGAGACAAAAATTTTACTGTTTGCATTTTTGGCATCAGTATCGATCACTAATCACCCGCCGATAGTTATTTTGGAAATATATTTCATGTGCAGAATTGACCTCTCTACAGATTTATTATAAGTATAGATAAGTCTACTATTGTAATCTTTTGGAGGAAACAATAAAGAGTATCTAGCTATCTATCTATGTACACTCACCGTGATTCCGGTGATCTGTTGAAACGTGTCGTCCAGGTGGCAGTCAGTCAAGTGGTACATTTTCGAGTTCACCGCCAAACATATCCTGCACACCTGGAAATTAACAAATTGCTCATCTGAATGAGACGTCATGAAGAAGCAGATACTCAATTCCATTGTATTTTCATCAATCCGCATCAGAAAGGTGATCTTAAAAGTCATGCTCTCAGTACCCACTCGATGATGAAGCCCAAATCCATCATCCATATTGTTTGAAATCAATTAAAAAAATTTTCACACGGAAGCAACTTTGTACCAATAGCGCTCGCGTAAATAACTGTTATGGCGAGCGTACGGTTGACTGCCTGGTTCCTCGATTTATTAATGAACTACCCACCGATGTACGAGATAACATTACTATTAGCAACATCAAGTGTAAATTAAAACGATACTTCTTGCATGGTTTTAATACAATTTAAATAATTTATGTTAATTAATGTATTTAGTATTAATATAAACCTTGTGGTTAAAATATATATATATATATATTGACAATTGTAGTTTTTTATAAAAAAAAGAATATTTATAAACAATTGAAAAAGAATAAAAAATATACAATACTTCAAATCAACAGACGACATTTGTACTTAATATAAAATATAATAAAATAAAATAATATATACATAACAAGAACCAGCATATTTTACAAACACATATGATAAGTCAACCAGCTGCAAACCTTGGCATACGCGAGCGTACACCAAAAGCGCAAACGCAAGTGCTTGGAAACTCAAACCCAATATATCTCAAATACATCTCAATACATAGCACAAAAAAAAATTCGTTGTATTTTTTTGTATATTTGTCACATCATAACTCCGTCAGTTGTAGACCGATTTGGAAAATTCTTTTTTCATCTGAAAGGGTATACTTACAGATTGGTCCGGTAGAAATTTTATCAAAATCTGTTAAGTAGTTTTGTTTTTAAATAAAAAAAACTGGTATTGCCACAATTAAAGCCTAGATTTCTTTTTTGTAGAATATTTATCTTTAATTTTTCTGATTAGAGATTAAAGATATTTTTTTTGGGATTTCTCTTAAATAGTTATTGGCATTGTCAATACTAAGATGTTTTTTTAATGGGTTCTAATATAATGGTTGCATAAAATCTGGAAGAACCGCAATATAACAAAGAACACCAAAATGCATATAATGAGTAGTTTGGTTTTTCCAATTTTCCTGCATGGTGCAGAAACTTGGACGATCAGGCAACGAGAACGCGAAAAAATTGATGCTCTAGAGATGTGGTGCTGGCGACGACTGCTGCAAATACCTTGGACTGCCTTTCGAACTAACGTTTCCATTTTGAACGAACTGAAAATCAAAGAGAGATTGTCGTCGACTATTCGTATACGAATTCTCAAGTACTTCAGCCATATCATCCGGAATGAAGATTGTATGGAACGTCTAATTGTCCAAGGAGCAATACAAGACAAACATTCTCAGGGTAGATCCCCAACGCGATGGACTGACCTCATCAAAACGGCCACACAGCAGTCTATTGTGGAATGCTCTCGCTCGGCGGCGAACATAAGTAGATGGAGACATATTGCGAGGATGTCAATCGCGAAGGAGGACCTCATCGACGATCCACTGTCATTGTGAAAATCACGATCACTCTGTCAAGAGTGTACGACTGAAGACAGAATATAATGGTAACCTTGCCTGCGTTATCGGTATACATTGACCGGGCACCAGTAAGAGATAGATAGATATATATATAAAAAATTATGAGCTGTAAAGATAATGGATTAAGGAATGGGATACCATTTCTAAATACGTAATTAGAATCGAGAAGAGTAAGTCCGGATAATCGAAATTCTACTATATAGAAAAAAAAAACACGCTTACTTGAGCAATAACAGGAATGGCTCCGTTCTTTATCTTGCGCAGACCACACTTGGTGTCGTAGAAGTCCTCGTCCCGGAAGTGTTCGGAGCACACTGAGCTGCGTTCTTTTGGCTCCCAGTCCTTCATGCCGAGGGCTTCTATCCAGGCCGTGCGGAGATTTTCTTCTTTAGGGAACCTGTAATAAGATAGACACAACATTTATTCTATTAATATGAGTCATAAAGATGCTTAAGAGAAGGAGGCCTTTGTTCAGCTGTGGACAGTTAATGGCCTATGTGGATGGATAGACATAAGATTAAAATAATCCTCTCTTTTCATTTAACAGTTTTCTCTTGTCAGTGCAAATAATTCATGCCTTCTCTTCCAGCCAGCTCCATCCCAGGCCATACCCTTGACCAATAAAATCCTTGAAAAAAAATGCTATAAAATATCTTTGGTCGCGTGCGCTGCGGTAACTATTGGTGATAGAACAAAAGTATGTTCTACAATATTGAAGAAAATATCGATAACTACAAAAAACTTGGCGACACTATATGTCCAACTATTATCGTTATGTCACAATAACCACTTTTTAAAATGTTGTAAAAATGTCATGTAAAAATGTAATATAAATGTGCCATACCAGCCGTTATTACCCATTAAAAAAAATACCTTAATAGGTCGACCTCCACATAGTTTTTCCTGGAAACTATCATGGTTAATTCTCATCGAATTTTTCACAATGGGCCAATTGATCTGCCTTCATCCTTATGTATCATCTGTCACTGGTGCCTCATCAGCATATATATAGAGCTCAGGCAGGATTACTGTTCCATATTTTACCAGAGGGAGACTTTGTACAAAAGTCGATTGCTTGGATACCTCTGTCCCATTCGTGTTTCTACCATGAAGTAGTTGTGTTTGCATGGCTGTGTTTCGGTTTGAAGGGTGGGATATGGCATGAATTTACAGGGTACAGAGGAATAACATCTGAGTCCTCAGGAATGGCAACGCATGCGGGGTATCATAGGTGAAACAGTATACTTTGTTATGTCCATGGTACTGCTCATGTCTATAGGCGACTGTTACCACTTTCCATCAGGTGGGCCGTCAGCTTGTTTGCCATTCTAAGTTGTATAAAAAAAATTTACTCATTAAAAATCATTCCCACAATTAGTGACAATGATAATCTCAAAATGTAACATTATTGAAATAAGAGTATTTAATTCAACTTTAAACTGTCCACTGTTGGACATGGATTTCTCCATAAGACGAGTTTTGCCAGTAGTTACCTTACTTGTCAGGCGGGTTTGTAACTCCAGTTAGATTTTTAAAGATGTTTTAAGAGGGACACTGCTACCTATCCCTTGCCTTCCTTTAATTGCCTCACACAACACCCACAGGAAAGGAAAGGGCGGCCCATTCTATGCCAGGGTACACATGACGAGAAATAGAAGTATAAAAATAAAGAAATAAATAAAAGGGCCTTTTGTAATATTTAAATTTGTTACTTGTTAATTGACCACAATATTGGAAGTAGGATTTCCAACTTTATTACAAAAAATAAAATATATTTAATCTTAGAAGAATTTTAAACAGTATTTTATTTTTTATTTATTTATATTTTATAAATACATTTTTTTTAAGAGCTTTATATGCCTCACCAGAATTACAAGTAAAATTAAAACAAATAAAGAGCTTATTTTTTCTTAAATTAATCTGCACTGAGTGCCCTCTTACAGAATAAAAAAAAAATTGTGTGAGCATAGAAGACTAACACTTACAGTGTTAAGTATTTTGATGCTGAAAACAGTATTTTGTATACTTTTTTCTTGTTCAACAGTAAATAATATAATGTAGCGAAAAACAGTGTAATACAGTTTTTAACAGTATAGTTGGCAACTTTAGTTGGAGGGTGCCTATATAAGTAATATTATTTTTGTTTTAAATGTTTAAATTAGTTTCGTAAGAGACAAGCAAAGATTGTTTACAATTATGCCAAATATATATAAATAAACGAGGTATATATTCGTATTGAAGTTTGTATTTATACTTACAAATGAAAAGTGATTCCTTGACTCTTGGTCATTCGTTTTGTATCATTGGTACAGAATTGTACGCTACACCTCATTTTCGGTATATTTTCCTCTCACAATATTATAAAAACAATGTATTAAACAATAATAGAAACATCTTAATTGCATTTGAATGCATTATTGTAATATTTTGTTTTAGTAGTACGCTTCAGATTTAAATGCATAATATGATAATTAATTTAACCGATATCGCAATACAAATAATCTAAAATACTTTTTCTATTGTATATATTGAGTATTCGTATTGAAAATAAAAAGCTATTGGTTTCGGAGCGTAGCAATAACAACCGCCATTTTTAATATTAACAGATTAAAAATAATTTAAAAAGTTGCAATTGCAAGGACGCGTTCACTAATTTTATAATCTTTAGTGTACAAGTGCATTCTTAAGGATTTAAAGTACGGATTCAACAAAAAAAATATTTTGATAATTACTATATCTAATGAATTTAATTCATATTAAAATTAAAATTTCGCTGTAATATCCAATTGAAATTTTAAAGTTAGAAATATTTAAGCTGCTTTGTAATCAATTTACACGATGAATGATGAATTTTTTAACCTCCATGCGGAGGTTAAAAAATTCATTTTATGCAAATTATTTTGTATAATTTGGAGATAAAATAGACTAATTCGATAATATTACGTCTTTCAGATATCTTTTAATTTCGATGGATTATATGGAATGTACTACAAATTACGCAAGGAGACTTATTTAATTTCTACCGTTGACTTATTTAACGAATTGCATCTAACTAGTTCAGTGTAAACTGGTACTCTACAGACTTGACTACACTGTACTAGACTGTACTCAAACTTTACAGATCAACATTTAATGGTTCAACTTGACAGTTAACTAATAATCAAGTGTTTAAATTGATCTGTGCTGTACAATGCAATTTTGTGTCATTTATACTCAAATTTTATAAATATTTTGAATTATTAATCTAAGTTAAAATAATGCAAAAAATATATTTTATTTATCACTACATTTCTATAATATTAATGTAAAGTTTTAACTAACGAAAATACTAAAATATCTACTTGTAAATATCTTATATATATATTATAAATATAGTTTCGATCCGCTGTGTGTTTACATGAATTTTTATATTGTTTTAACCAGTATAAACAATGCGGTGTTCTGTGCCGGGATGTAAAAATGATTCAAGATATATTTCTAAATCTCAGGGGATTACGTTTCATGTGTGAGTGTATTTATATGTGAATTACAGGTTACCATAATAGAGTTTCAACTACTTTTATTATCTTTAAAAAAACCGGCTTTTATTCGTAACAAATTTTTCTTGTTATAAATCTATATACCTTATGTTTTATAAGAGACGGGAGTTAACGCACAAAACAATATTTTGAAATGGCATAACTATGTGGGACTGACTAAAGGAAACACTAGGTGTCTTTTTTTTTAATGGGTGATAATGGAATGGTAAGCCAGCCTACGCTATCGGTATACACTGGCGGGGCACCAGTGATAGATGACTGATGAGGACGAAACCAGGTCAGTTAGCCCATCCTGATGAATTCAACTAGAATTAGCTATGATGGTTTCCAGGGGGAACCGTGTGAAGGTAGACCTGACAGGTTGTATTGCTAGTAATGAAGAAATTAGACCCCATTACTAACAATCCCTTTCCCTCCAACACTAAGTGTCATGTCATATAGGGAGGTCAAAGATATGGCTTGGGATAGAACTGGCTGGAAGAGAATGAATGAATTAGTTGCACCGACAAGAGGAAACTTAAATGAAATATAATACGGAGGTATAAAATTAGCAAAGATGTTGTAATTTAAAATATGATAATTTTCCCTTTTTCCTTATAAGCAACATTTCCCAATAAGAAACTTTTTTAGTGAAAGTTTCAAATGAGTTGCTTATATAGAGCATTCACTGTATATGTCATAATGCTACTGCTATTTGTACTGTCATATGTGATGATGATTGTATGGATCATTCATTCATTTGTTACCTTTTCACTCAATGTCTTGCAGACAATCAAAATTGGCCATGGCAATGTTGTATCAATGACTATTAGAACATTTATTATATCTATATAGGAGGAACCTTAAACAATAGTCGGGACAATTATGGGCCATTGCCCCTTGAACAAACATTTATACACAATAGAGCTACACACCACCCTCTATGTCGAGGCTGTTTTGATGAAGAAGAAATAGCTGTTCACATAATTTTCAAATGCAAAGCTGTAGCCTCTAAATGTTCAGAAATACTCAAAACAGTGAGGACACTCTGTGAGCTCTGTAAAGATCTCAGGAAGCTTCTGCGCTTCTGGGCAGAGCTAGGTTGGCTGTACTAGCCACGACTCATATGCACAACAGCCCAAATGAGAGACTTAACGTGGAAAAGAGAGTCCATTTACATTTACTTTTTTACTCAAAAACTAATGAACGGATTTGAATTGAAATTTGGTACAAAAATATGTAACTTATTACATACCTACCTTAGTAGGATAAGAAAATATAAAGGATATTTTATATACCATTCCACTCAGGCGAAGCCATGGGATATAGGTAGTATAATAGAATTAATTGAAGTACATTTTTTTTGTGAGGACTGGAATAGCAAACAATCAGACAGGTCTACCTGATGGAAAGCAGTAATTGTTGCCTACACACATGATAAGCACAGAGACAGAATATCCTCGGATACCCATGTCACCTCTGTGTTGCTATGGGGGGAAGGATTGTTAGTAATGGAGAGGTTAATCCCCATTTCTATCAATATACCCTATTAGGTCAACCTCCACGCGGTTCCCCCTGGAAATTATCAGACTAATTTATCATTGAATTCGTCACGATGGCCTAACTGACCTGCCTTTTCATCCTCACCTATCATCTCTCACTGGTACCCCGCCAGTGTATATAGCCCAGTCGTGGTTACTATGACATTTTCTCCCATTAAAAAAAATGTGTTGCTATTCCTAAAGACTACTGCATTATGCCTTCATACTTTGCAATTTCAAATTGTATCTAATGTAATTTGCCCAAGCACAGTTGTTTTGTCTTTTACCAGCTTCCCCTACGAAAGCAGTCTCCGCACGGCATGGCTGCAAGCAGTCGGCAAGCGGCACTGGGAGCCGAAAGAGAGGAGTGCTGTCTGCTCAGAGCACTTCCTCGGCGAGGACCTGTACGAAACCAAGAGCGGCCTGAGGAAGGTCAGAGCTGGTGCTGTGCCTATCATCACGCAGGTAATATCATTATCAAAGTTAGGAGCAGCATGTTTGATTTATTGAATTAATTGCTCTGACAAGAGGAAACTCTTAAATAAAAGACTTAATTTGAATTGCATGAAAATAAAAAGTAATTTGTTTTTTTTTATACCTCTGAGGTGGCAAACAAGCATACGGCCCACCTGATGGTAAGCAGTTACTGTAGCCTATGAACGTCTGCAATACCAGGGGTATTGTGTGTGCGTTGCCGACCATGCTGTAGTCTCTTGGGAAAACCTTCCTTTTTAAAAAGGACAAATATTAATATTTTTTTGTTTATACAACTTAGAATGGCAAACAAGCTGACGGCCCACCTGATGGAAAGTGGCAACCGTCGCCTATACACATGAGCAGTACCATGGACATAACAGAGTATATATCCCATATCCCACCCTTCAAACCGAAACACAGCTATGCAAACACAACTGCTTCACGGTTGAAACACGAATGCGGCAGAGGTACCCAAGCAATCGACTTTTGTACAAAGTCTCCCTCTGGTTATTAATTTTTATTCAAGTATTTTTGAATAGTCATTTTTTATGAATGCATACACTTTTAGCCGATAAGAATGCGAAAGAAACTCAGCTGTTGCCGGTTACGGGTACTTTTAATTTGGCGCTCCTTCAGCACGTCGCGTCACGTCACGTTTTATTAATTATATTATTATATCTCTTTCAGGATTCAACCAACTGCGATAATAAAAAATCGCCAGGCTTGAAGGTATGAAAAACTTTATATTTTCAACAGATTTTTGAAAAGAGACTCTCAGCTTTGTTGTATTTTTTTTTTAAAGTATGAATGAATATTCTTTATTTGCATTTTACAATATAGGAAATAAGAAAGACAATTTACAAACTCAACGATACAATTGTATAAGTACAGTAAGGCAGATGTAAATCGATTTGGGAAATTATTTTTTTAATCTGCAAGGATATACTTACGGATTGGTCCTATGGGACCAATTTTGATAAAATTTCCATGGAAATTTTATCAAAATTCAGTTCAATGTTTTTTATTAATATCATAAATTGTATTTTTTATTATTGTAATTTGTATTACTGTGGCACACGCATGAAGAAAAAAAAAATTGTTACTAATTTTATGCATTCTGATTCTGATTTTGTTTTTTTTTTTCTTTTTTAATTTTTTGTACTACTTTTTTTATCTTTTTTCACTTTGCTTTTGTACCTTTCGCTGTTTGCGTGCTGTAAGTGATGCAAATAAATTATCTATCTATCTATAAATATGAAAGTGTGTTTGTTTGTTACCTTCTTATTCTCAGTCTTCATTACTAACAATCCCTTTCACCCTAATGGATACTATTAACTGTGGCAGGTATGCAGGATTTGCCTGGAGATGAGCAGCAAGCTTTTCTCCATGAAGAAGTATAAGTTACTGCAGCCATATCAACACATAACTGGACTAACCGTGAGTGAAATACACTTTAGTATCTTTTTTTTAAAAGTGTCATACAATCGCACCATTTGCCGTGTGGTCCCGGCGTAGAACAGGCTATTTCTTCCTTTCCCGTGGGTATCGTAAGGGTACAGATTTGCAAATGTACAGTTTTTTTTAATGGATGATAATGGAATGGTGACCCCGCCTGCGCTAACGGTATACGCTGGCGGGGCACCAGTGAGAGACGACAGGTGAAAGTAAAAAGGCAAGTCAGTTAGCCCATTGTGATGAATTACATCTGGAATTCAGCACGGTGGTTTCCAGGGGGACCGCGTGGAGGTCGACCTGTCAGGGTAAATTGCTAGCAATGGGACTGGTAGTTCGCATTACTATCGATCCTCCCCCCCCCCCCACCCTGTAAATTTACAGTTGCCACACTTTGGTAATCTAAAGTGTGAATGCTTTTAAGCCAAGAAGATATATCTAATTTTGATCCTTGGTTTCCCACCAGGTGAACGACGAGGACCGCCTCCCGAGGAAGTTGTGTGCGGAGTGCGCACACCGCCTCCTCAGCTGCCACCGCTTCCGGGACAAGAGCCTGCGAGCCAACCAGCTCATGGTGGAACTGCTCAAGAGGGAAGACAGTGTGAGTATAGAAGTAATTCGAAACAAAAAAAAAAAAACAGAGGGAAACTGAGGGCCTACCATGAAATGTTTTCCGAAATTTCGGAGCCAAACGAAACACAAACTTGATGTTAAAATTACATAATACATGCCGTTTGGAAATATTAAAAATGTTAAAACATTGTTCCTTTGGACTTTTACGATAGGATGTATGACGAACGAAATGTTAAACTCCATTTGTTGGTCCGATTTTGGTATAATCAAAAACACGAAATTGAGTCCGAAATTTCGGAATTTCATTTCATGGTAGACCCGCTGGAAAAATATTATATGCCACCATACCCTGCTTCATACCCTTCAAACCGAAACACCCTGTGTAAATTATATATTATGAACTTATATTTATACAGTACTAGCTGACCCCGTGAACTTAGTGCCGCCTAACAGTCGATTCTGGGGGGAAAGGGATTGTTAGTAATGAAGACTAAAAATCCCATTGCTAGCAATATACCCAACCAGGTCCACCTCCACGCTGTTCCCCCTGGAAACTATCATGGTTAATTCCTGATGAATTCATCATGATGGGCTAACTGGCCTGTTTTCATTCTCATCTATCACACTTCACTGGAGCTCCGCCGGCGTATCCCGTTAGCGCAGGCGGGGTTACCATACTATTTTCATCCACCAAAAAAAAAAAACAGTCGATTCTTTAGCTTTTTTTATATTTATTCTGCTATTCGGGACGCCAGGTCAGTTAGTAAAGTAAAAAAAAAAGAAAGTTAATAAGTGAACAATTACATTATGTAAAAAAATAGAAATTTTAAAACGCGCCGTGCCACGTTACTCAATTGTTTTGCTTTCCCGCAACCTCTCCGCTAACACTTGAACCTTATGCTGTGGTATTAAAGTTTAAATTGTCTTTTAAGTATTATTACGAATAGTTTGTACCGGGAGTATAGAAAAGCATTGTTTTTAGACTGTTTCAGGCAATTTTTTTAAATTGTTCTCTCCGTAAGTTCCATTCTCGTACTTAGGTATATCTGTGTCTCCGTGAGGAAGATCAATACGCACCGCGCCGTTTCCAGGCGGTGGTAGGCAGCGTTCAAGTTATTGTGTATTCCCCTAATGTTGCCATAATTAGGTCAATGTTTAAAAATTTACTCATTTGTCCAACTCAATTCCAGCTGACACCTGACAACATTAAAACAATAGATAGGCTCAACAATCGGTTAGTATCGGATCTAGAAACTAAACATTACCCGACTGATCATTGCGAGTTATACATAATAGATCCAGAAGATACAAAGAATATAAAAGCAGAAGAGGTAGCACAGAGAGAAGATGATGTAAAACCTGAGATCAACACTGACATTTTTGCTGATGAATTTCTCGAAGAGAGCAAAGTAAACGATGCGATCGACGACGATTTCGACGCAGATTATGTTCAAGCGGAGAAAGAGTATTCAACAGACGACAGTCTGCCGTTAGACAAGAGAAGGGAGAAGAGCAAAAAGAGAAAGAAGGTAGTTAAGAACGTAAAGAAGAAACAGGCGAAGGATCCGACGCAGCCGAAAATTGATAGGCGAAGAAAACCGTTTTTGAACGACGATCTGAACGAAACCCTGTTCACAATAACTAATCTCTCGTTTGATGAACAAGTTGCGGAAATACTGAAAAGGCAAGAAAGTGCAAATTATAAAAATTCCGTATTTAAATGTATGGAGTGTTACAAAGGATTTTTGGATAAAGAAGCCTATAATTCGCATATGAGCAGGCATACAGACGTAAGTACAGATCTTTTTGTTACTAAGCGAAATCAAAGCAAATTTTATATGTATGGGTGTCAAATGAAAGAGCTTGAAGATAATTGGTATCACAAAATGGCCGCCGTCACAAGATGGCGGATTTGTTTATTATTTTGCACACAGTACGCCCGTCATATAGAATGTCCGGCATAGAATAGGGCATGGTGTGGGATGAGCAGCAGCGTCCCTCTTAAAACATCTCCAAAGCCTAACTGCGGTTGCCAATTCGCCTGCCAAGCGTAGCAACTACTCGCGAAACCACTTCTAAAGGCTTCTTAAAAGCTGATATGATGAATGTCCAAGTGAACACAATGCATAGATATTGTAGTGGTACCAATATTACCCATGCCTGATGGGATTTGTTAGGACTTTATAATTTTTTTTTTATATACAACTTAGAATGGCAAACAAGCTGACGGCCCACCTGATGGAAAGTGGTAACCGTCGCCTATAGACATGAGCTGTACCATGGACATAACTGAGTATATTGTTTTGCCCATGATACTCCCCATGCGTTGCCATTCCTGAGGACTCAGGTGTTATTCCTCTGTACCCTGTAAATTCACTGCCATATCGCACCCTTCAAACCGAAACACAGCCATGCAAACACAGCTGCTTCACGGTAGAAACACGAATGGGACAGAGATGGCCAAGCAAACGACTTTTATACAAAGTCTCCCTCTGGTAAAACAGATGTTTCTAAACAGGCTCGTTTTGGGGGAAAGTGATTGTTAGTAATGGAGACTGAGAATCCCATTGCTAGCCAATATACCCAACCATGTCGACCTCCTCGCGGTTCCCCCTGGAAACTATCATGGTTAATTCCTGATGAATTCATCATGACGGGCTAACTGGCCTGTTTTCATTCTCATCTATCACCCTTCACTGGTGCTCCGCCAGCGTATCCGGTTAGCGCAGGCGGGGTTACCATACTATTTTCACCCAACAAAAAAAAAACAGACGTTTTATCAATCCAGCAATGCGGCGAGTATCAATGCGATATATGCAAGACGCATTTCAAGCATCCGCACGCGTTAAGGAAACACATAACGGCCCACCACACGCAGCGGTTCAGCTGCAACAGGTGTCCGTACGTAACGACCCACAGGCAGACGGCCAGGCTGCACGAGAGGTGGCACAAGGGCACCAAGTATCAGTGCCCGCACTGTCCTGACGAGTTCCAGTGAGTTATTTTATTTTTCTCAAACACGCTTGGAAATGTGAGCATTATTTTGACAATCTTCTTTGAGATAAATCAAAATTGCCGTACTGGCCCGATACATGCGGGCAGCGGCCGGCAAAAGTTGTATGAAAATCCATATCTGTCGTGTTTTGCGGCCAGATAATATACTATGTAAACTCATATCTGTCCTGTAATTTAAAAATGGAATGACCTTTTACTTCGAAACATGGCTACCAAGGAGGTAACTAATAAAAGGTTTTATTTAAATTTCGAACTGGCTTGTAAATAGAAAGCTGTTTATTGAAAAAAGAAAAAACAAAGGAACATTATGGCGCGTGAAAAATTATTATTGTTCATTATTCATCATTGAACTTTAAAAGTAAAATTGTGTTTTTGATATTTTCTATGTCCAACTATTATCGTTATGCCACAACGACCACTTTTTAAAATGTCGTAAAAATGTCCACCCGTGCGAAGCCGGGACGGGTCGCTAGTAAAATATAAATAGATAAATATTGTACATTGTTTTACAGAGAAACCGATTTTTATGATTCTTTTTTTTAACGAAATGTTTGTACGTTTTCGTTTACAGAAAGTTCACGACGTACATGGGACACATACGTATCAAGCATCCATCGGACTTTGTCTGCCAGTTATGCGGGTATTCGTTCGTGAGTGAAAAAGGGATACAGCTGCACAAGAAGTTGAAGCACCGGTTGGAAGATGAGCAGGTTAGTGGGCTTGTACGGTCCTGTTATAGACGTAGGTGGGCAGTGCCCACCTCAGAATTCGTCTGTGCCCACTCCAGGGCGTGACAACTTTCAACTGTATGCAAAGATATATCTGAGATATAGAATGCGTTATGTGCCAGGGGGAAGGGATTGTTAGTAATGCGGACTGTCAGACCCATTGCTAGCAATAGTCGACTTCCACATGGTCTTCCCTGGAAACCATCGTGCTGAATTCCAGATGTATTCATCACGATGAGCTAACTGACCTTCTATTTCATTTTCACCTATCATTCCATACTGGTGCCTTGCAGTGTGTACCGGGGAGTATCGTTATGGTAGCGTATAAGGTGGGGGGGGGGGGGGGTATTGCTATGTAGTTGCCACGCTTGGTAGGCGGGTTGGCAACCTCAGTTAGGCTTTGGAGATGTTTCAAAAATAATGGTATACCAGTAGGACACTCTTTCAAAATAAATCTGATGAATGAATTAATATTTTTTTTATACCACTGAGGTGGCAAACAAGCATACGGCCCACCTGATGGTAAGTGGTTACCATAGCCTATGAACACCTGCAATACCAGAGGTGGTATCACGCGCGCGTTGCCGACCCTGAAGAAACCTCTTCACCCCCCTTTTGAAGAACCCCATGCTGTAGTCTCTTGGGAAAATCTCGGCAGGGAGCTCATTCCACAACCTGAGTGTTCGTGGGAGGAGACATCTCTGAAACCGCGCAGTACGCGACCATTGAGGCTGTAGGACATGAGGATGAACTCCCTGTCGATGGCGAGCCGTACGATGGTAGAAAAAATTAATGAATGAAATCCACTCAAGGTATAGTCATATAAAAATAGTATGTTTCCAAAAAGAACTGATGACCGCCTTCTCTTCCCAATAGACTACAGCATGGGGTTCTTCAAAAGGGAGGTAAAGAGGTTTCTTCAGGGTCGGCAACGCGCGCGTAATACCTCTGGTATTGCAGGCGTTCATAGGCTACGGTAACCACTTACCATCAGGTGGGCCGTATGCTTGTTTGCCACCTCAGTGGTATAAAAAAAATAATCTGATGAATAAATAAAATCTCTTTACTGATGATTTCTTTTATTCTCTCGTCAGATCCCAGAAGACGGGCCCTATTGTGAACAATGCAATGTTCGGTTCGTCTCGCCTGAAGCCCTGAAACGCCACATCGTGGTGTCGGCTCGCCACGCGGACGAGGACAAAGAGGCTAACAAGCCCAAGAGGGGCCGGAAGACCAGGGACGCGGTGGAGAAGGAGAGGACGGCCAAAGAGAAGGCGGACGATGACAAGAAAGTGTACCCAAGTCAGATGAGGAAGGCCGAGGGGCCGATACCATGCGAACAGGTAGGAGTTAATTTCGTTTGTGATAACTTATAATGGCAACTAAGCTTTTGTGGGGGGGGGGGGGGGGATTGTTATTAACATGGCTTTCTAATCCCATTGCTATAAATATACCCTGGTAGGTGAACCTCCACATGGTCGATCCTTTTTTTTTTTTTACAACACAGGGGGCAAACGAGCATGCGGCTCACCTGATGGTAAGTGATTATCGCCGCCCACGATCACCCACAACACTAACGGCATTGCAGGTGTGCTGCCGGCCTTTTAAAAATGAATATACTCTTTTCTTGGAAAGCATCATGCTAAATTCCTAGTATATTCGTCACGATGGGCTAACTGACCTGCCTTTTCATCCTCACCTATCATCCCTCACTGGTGCCCCGTCAGTGTATACCGATAGCGCAGGCGGAGCATTATACAATATATATATATATATATATATATATATATATATATATATATATATATATATATATATGTATATATATATGAGATCGTATTTGATAGCATTTCATGTGACATTTGTAGATATTTCTATAATTATCTCAAAAATTATTTCCACAGGAATAATTTCACACAAGCAGTAGATTTTTTTTAATGAGTGATAACTATATATATATATATATATTCTATTAAAAGTAGTGTCCGACCGAGCTTTCGGTTTCGGTTTCGGCCAGAAATTCTACTTTCGGCCTTAGTTTCGGTTTCGGCCAAAATTTGCCGAAACTTTCAACCGCGCCGAAACTTTGTGTTTGTTTGTATTGTGTGTATGTTTAACTGAAAGTTGTTTTTTTTTTTTAAGTTTACTCTTAGGAGTAAGTTATAATTTTATCATGTTTTTACATATAAATATATATGACATATTTGTTACATACTTTAATTAGTGTATTTACCGGAGATGTCGGTAGGGGCCGCCCTAGACGGACGTATGTCGACCGAATAGGCGACGTGCTGAAGAAGGGCCAAATTAAAAGTACCCGTAACCGGCGAGCGTGTATGAAAAGATTGATGAATGTGGAAGAAGCGAAAGAGATTTGTTTGAATCGAAGCATTTGGCGTTCCATTGTTTCTGCCTACCCTAATGGGAGACAGGCGTGACAGATATGTATGTATGTATATTATTACTCTTTAATTATCTAGGTGTTTTGTATATAATTGTGTAAAAATACACTAGATTTCAGTATAGAAGAGAAATTTTAAATACGTTTCAGTAAGTTTCGGTTTCGGTTTCGGCCGAAACTGGACCAAAGCCGAAAATTCGGTTTCGGTTTCAGCTGTAAAACCTGTTTCGGTCGGACACTAATTAAAAGGCCTTATGTATGCTAATACATATTTTCATTGTATACCATGTGGTCCCGGCATAGAATAGGCCACCTTTTTATTCCTGTGGCTGTCGTTAGAGGCGACTAAGGGAACTTAATGGGACATCACCACCAAAGACTAACTGCGGTTGTGAACCTGCCCGCCAAGTGTGGCAACTACCGATCTCTCCCCTCCACCCAAGGGGAGTCCTATATAATAGTTGATTTGTTCTATTATTTTATTACGTATGGGGGGTATCATGGGCGAAACAGTATACTCTGTTATGTCCACGGTACAGCTCATGTCTATAGGCGACGGTTACTACTTACCATCAGGTGGGCCGTCAGCTTGTTTGCCATTCTAAGTTGTATAAAAAAAATCGTCTTTCACAGTGCGGTCTGCAGCTGGAGGACTCGCGCGCATACCACGGCCACTTCCGGCGGATGCACCCGGACAAGAATCGAACCAAGTACCCGTCGATGAAATCACCGTGCATGTGCGAGGTCTGCGGTAGAATGTTCCAGGTGGGGAGTCCTTAAAATATATGTCCTTACTAATATGATAAATTTCAAAGTGAGTTTGTTTGTTTGTCACCTTATAGCGCCTTAACGGCTTGACCGATCGCTATGAAATTTGATATACACGTACTGTACGAGATAGAGATAGATATAGGCTACTTTTTACCCTGGTCAGTAAATATGTCCTGATCATGTAGACGAAATCACGGGTCAATATTTTTTTTCTGGGTACGCTCGCTTCATTTTGACCTTTATCATTATTTACCAGCAGGTAAGATCAATCGCAAACCCGTTTTGCAATAAAAGTATTAATAAAGTCGTCGTAGTATATATTGTGACGTCGGTTATACGCCTCACTCTCTAATTATCACCTCTCCAGAGCTACGCACTGCTGAAGGACCACCGCTGGACTCACACCGGCGAGAGGCCGTTCGCGTGCGAGTCGTGCGGCAAGGCATTCCGCATGAAGCAGAGACTCGTCGCCCACCGTCGGGTCCACGCGCAGCATAAAGCCAGCTACGGTTGTTCACTCTGCGGCAAGCACTTTTCCACGCACAGCAATCGGCAGCGGCATATGTTTGTGAGTAAACCTTCTCCACCCACTAGTCACTGTTCTTCACCATTTAGTTTTTTTTATATACAACTTAGAATGGCAAACAAGCTGACGGTCCACCTAATGGAAAGTGGTAACCGTCGCCTATAGACATGAGCAGTACCGTGGACATAACTGATTATACTGTTTCGTCCATGATAGCCCCCATGCGTTGCCATTCCTGAGGACTCAGGTGTTATTCCTCTGTACCCAGTAAATTCACGCCATATCCCACCCTTCAAACCGAAACACAGCCATGCAAACACAACTACTTCACGGTTGAAACACGAATGAGACAGATGTACCATTCTGTAACTCATAGCATGGGAAAATGAATGATTGTTCCCCTAAAAGAATGATACATATATCAACATTACATATGTTAACAATATGTACACAAAATAATCTAAAAAAAAAAAACAGTTCTATATCTATAGCTACACATATATAGCTATTCATAGCAGGTCATGTTTGTAAGTCCAATCTTCACTCCCTAGTCACCATTCTCTATCCTGTAGTCACCATTATCTACCTTCTAGTTACCATTCTCTATCCTCTAGTGAACTTATCCCTCTTTTAGTCGTTGTTCTTCACTATTTATTCATCGTTGTCTATCTAGTCACCATTCTCTATCCTCTAGTCACCATTATCTACCTTCTAGTTACCATTCTCTATCCTCTAGTGAACTTATCCCTCTTTTAGTCAATGTTCTTCACTATTTATTCATCGTTGTCTATCTAGTTATCATTCTCTAGCCTCCAGTCACAATTCTCTATCTTCTAGTTACCATTCTCTACCTTCTAGTGAACTAATCCCCCTTTTAGTCGCTGTTCTTCACCCTTTATTTATCGTTGTTTATCTAGTCACCATTCTCTATCTTCTAGTTACCATTCTCTATCCTCTAGTTACCATTCTCTATCTTCTAGTTACCATTCTCTATCTTCTAGTTACCATTCTCTATCCTCTAGTTACCATTCTCTATCTTCTAGTTACCATTCTCTATCCTCTAGTTACCATTCTCTATCCTCTAGTTACCATTCTCTATCTTCTAGTTACCATTCTCTATCTTCTAGTTACCATTCTCTATCCTCTAGTTACCATTCTCTATCTTCTAGTTACCATTCTCTATCCTCTAGTTACCATTCTCTATCCTCTAGTTACCATTCTCTATCCTCTAGTTACCATTCTTTATCCTCTAGTGAACTTTTCCACCTTGTAGTCGCTGTTCTTTACCCTCTATTCATAGTAGTTAGAGATTAAAAATCTTATTGCTAGCAACCAGGTCGAGCTACTCGCGGTTCCCTCTGGAAACTATCATGGTTAATTCCTGATGAATTCATCATGATGGACTAACTGGCCTGTTTTCATTCTCATCTATCATCCTTCACTGGTGCTCCGCCGGCGTATCCCGTTAGCGCAGGCGGGGTTACCATTTATTTTCACCTGTCAAAAAAAATTTAGGACTAGGATACTTTGTGTACGGCTCCACGCGGACGGTGCCGCGGGATGCAGCTAGTAATGAAATATGTCGTTTTCAAGATTCACACCGGTCTGAAGCCGTTCAAGTGTGAGATGTGTGGCAAGGGATTCAAGCACGCAAGCGAGAAGCGGGCTCACATCACGTATGTGCACCTCAAGAAGCCCTGGCCGAAGAGGACGCGCGGCAAGCGGCGACCGGACGGACGGACGGTCAGTACTGTATATATTTATTTATTCTTTATTGTACACAAAAAATACAAACATATAATCTATCTATACTTATAATAAATCTGTAGAGAGGTCAATTCTGTACATGAAATGTATTTCCAAAATAACTATCGGCGGGTGATTAGTGATCGATACTGATGCCAAAAATGCAATCAGTAAAATTATTGTCTGTCTGTCTGTATGTTTGTTCGTTATAGAAACAAAAACTACTCGACGGATTTTAACGAAACTTGGTACAATCATTCTTCATACTCCCGGGCAGGTTATAGCAACTTTTCATCACGCTACGATCAATAGGAGCAGAGCAGTGAAGGGAAATGTTAAAAATGTCCACCCGTGCGACGTCGGGACGGGCCGCTAGTATTAAATAAAGATGTACAACAGGCGAGCTTAACTCTGCAAGAGTTCTCTTCCAGCAAACCCTGAGTGGAGAGCAGCATTGATTACTAGCGGGCAGTGTGCGTACAATAATAGGAGGAGACAGTATAGATGTTTCTATTAAGAAATAATAAATATGTCGACATGTATACAAAGTAACTCATATAATTTAATTCAAAATACATACATGTCTGTATACAATAATACATACACATATATACATAAGCATAAAATAACTGTTCACATACAAAATACGTACATATACATACATAGACATAATAAGTTTATGAGGACAGGTTTTTAATACAACTTAGAATGGCAAACAAGGTGACGGCCCGCTTGATAGAAAGTGGTAACCGTCGCCTATAGACATGAGCAGTACCGTGGACATAACAGAGTATATTGTCTCGCTCATGATACCCCGCATGCGTTGCCATTCCTGAGGACTCGGGCGTTATTCCTCTGTACCCTGTAAATTCACGCCATATCCCACCCTTCAAACCGAAACACAGCCATGCAGACACAACTGCTTCACGGTTGAAACACGAATGGAACAGAGGTGCCCAAGCAATCGACTTTTGTACAAAGTCTCCCTCTGGTGAATACCAGAGGTGAATACTGGTGGTATGTCAATACCAAATGTCAAAAATGTCTACCAAGGAAATTTTTAATTCAAATTTATTACATTGCTATTTTTTCCATAGTATATATATATATATATATATATATATATATATATATATATATATATATATATATATATATATATATATATATATATATATGATATCGATTGTGTACAGGGACAGATGCAGCCGCAGCAGTCCGCGCCAACGAGCGCGAGCGAGATGGACATAGCGCAGCCGCTGTGGCCCGCGTGCGACCAGAAACTGGCCGAGATGAACCCCATAATGGACGATAAACCTATGTATTATAATTTAAAGATATAGTGAAGTGTAGTTTTAGTGTCCACACGTGTGTAAAGTATATTAGAATACACTGTAGTGCCATTGCTTGCGGTGGGTTCAGGGATATATATATATTTTTTTATACAACTTAGAATGGCAAACAAGCTGACGGCTCACCTGATAGTAAGTGGTAACCGTCGCCTATAGACATGAGCAGTACCATGGACATAACAGAGTATACTGTTTTGCCCATGATACCCATGCGTTGCCATTCCTGAGGACTCGGGTGTTATTCCTCTGTACCCAGTGAATTCACGCCATATCCCACCCTTCAAACCGAAACAACCATGCAAACACAACTGCTTCACGGTTGAAACACGAATGGAACAGAGGTACCCAAGCAATCGACTTTTGTACAAAGTCTCCCTCTGGTAAATATTCCTTCACGAAACTTGGTTGAAATAGTAACCCGGGGGGGGGGGAGTTACCAGGATATTTTTTTTAATGGATGATAATGCAATGGTAACCGCAATGGTGGCAGGTATACACTGGCGGAGCACCAGTGAGGGAAGTTAGATGAGAATGAAAAGGCAGGTCAGTTAGCCAATCGTGATGAATATATCTTAAAATACAGCACTATGGTTTCCAAGGAGGCCACGTGGAGGTTGAACTGTTTTTTTTTTTTAATGGATGATAATGGAACGGTAACCCGTGCTATCGGTATACATCGGCGGGGCACCAGTGAAGGATGATAGGTGAGGATGAAGCAGGTCAGTTAGCCCATCGTGACGAATTCAACAAGAATTGTTCACGATGGTTTCCAGGGGGAACCACGTGGCGGTCTACCTAATAAGGCATATTGCTAGCAATGGGGCTGTCAAACTCCATTGCTAACAATTCCTTTCCTCCCAAGGTTGACCTGTTAGGGTATATTGTTAGCAATGGAACTTGTAATCCGCATTACTAACACCCCCCCCCCCCCCTCTCATTATCCACATCGATTGAGAACGCTCTCAACGAAGTAATGTAAATAGAGGTGTGCAAATCCGAATGATTTTGTTATTCAAATAATTTGTTCCTGAAGGTTTAACTTAAAATTTGGTGTGTTTATTCATTAATTTACAGAGGAATAACACCTGAGTCCTCAGGAATGGCAACGCATGGGGGTATCATGGACGAAACAGTATACTCTGTTATGTCCACGGTACTGCTCATGTCTATAGGCGACGGTTACCACTTTCCATCAGGTGGGCCGTCAGCTTGTTTGCCATTCTAAGTCGCATAAAGAAAATCTTACTTTTTTAATTTACCTGTTTATGAAATCCTCTCGTAATATGTCTCTGCTTGTATGAATCAGCACTTTATGGCAGCTATATAATTATAAGTAAGCAATATTAAATTAAGTGATAATTATTCCTATTATTAATTATTTTTATTATTATATAATAAATAAGGTAAAAAAAAAACAATAAAAAATACAAAACATGTCTAAAGCCTAACTGCGGTTGTCAATCCGCCTACTAAGCGTGGCAACTACAGGCAAAACCCCCCAAGGGGGAGGCTTATGTTCAGCAGTGGACAGTTAAAGGCTGGTATGACGATGATGAATAAATAAGGTGATTTTGCCCCAGTATATAGAGTTCCGTGTTTTGGGGATCTACCATGAAATTTCGAAGTTTCGGACTCAGTTTCGTGTTATCGTTCAATTCAATCGGTCCAATGAATGGAGCTTAACATTTTGTTTGTCATAAATCGCATTACACGTCGCATGAGGTGGGCGAGGATCATGAATGAGAACCTCATGCGTGCGTTCTACAAAGCCACAGGGACAGAGACAGGCAGAACAGGATACCGGGCAGTGATGCACCGCGGGTTTCTGCGTCGTTCACCGGATTTGACCGTCTCGGAATAGAACATAGTTGACAGAGGACATGACACACGGCGCTCGGGTATGTGAGCTCAGGTGAGGTTGTTCCAGAAGCAAACTCGACAACCGTGGAGCAAACCACTTTTGATGCGCTACCTAGTGCAGAGATAATCGAAGACGAAATATCTCCGGAAGAGAATGCTGGTGGAACAACTTCTCAGGAGCAAATGAGGAGTATACTAGAGAGGGTCCAGAGGTATCAACAAAATCGTTTCTTTATGAGCGATCAGTGTAAGTTGTACAGGAACTTGGAGCACCCTAAACTGCAGCCCACAGGGGAAAGACCAGAAACGGCCAATTTCGTCGCATTTTGGCTACAGTTGTGGTTTGAACCTCTGGAGCATACATCCATCGAAATGATCCCAATCATTCCATTAGGGAATGGTCAAATCCCAACTAGTCTGGAACAATACCTCTGGCGGTTGGGATTCCGAGGCGGCTCACTCCCGGAAAAGATGCAGAAAGCTCTTAGATACTGCCCACATTGTATGCCGGTTTCTCTCCCTGGGGCCCTGAACCCCGGCCGACTGTGCTTCTGCCGGGGATTAGTTTGCCATCTCCCTTTAAGAGAGATGTGAATTTTGAGAAAATAAAATAATAAGTACAAATGTGTACTTGCATGCTTGTGTGTGTCGCATTTAATTGTGTTAAAAAGCTCTATTCATGGACACGAGGGTATCTTACGAAAACTAAACTTTGTGACTTTAAAGCAAATTTATATATAATTATTTATATTTATATACATATTGTATGTAAAATATATTTTTATTGGGATAAAATGTTCAGCCATGCAGACCAGAGGGAGACTGTACAAAAGTCGTTTGCTTGAGCACCTCTGTCCCATTCGTGTTTCAACCGTGAAGCAGTTGTGTTTGCATGGCTCTGTTTCGGTTCGAAGGATGGGATATGGTGTGAATTTACAGGGTACAGAGGAATAACATCCGAGTCCTCAGGAATGGCAACGCATGGGGGGTATCATGGGCGAAACAGTACACTCTGTTATGTCCATGGTACTGCTCATGTGTATAGGCGACGGTTACCACTTTCCATCAGTTGGGCCGTCAGCTTGTTTGCCATTCTAAGTTGTATAAAAAAAGGCCTTAGCGAAGCATGGCTGACTTTAAATTATATATGAGGATGGTGAAAATGACGATGAAATAAATTTTCTAATTATGCGACAGATATTAAGAATGACGTCATTTTTTATTTATTTTTATTATTTATTTAAAAAAAAATATTCATGATTTGATTGTATATAAAAAAAAATAAGTGTATTTTGTATTTATTAAAGTGAAAAATAAAATTTACTTTAAATATCTGCATTTTATTTATTAAAAATTAATTTTTTTTTTAGTTTAATGACTATTATGACTGGGCTTTCGCTTAGTGTAGTTTATTGGGCGACCCTGTGTATACAGTGTAAAATTGAAATCGTTAGCAATATTTACAATTATGAAAAAATATATATTTTTTTATATATGATCGCGTGATAGATAGTGCTTGGCGTAGATGGTCGTTTCCCGTGGGTGTCGTAAGGAGCGACTAAAAGACGGCAGCAGTGTCCCTTTTAAAACATCTCCAAAGCTTAACTGCGTTTGCCAATACGTTTGCAAAGCGTTATTATTAAATTATCCGTGTTAAATATTGTTGTTATTTAGCTTGAGATATCAGCTTATATTTCCGTAGTGGAAGGGAATAGGATAAACACAATATAAAAGTACGATAAAATTTAATAGAAGAGCAAATACAGAAAGGCAACGATTGTTTCTTGTGCGTCAACTAAATTTAAAAACATAATCTTTTTGAATTACAACCGGCCAGTAGTTTATAGCTGTATGAAAATAAACCTATTTCTAACAAATATCATTATTATGCATTTATTTAATTAATTTATTTATTCTTTATTGCACAATAAAACTTTGTACAAGTGGCGAGCTTAATGCCATATGGCATTCTCTACTAGCTAACCATTAGGTGAAAACAGAAAGCGTATGAAGGGCAGGTGTGGTGAAGAATATGTGACAATTATAGTGACACATTAAGGCAATACACAATATAAATATAATATACACATAAGAAATGCACATATAATACATAAACATTACTTTTAATATATATGGATAAACTAATACATATGAAATATATACACATATATACACATATATACACATATATACACATATACACACACATACATATATATATACATATATATACACATACATACACATACAAACATACACATATACACATACATATACATAAATTAAAACAACGATAAGCATTATGAGATATAATAACTATTGAGTGACCTGTAACTAGCGCTGGTTTTGTTGACTCAACAAATAATTAAGAAGTCTCCTTTTAAAAATATCCTTACTTGACGCTCTGCGTAGATCTACAGGGATTTTATTCCAAAGGCTGATAGCGGTGACAGTAAAAGAATTGGACATAAATCCGGAATGGTGTGACGGGGTGATGAGGAGGAGATTATGAGATGACCGAAGATTAAGGGTATGGGAGTCTTTGAGGTACTGAAATCTATCTTTCAAATAATTTTCCAATATGTAATATTGAAATAAAAAATTTGATCGATACGAATCTAGCTTTCCGGCGATATCAAAAAGGGTGATGACCTTTTTACCCACCATTAATGTTTAGAACTAAGAACAAGGAATTACATAGAAGGAATGATAAAATAAAAACTGTATATCATATGGTTGCCTCCTTTCTTCTTATGTGAATATAATTAGTAAAAAGAGGACGAAAGATACACTATAAGTTGTCATTATTCTCAATTCATAGCAGGCTAGTGTATGGAAAATGTTTGATACGTCAATTATTTGTCAATGACAAATTTTACATTACTAGATTATATATTCGACACAGTTTATGTAGAAAGTGTGCAAGAAGGTTGTATCTGAATTTGGTAGGGTTATACGGCCGTATAACATTTTCTATACATTAGACTGCTATGAATTGAGAGAAATATCAACTGATGGTGTATCTTTCGTCCTCTTTTTACTAATTATATTTACATATGAAGAAAGGAGGCAACCATATGATTTACAGTTTTTATTTTATCATTCCTTCTATGTAATTCCTTGTATTTAGGTTTAGAAGGACTCAATAGAGGGGGAAAGGGATTGTCAGTAATGTAGACTGAGAATCCTAGCAATATGCTAGCAATGGGATTCTCAGGACCCAACCAGGTCCACCTCCTCGCGGTTCTCCCTGGAAACTATCATGGTTAATTCCTGATGAATTCATCATGATGGGCTAACTGGTCTGTTTTCATTCTCATCTATCACCCTTCACTGGTGCTCCGCCAGCGTATACCTTTAGCGCAGGCGGGGTTACCATACCATTTTCACTCATCAAAAAAAATAGGTACATAGATATCAGAACTTTTTGGTTAGTTTAAGACTACGATGCAGCGTGACGTCTACCGTGAGTATTGCCTAGCATTTGTTGTTGACTAACGTTATTAACAAAAAAGAAAATTGGTAGACGTCATAAATATTATGTTATTTAAACTGTGAGTGGTGTTGTGTGTTCGTTTGTGTATATCGTGTAATTTCGGACTTTACAAACTGTAAAAGTGACGTCTATTGCTAAATCTGCTAATTCATACTACCGACTCTTGAAGCGTTCCCTGCTGTTCAAGGTAAGAATATTTCTAAAAAGACAAATACTATCTCTGCTTAGTATTCAGAGGAGCTTAATATATATTTGGGGGGGGGGGGGGGGGAAAGGGATTGTTAGTAATGTTAATACTTTTTGGTTTGTCCAAAATTTAAATGCGCTGTGACACCTATTGCTGTGTTGCCTAGCAATTGTTGAGTGTCGTTTTATTATAAAAATAGAAAATTAGTAGATGGTTTAAATATTATTTTATTTAAACATCAAGTGATATTGTGCGTTTGTTTATATATATACATATTGTGTTATTTGTTTGGACCTTATAAACTGTATAAGTGACATCTACTGACAATTCTGCTAACTCTTACTACCAATCCTTGAAGAGTTCCCTTACTGTTCAAGTAACAAGGTTCAAGGTACGAATTTTTTTTTTATGGGTGAAAATGGTATGGTAACCGCCTACGGTGACGGGATACGCTGGTCGCATTGCGTCCCCCCATGCGTTGTTATTTCTGAGGACTCAGGAAAAAAGTTTTTATTTAATTTTTATAATAAACTGCCATTATAAGTTTGGTAGTGTCGCATTTATAGACGCCTCGCGAGGTCCGTTTTAGTGGGAAGCCGCGAGCGAGGGTCCTCTTCGCCCATACCTACTGCATAATGCTTACAGCTTCACCCTGCTTTAGTTATCGTAGTAAGACCACGCTATGGGTTTTGGTGGCGCTTGTTTCTCCATAAACGCTCCCGATGTCGATAGATGTGCAGCTGGCTTGTTTATTATCTGCTTCTCCATTTTACCAACGGCCACTGTCAATTTATTTAAAGACTTGGCCAAATGTTCTTCGGCTTTCTTTATCTGAAATATAAACAATTCAATATATTTTACATTTTTCTAATGTGGTCGATAGACATGGGTCACTCGAAGATTTTTCCTGTGTTAACTCTTTAAGAGGGGTAAGTAATGATTCTGTGCATTCATTTTTAATGTAAATATTGGGTTATAAAAAATGTACACAGACGGACTTATCCCCTGAAGGGATTTCTTCCAGTCAACCTTGAGAGTCCGAAAGGAGAAAGTATTTATAGAATTTGTATATAAAGCATAACATAGGCATAGAATGAGCCACCCGTTCCTTTCCGGTGGTTTTTTTTTAATGGGTAATAATGGAATGGTAACCCCACCCGCGCTATCCGTATACACCGGCGGTGCACCAGTGAAGGATGATATGTGAGGATGAAGCAGGTCAGTTAGCGCATCGTGACGAATTCAACAAGAAATGTTCACGATGGTTTCCAGGGGGAACCACGAGGAGGAGGGGGACTACCTAATAGGGCATATTGCTAGCAATAGGGCTGTAAAACTCCATTGCTAACAATCCCTTTCTCCCACTTCCTTTCCCGTGGGTGTCGTAAGAGGCGACTAAGGAAGCTTATGGTGGAGAGATGGGCAGCAGCGTCCCTCTTAAAACATCTCTAAAGCCTGATTGCGGTTGCCAACCCGCCTGCCAAACGAGACAACTACTGGCAAAACCCCCCAAGGGGAGGCTTATGTTCAGCAGTGGACGGTTAAGGGCTGTAATAATATATATATATATATATATAAATATAAACATAGAATAGCTATTATACATATAAGTAACTCAACTGTCTAATGTATTATAAAATCTTTTTGTTTGAGCTTTGAAGATACGTATGATCTGCGCTATTTTGGTATTATTCTAGGAGTGTTTGGGAGGTTTTACCAGAGGGAGACTTTATACAAAAGTCGATTGCTTGGGTACCTCTGTCCCATTCGTGTTTCAACCGTGAAACAGTTGTGTTTGCATGGCTGTGTTTTGGTTTGAAGGGTGGAATATGGCGTGAATTTACTGAGTACAGAGGAATAACACCTGAGTTCTCAGGAATGGCAACGCATGGGGGGTATCATGGGCGAAACAGTATACTCTGTTTTGTCCATGGTACTACTCATGTGTATAGGCGACGGTTACCACTTTCCATCAGGTGGACTGTCAGCTTGTTTGCCTATCTAAGTTGTATAAAAAAAAAAAACTGGGAGTGAATTCCAAAGTCTAGCAGTTTGCACAGTAAAGAATTTGGGGAGGATTAGGATAAAAATCAGTCTATACGCAGTGTAGAACGACCCCCCACTAGATGGAGTGACGACCTTAAATGCATGGAGGGAAAGGGAATACACACCACGGTCGACCTCCACGTGGGAAGCGCGTGGAGGAAGAAACACCTGGAAACCATAGTGGTTAAATCTTGTTCAATTGGTCACTACGGGCCAACTGACCTGTCTTCATCCTCATCTGTCACCCTTCACTGGTGCCCCATAAGCTTATACCGACAGCGCATGCGAGGTTTTGCCTTTCCATCTACACAAATTAAGAAAAAATGCCCTCAATTTGAGGGGAAAGGGATTCTTAGTAATGGGTATATAATTATAAGCTATATTGTTATTAGGTAAAGTGTTAGGTTATTAGTAAATGGATTGTTAGTAATGGGGTCTAACTGACCCATTGCCAGCAAAATACCCTATCAGATCGAACTCCACGCGGTCCCCCCTGGATCATATATATCTACATAATCATAGTAGTTAATTCTTGGCTATGGGCCAATTGACGTGCCTTCATCCTCATCTGTCACCCTTCACTGGTGCCCCGCCAGCGTATACCGATAGCGCATGCGGGGCTACCATTCCATCTTCACCCCTAAAAAAAGACCTCAAATGCATTGCAGGGAGTCTGTTGATGTAGGTGGCTCAGGACCGTTCCTTATGGCGGTCTATGGGGGAGGTCCAGCAGTGGACGGATAGTGGCTGGAATGATGATGTTTTAGACAACGGATACGGAGATTGGGATTCTAAAGATTTCTCTTTAGAATCCCCAATATCTCTCGAAGGTACCTTACCATACTCGTAGTCTGAGTTCTGAGCACTTCGTTTGCTAATATCTTTACGTCCCATACCGGTTCATTGTCTTCTAAATCCGGTCTTTTAGTTTCCTTTTTATTATTTTGAAGGGAAATGTCCTTTGTCGCTTTTGGTGATTCTTCGTTTATAATGTTTGGAATAAAAATGGCTACGTTATTTATTGGTTTTTTAGTTGTTGGCAATTGTTCAAATTTATTTGTATTGATATTTACTTTCTGTTTATCCTCTATAGATTCAATTTCTTCAATGGTCTGTCCTTTTGAAGTGGCATCTTTATCTCCAACAGTGTTTGGATGCCAATGTTGATTTCTACCTAAATTTGTGTTCCAAATAGAATGTTTATCGCTCATGTCCTGATCCCAAAATACTTTTATGGCGTGTTTATGATCATTAGGTTTATCAACATTATCTAACCATGTTAGTACGTCGTTCGAGGAAGAGGACGCCAATTTCTTTTCATTGTGCCACGGTTTAAATTTTAATTTGTCTATATAAACTTTATTTATTTTATCGTAATCTTGCTCTGTTAACTCCTGACCGTTGTACTGGCTTAGTGCCTCGTTGCCTGATCCTTCTGGTAGTTGGAATTTAGACTCTTTCATTAACTTCCAGAGCCAGTCTGAAGTTATTTTTATCTCTTTAGAGTTTTTGTCGTGGATGGCATTAAAATCATCATCATTGTCAATCCACAATTTGGTGTCAGGAAGTCTCAGATCTGATAACTCTGCGGGATGTTGGCCTGATACGATGACAAAGGGAAGAACTGTAAAATTATCAGTGTATATTAGTTATGGAAAAGACTACAAATTTACCTCTTTATTCATAAAAACACCAAGCATCTTATGAGATTGAAAAAAAACCCAAGGTTTTGGGCGAAAAAACATAATAATATTTTCAAAACCTAACTACAGTTGCCAATCATCCTACCGAGCGTGGTAACTTTTCTTTTAATACAACTTAGAGTGGCAAACAAGTTGACGGCCCACCTGATGGAAAGTGGTAACCGTCGCCTATAGACATGAACAGTACCAACTACTGACAAAACCTCCCTTAGCTGGAAGACATATGTCTTGTAGTGGACAATATATAAATTATGGGGGGAAAGGGATTGCTAGTAATGGAGACTGAGAATCCCGTTGCTAGCAATATACCCAACCAGGTCCACCTCCTCGCGGTTCTCCCTGGAAACTATCATGGTTAATTCCTGATGAATTCATCATGATGCGCTAACTGGCCTGTTTTCATTCTCATCTATCACCCTTCACTGGTGCTCCACCAGCGTATCCCGTTAGCACAGGCGGGGTTACCATACCATTTTCACCCATCAAAAAAAAATATAAATTATATACATATAGATAGATACTTTTTATTGTTTCCTCCAAAAGATTACAATAGTAAACTTATTATAGATACAAACAATTACAAAAAATAATCACAATGTGAAAACAATGGGCGATATTTATATATACGAGTATATAAATGATAAAAATTCAACAAAGTTACTATTATTATTCGATAGATAAGTATTTATTAAAAAATATATATATACTTACATACGAGAAATCTAACCGCCATGTTTACACCCACCGTAAAATGTAACCAATCAGTTATATTTACGTTTAAATAGTGGCTGAACCGTGGCTAATGTCGACTAGGTGCAGTAAATTATTTCTAATGTTTCACGTAATTATAAATGAAATATCCTTATTGGGAATTATTGTTAACATGTTTAAATTAATTTTATAGAGAAATGAAACTGTTTTAAGTTTTACGCAACTCGCGAATAAAAAAGGGTTGTATTTTTTTTTAATGGATGATAATGGAATGGTTATCCCGCCTGCGTTAACGGTATGCGCTGGCGGGGCACCAGTGAGGGATGAAGCATGAAGCGGGTCAGTTGGCCCATCGTGACTAATTTAACAATAAAATTAATCACAATAGTTTCCAGGGGGAACCGCGTGGAGGTCGACTTGATAGGGTATATTGCTAGCAATAGGATCGTTAGTCCTCATTACTAACAATCCCTATCACGTCAAATCAGGTCGACCTCTACGCGGTTCCGCCTAGAAACCATCGCGTTGAACTCCAGGTGTATTCATCACGATGGGCTAACTGACCTGCCTTTTCATTCTCACCTATCATCTTGCACTGGTGCCCCGCCGGTGTATACCGATAGCGCAGGCGGGGTTACCATACCATTAATCATCCATTAAAAAAAAAATTAATTGAAATATACAAAATGATTAAAAAACAAATTAACAACGTTTATTCAAAAGTCATGATTCACAATTAAAATAACAATTTATAATTTAAATAAAAAGCTGCCAATTAATTTAACTTAAATGTAATTATATATTTTTAAATATTCGTAACTAGTCGACCACGCGGACCGCTTCCTTGTCTTCCTCTTGATACTGCGCCTCGTTGTCGGCCTCATCTTCTTCATTGAAGTCGACGTCATCATCAACGTCGGCCTCCTGTGAATAAATCATCATCGTCACCAGAGAGAGACTGTACAAAAGTCGTATGCTTGGCCACCTCTGTCCCATTCGTGTTTCAACCGTGAAGCAGTTGTGTTTGCATGGCTGTGTTTCGGTTTGAAGGGTGGGATATGGCAGTGAATTTACAGGGTACAGAGGAATAACACCTGACTCCTCAGGAATGGCAACGCATGGGGGGTATCATGGGCGGAACAGTATACTCTGTTATGTCCACGGTACAGCTCATGTGTAAAGGCGACGGTTACCACTTTCCATCAGGTGGGCCGTCAGCTTGTTTGCCATTCTAAGTTGTATAAAAAAAACCTATCATCCCTCACTGGTGCCCCGTTTGTGTATACCGTTAGCACAGGCAGGGTTACCATTCCATTTTCACCCATAGAAAAAATTCATTCATTAAAAAAACCCACCTGATACTGTTGATACTCAGATATGAGGTCGCTCATGTTGCTGGCCGCTTCTGTGAACTCCATCTCGTCCATACCCTCGCCCGTGTACCAGTGGAGGAAGGCCTGCGTCAGACGGAACACGTTTTATAAGATATCTACTATATTTTTTAATAAATATATATATAGATACTCTTTATTGTTTCCTCCAAAAGATTACAATAGTAAACTTATTATAAATATAAACAATTACAAGAAATAATCACAATGAGAAAACAATGGGCGACCTTATCGCTAAGAGCGATCTCTTGCAGGCGGGGAGTAATTATAAACAGTTTGATTTATTATGTATATATATATATATATATATATATATATATATATATATATATATATATATATATATATATATATATATATATATATATATATATATATAATATATAAAATTCTCGTGTCGCGGTGTTTGTTACCAAACTCCTCCGAAACGGCTTTAGCGACTTTTATGAAATTTTGTGTGCATATCGGATAGGTCTGAGAATCGGCCAACATCTATTTCTCATAGCCCTCAATGATAGGGGTGACCCACCCCTAAATTTTATTTTTTATTTTTTTGACAAAATTTTCCATTTTTATTTTATTATGATTTAGCATTGAAAAATACATACAAATTAAAATTTTCACGCTTTTACGATCAACCCCTGTTGTTTAATCGCGATCTTTATATTCCGCAATAGGGTTGCAAGATGACAATCGAATATAATAATTGTAGTACGATATATTTTCATGTATAGTTCTAGAAATAATGTATATGGTAAAACAACGTTTACCGAGTCAGTCAGTATATACATATATCGATATTTAAGTTCGAATCAGATTGTTTCGATATTACAATCTATCTGAAGTTAGGCACAGAGCCTACTTGAACCTGTTATTAATTTTGTACTCATTAAATGAATGGAAGAAATAGTACTACATACCCGTCGCCTGTACATAGCGGTGAACTGTTCGGATATGCGTTTAAAGATCTCCTGTATAGCGGTCGTGTTGCCAATGAACGTCGCCGACATCTTGAGCCCTCGCGGCGGCACGTCGCACACGGACACCTTCAGGTTGTGGGGGATCCACTCCACGAAGTAACTGGGGATAATGAGAAATTCATAATGTCTGTTTAAGAGAACAGAATATGGTATAGTATGGAATAGAATGGGCCGGAATGGAACGGATTCTTTGTTGTGCAACTTAGAATGGCAAACAAGCTGACGGCCCACAATTTTATTAAATTAATATGAAAGGTCTGTCTGCGTATTTATATGTTCAGTATTGCCAGGTTGTGTATTATTTTTATTTATTTTATTTGAGATAACAACAGCTTTTTACAGCATTGAATACATATTAAATTACATTTACTACATATTAGCCAATTGTAGTTATCCACAGAGTAAATATAAGCATCCGTTAAGCAAATAAAACCATATTTTACAACAATATTAACATAGTATGGTGCATCCACTACAATGCTCGCACTGTAGGTACACTGTGCGAACACTACAGCCGATGGTCCCACAAACCATCCCGAGACCAATAAATACGTCACACTTGCGCTAACTTCATGCGGTTGCGCCGCTAGGCAGTGTTGTGGTAAGTATGGGTCTGTCGGAATTTACACTATTTCTCCATATTTTCGCAATTTTGGGTAAAATTTTTTCTACTGGCACAATTTTGTAGAATTTTGAAAATTAATTTTCTGGATAGGTGATGAAATTCTTTGGGAGGAAATTGAAATGTGCTTGGGGAAGGTTTGTGGAAAATATTGGTAATAATAGATGGAGTACTTGTATACTGTAAATAAATGTATAAAATATATAATTGCAGTAACATATATAAATGACGTGTGGTCTTGGCATAGAATAGACCAATTCCGGTCCATTCTAGTCCACCAGAGGGGAAACTTTGTACAAAAGTCATTTGCTTGGGCACCTCTGTTCCATTCGTGTATCAACCGTAAAGCAGTTGTGTTTGCATGGCTGTGTTTCGGTTTGAAGGGTGGGATATGGCGTGAATTTACTGGGTACAGAGGAATAACACCTGAGTACTCAGGAATGGCAACGCATGGGGGGTATCATGGGCGAAACAGTATACTCTGTTATGTGAATGGTACTGCTCATGTCTATAGGCGACGGTTACCACTTTCCATCAGGTGGGCCGTCAGCTTGTTTGCCATCCTATGTTGTATAAATGTATATATATATATATATATATATTCAATAATGAACAATCATGAACAAGATTGTTTCCAGGGCTGCTTGGCTATTGGCTAGTAAATTCAGCACCAACCTCGAATTTTTGTTTTGTATCGCTAATATTTGCTGGTCCACCTCTCGCATCGACATGTGCCCCCTGAACATGGTAGCGACGGTGAGGTACCGTCCGTGGCGGGGGTCGCACGCCGTCATCATGTTACCAGGGTTGAACATCTAGAACAGATTTACACTTTTTCGGTACAGCGCCATCTATTGTTTAGTAATGACGTTTGTGCATGACTTGTCACCTTTATTTTATTTCCATAAATAAAATGCAATGTCGGTAACAAAGTTTGTTATTTAGAACATTTTGTGTTACTATGGCACACGTATGAAGCAAGAAAATTGTTGCTTCATTTATATATTTCATTTTTTTTTGTATATGCATTCTTTTACCTCTTTTTACTGTATACGTTTGGTGTTATTTATGTGCTGTAAGTAATGCTAATAAATTATCTATCTATATATCTATTATTTAAGAAGGATTCACACTAATAATGTTGGTATCGATTCGTTCTCGTCTTATTTTGGATTTGGCAAGTAGAAACTACAAATCTAGCGCAGTAGCTGCGGTTTTAAAAACACTTCGAATCTGATATAAGAATGGGAACTGAACTGGATCGTTCAGTAGTGTAAAAACCAATTCAGAAAATTCCGTTTTCTAAATTGACTCGAACTAATAAAAATTAACTCACTTGGCTCATAAGTTCTGATACAGTCTGCGGGCGGTAGTCGAACGAATTCCTCGCAGTCAACGGTGCGAAACCTGCAACGGAGCGTTGGTGATATTTTGAAGTAACTTTTAAGAGAATTTTGGCAGGGGATTTATCCGCTCAGGTTGTAGAATGAGCTCCCTGCCGAGGATTTCAAATTTCAAACCATCTTTATTCAAATATACTTGTTTACAAGCACTTTTTAATCGCCATTTTTTTTTAAGCTACTACAGGGTTCGGAAAGTTATTATCTGTTGTGAAGAGCCCGCAAAAAACTCTTTTAAATCTCTGTTAACATTATGTGTATTTATTTAAATGTACTATGTCTAAAATTACATTGCCGTTAAAAGCCCGTGCATGATCCACTAACACCATGCACGTTCGTTATTCGAGTAATCGTTTAGTGTGTAATAGGGTTTGTTCAATAACAGTTTTAAATTTATTAAAAGGTAGATCCAAAATATTCTTCTGTATCTTATTATACGAATAATATGATCAGTTACCTGGCATGAAGAAGTGTAGTCGGGGGAAAGGCACCATATTGACGGCCAGCTTGCGGAGGTCAGCGTTTAGTTGACCAGGGAAACGGAGGCAGGTCGTCACACCAGACATAGTTAGCTGCAAAATGATAATAATGATGATGACTGCTGATGATATTTCAATATATATATATATATATATATATAGTTTTTTTTTATGGTTTGCGGTACAATATTTAAGGAATCCCGTCCTCGCTATTGGATACGGGTGACGGAATGCCTATACAAGAGGGTACATGGTGGACGCAATTTAGACGCAATATTTGAGGAGCACTACGGCCGGATACTGCAACAGAAAAAAAGAGTATGTGGTCGGCCCCCGAACTGGCGACCTCTGCTGTCTACCGGTCTCGAGTTCGAGGAGAGTTTTTTATCCAACATTATATATATAAAACTGTTCAGATACAAGTATAAGGCAACCAGCATCAGACAAAGCAAAGGGTCTAAATCATATTACGATTCTAGGTATTCTAAATTTCAAAATGTAAATGTATTTGTTAATGTATTAGGCTGCCAATAAAGTTTTTCTTTTCAAACTCAACAATTACTGACTTTGATTCCTAATGGGGTAGTGGTATGCGTCAGGGCTGATAAAGTTGCGGGTTATCTAATGGTAAACAAGCATACGGCCCACCTAGTAAAAAGTGGTAGCCTATGTCTGCAATACTAGTGGCGTTACGCGCGCGTTGCTGATCCTGAAGGAACTTTATCCCATTTTTGAGAAACCCCATGCTGTAGTCAGTCGGTCCATTCATTCAGGTCATTAGAATGGAAGGGGTAGCCTTTTTATGCCAGGACCTATATAGCGTATGGCGAATAACACCATATTCAGGAATGGCTACGCAAGATCATGGGTTGCACAAAGTATCCTATTATTGTTTTGTCTATAGGCGACGGTTACTACTTCCCATCGTGTGGGCTATTAGCTTGTTTGTCATTAGGTCTCTTAAAATACTCTCTAATAAAAATGGTAAACTCATATTTCAAAAAGAACAAATGCAACCTACTGATATCAAATGATTCAGGTCTCCGTAACTGGGGCTGCTCAGGCGCAAAGTTCTGAAGCAGATATTGTAAAGAGCCTCGTTGTCGATGCAGAAAGTCATGTCCGTGTTTTCGACGAGCTGGTGGACTGATAATGTCGCGTTGTACGGCTCCAGGACCACTTCGCTCACCTAAAAGGTGATATTTATACAGATTAATAGCAGATTCCCAAAGACTGCCAAAAACAGGAATTACGAACTAGGAAGGACTATTTAAATGGTTTCACAAAGGAAGGTGGAAGACAAAAAAAATTGAACCTCCCATGTTAACAACATTTTATAGATCCTATGTGTTATTTTGGCGATATCCCGCGGTATAAGATCTTTATAGTGTTTTGGCTCCGGATAAGTCGTTCTCAGTAGATTCACACGCGAGCTTGCTAACAAATCCCAGTTGCACATCAGGCGTTCCATGGATTCCGATTCCTCACTACAGAATCTGCACAGTGTGTCCGAAGACAGACCCATCATGTGTATTTTTATATACTGTGGTAGCATATGAGTTTTTCTTGTAGCTGTATCAGCCGTTTACTGTTACCTGCGGGGGCTTTGCCAGTAGTTTCCATACTTGGCAATCGGGTTGGTAACCGCAGTTTGGCTTTTACTGACGTTTTAATAGGAACGCTGCTGCCCATCCCTCCACAGTATGTAATAATAATTACCTTTGGAGATGGTACCACACTGAAAGTGTCCATGATTCTGTCAGGGAATTCTTCTCTGATCTTGCTGAGTAGGAGTGTACCCATACCAGAGCCTGTGCCTCCGCCGAGCGAGTGCGTCAGTTGGAACCCTGGGAATATACCATGAGAATTAATTACTATCATTTATAGGTATAAACGGCACCATAAATATTACATAATACACCATGATATGAGGATTAAGATGGCTACATGGTGTTATTATTCCTTGAGAAATACCGTATTATTTCTTTTAGATTGTCGATCTGCACGAATGCTAAACTACGTTACCTTGTAAACAGTCACAGTCTTCGCTCTCCTTCCTGATCACGTCCATGACAGCATCTACTAGTTCAGCGCCCTCTGTGTAGTGTCCTTTCGCCCAGTTGTTGCCTGAGAAATATTTTTTATTAACATCTATTTTAATTAAGAAAATAAACAAAAGTTTTTATTTATTTATTTTTGTTAAGGACAATCAACAAAGCATACATTTATATCTATTTAAAATACATGATAATAAAGTTACATTATAAAATGCTGCCTCAATTAAAGGCCGCCACGACACGCGTATTCACAATATATATATATACAAGTGAAGCAGTTGTGTTTGCATGGCTGTGTTTCGGTTTGAAGGGTGGGATATGGCGTGAATTTACTGGGTACAGAGGAATAACACCTGAGTCCTCAGGAATGGCAACGCATGGGGGGTATCATGGGCGAAACAGTATACTCTGTTATGTGAATGGTACTGCTCATGTCTATAGGCGACGGTTACCACTTTCCATCAGGTGGGCCGTCAGCTTGTTTGCCATTCTATGTCGTATATAAAAAAAGGTTGACTGGTAGAGAATGCTACTAGCATTACGTCCGCCTTTTGTACCATATTTTCTTTTGACCAACAAAGTTATTTGAATAAATAAATAATTTAGTAATCTATTTATATACATTATGTTCTGATTCACATGGTTGAATTCGCGGGAAACATGGTGCATGGTTTTTTTTTAATGGATGATAATGGAATGGCAACCCCACTCGCGCTATCGGTATACACCGGCGGGGCACCAGTGAAGGATGATGCTGCAATGGGGCTGTCAAACTCCATTGCTAACAATCCCTTTCCCCCCAACATGGTGCATGGTGCGAGTGTATGTGTGTGCTTTAACGTGTCGTAATGGTAACAGCAGGTAGTGTATTCACGCAAACTCTGTTGTATTTATAAATGTATAAAATAAATATAGCAGTCATGAATATACTGTAACATACATGCATTGGTAAAAATTTGTATTCGAGTGTCTTGTCATTGCATGTCTGCATTGTACTTTTCCTTTTTTACGCAATTTTGTACTTTTATAATAATAAGACACCTGTTATTGGCTTTAATATTTTAAATACCAGTATGTAAATCTTAACTGGAACGCCGTTGGTTTTTAATAAATAAATAAATAATAAATAGAATAGAATAGAATAGAAAATCATTTATTCAAATAAACTTACATTGAAGCACTTTTGAATAGTCATTACATTTTTTTTAATCTACCGCTCGTTCGGAAAGCTGTCTCATCACAAGAAGAACGAGCAAGAAACTTGCGTGTTGCTCTTTTAAATAATTTTATTATTACTTTTAAATTTATTTTAAATAAACTGTTTCACCCCTATTTTACGATAAAAATGGAGTATCTAGATTATATTGTAGGATGTTTCAGGTTAAATATAAATAAATAAATTATAATCAACGTGTATTTAGCAGAATGATTGTTCACATGATAATATTGTCAATCAATGACGTGTATTTCTCTTTATCAACGTTTTATCATTTCTATATTTAGTTAAAAGGTGCATATAGAGGTATTTTTATATGTTTTTGAAATTTAAAATTACTATATATATTTATTTATTTATTTATTTAACACTTTATTGCATCAACATAACAGAATTTTTTTTTGATGGGTGAAAATGGTATGGTAATTCCGCCTGCGCTAACGGTATACGCTGGCGGAGCACCAGTGAAGGGTGATAGATGAGAATGAAAATAGGCCAGTTAGCGCATCATGATTAATTCATCAGGAATTAACCATGATAGTTTCCAGGGGGAATCGCGAGGAGGTCGACCTGGTTGGGTATATTGCTAGCAATGGGATTCTCAGTCTCCATTACTAACAATCCCTTTCCCCTTACATAACAGGATTTGTTGAACAATTTTCGATACGTGATACAGTGTAGTACAAGGTACAAGTACAGTAAAAGGCGGTCTTATTGCTAAGCAATCTCTTCCTGTAAAAAGTAATATCTGTGACAGCGTAGTTATATACACATACATAAATAATCACATTGTTTATTTATTAATGACTAGTTATTAAATTTACAATAAATACCATTATAATTTCCCCATAAAGTGATATTGTTTAGTGTTTTTTTTAATGGGTGATAATGGAATGGTAACCCCGCCTGCGCTATCGGTATAAGCTGGCGGGGCACCAGTGAGGGATGATAGGTGACGATGAAAGCAGGTCAGTTAGCCCATCGTGACGAATTCCACTAGAAGTTTTATAGTTTTTATACAACTTAGAATGGCATACAAGCTGACGGCCCACCTGATGATAAGTGGTAACCGTCGCTTATAGACATGAGCAGTACCGTGGACATAACAGAGTATACTGTTTCGCCCATGATACCCCCATGCGTTGCCATTCCTGAGGACTCAGGTGTTATTCCTCTGTACCCAGTAAATTCACGCCATATCCCACCCTTCAAACCGAAACACAGCCATGCAAACACAACTGCTTCACGGTTGAAACACGAATGGGACAGAGGTGGCCAAGCAATCGACTTTTGTACAAAGTCTCCCTCTGGTAATTAACTACGATGGTTTCCAGGTGGAGAATTAAAAAAGAATTAAAAATACAATACAGAATATTAGACAATCCGTCAATAGATGGCGTTGTACGTACCTGCGCCGCTCTGGCCAAAGACAAAGTTATCCGGTCTGAACAGCTGGCCGTACGGACTGGCTCTCACCGAGTCCATCGTCCCTGGCTCCAGGTCCACTAGTACGGCGCGGGGCACATATTTACCTGTTTAAATAATAAAAAAAAACAATGCTTAAATATAGGTAGGTAGGAAGAGCTAGAATTTTTTTCTGGGTTTTTCACCGCCCCCTTTAGGCCTGCAGCGCCCACAAGGGGGCGTTACCGCCCACTTTGGGAAAGGCTGGGCTTAGATGATCGCGTACACGCAACTTCAGAGATGTTTTTTCCCATGAACACTCGGGTTATGGAATGAACTTCCTGCCGAGATTTTCGCAAGGGACTACAGCATGGGGTTCTTCAAAAGGGGGGTAACGAGGTTCTAGGGTTGGCAACGTGCGCGTCATATCTCTAGTATTGCAGGTGTTCATAGGCTACGGTAACCGCTTGCCATCAGGTGGGCCGTATGCTTGTTTGCCACCTCAAGGGTATAAAAAAAACTAAAGTTTCTAATATGTTGTTATTCCTATGTTAAACTAGATAACCGAAATTGTCCAATGTTGATATACCTGATAGTTTTTTTTTTATTGAACAGTACCATATAACAGACTATACTGTGCCGCCCACGGTACCACTCATGCCACGTTGTCAATCCTGAAGATTAAGGTATAATTAAGGATAAGCAAGCTGAAGCGGCAATGAGCTAGTCACATAGCTTGAAGAATTGACAACCGATGGTGAAGAAAGCTTCTTGAGTGGCGACCTCGTATTGACAAACGCAGTGTAGAACGACCTCCCACTGGATGTAGTGACGACCTTAAATGTTCCTTATGGCAATCTATGGGGGGGCCTATGTCCAGCAGTGGACAGGTAATGGCTGAGATGATGATGAAGGTATTATGCCTTCGTACCCTGTAATTTTACAACCATATCCCACCCATATCGTATTCAGTTAGATGATGAAGCCTCACCACTAGATGCCTGATGATAGTAGACGTTGAGACGCTCCTCCTGCAGTGGACTCTGTCCATTGTACATTCCATTCGCGTCCACGCCGTGCTCGTCGGAGATCACTTCCCAGAACTGAAACCAGGATATATTTTTTTTAATGGATGATAATGGAAAGGTAACCCCGCCTGCATTAACGGTATACGCTGGCGGGGCACCAGTGAGGGATGATAGGTGAGGATAAAAAGGCAGGTCAGTTAGCCCATCACGATGAATACACCTAAAATTCAGCATAATGGTCTCCAGTGGGGTCCATGTGGTGGTCGACCTGACTGGGTATATTGCTAGCAATGGGACTGGTAGTCCGCATTACTAACAATCCCTCCCCCCCCCCCCCCCCCTTTAACGGTATAAGTAAAGTGTTCAGAAACACAAATGGGAAAATCACATCCAATTTTTTATAATGGATGATAATGGAATGGTAACTCCGTTTGTGCTATTAGTTGACATTAACGGGGCACCAGTAAAGTGAGGGTGAAAGCAGGTCAGATAGCCCATCGTGACGAATTCCACAAGAAATAACCACGATGGTTTCCAGAGGGAACCGCGTGGAGGTCTACCTGATAGCTTATATTGCTAGCAATGGGGCTGTTAGATCCTCATAACTAACAATCCCTTTCCCCCCGATCACATTCAGTTTGGTGTTATGGTTTCTGCGTGATGTAGGAACGAACATGCTGATCAGCAACGATGATGATGATGATGAGTTCTTTGAACCCTCAGGGACATAAAGTTCTCAGAAACATTTCTTACTTTTTTGACAGTTTTTAGCAGCTGAAATCGCTTGATGAAGTCTCTTTTTAAAATTATCGCTTCAGAAAGGAAGGGGTGGCCTATTCTATGCCGGACTACATGGCTGAGCTTTTTGTTTACTTGTACAAAAGTCGATTGCTTGGGTACCTCTGTCCCATTCGTGTTTCTACCGTGGAGCAGTTGTGTTTGCATAGCTGTGTTTCGGTTTGAAGGGTGGGATATGGCGTGAATTTACAGGGTACAGAGGAATAACACCTGAGTCCTCAGGAATGGCAACGCATGGGGGGTATCATGGGCGAAACAGTATACTCTGTAAAGTTGCTTGTTTGCCATTCTAAATCGTATAAGAAAAAAATTGTTGATATCTAAAATACTAGGTACCTCTCTGTTACTAAAATCGGTCTTTGAAATCCACGCGTACGAAATAACAGGCATATAGTAAAAAGTAACGATTTAAAAGTGCTTGTAAACGAGTCTATTTAAATAAAGACATTTTAAATTTCGAATTTAGTATATTTCTCGTCAATACACAGTGTAAGTATCTAATAAGGAAAAAATAATCTTGACACTAACCTCAAAGCCGGATATTTAATTAAGATTAAAAAAAAAAAGATACACACCTTCGAACCTATTTGGTTCCCACATTGTCCCGCTTGCACATGCACTATTTCGGGCATTATGTAATTATGCTTTGTACACTTAAAAAAAAACTATTAAAACAAAATTAATATAGTTTTAATACAGAGGTATTTTTAGAACTGGCACAGTTAATACACTAGTCGTACTGTTAATGTTTTTTTTATCAATACGTTATCTATATCTGATTACATACTGATTACATAGGTGCCTACCTACGTTCATTCTCAAGGTGTAGTATAGTGTGAGTAGGTAATCTATACTTATAATAAATCTGTAGAGAGCTCAATTCTGTACATGAAATATATTTCCAAAATAACTATCGGCGGGTGATTAGTGATCGACACTGATGCCAAAAATGCAATCAGTAAAATTTTTGTCTGTCTTTCGGTATGTACGAGTATGTTATAGAAACGAAAACTACTCGACGGATTTTAACGAAACTTGCTACAATTATTCTTCATACTCCTAGGCAGGTTATAGTATACTTTTCATCACGCTACGATCAAAAGGAGCAGAGCGGTGAAGGGAAATGTTGGGGAAACGGGAGAAGTTACTCCATTTTTAAGCTTCCGTCGCGTGTGTAGGCTTAATGGCCATTTTTTTAAATGCAAAAATGTCCACCCGTGCGACGCCGGGATGGGCCGCTAGTATTAAATGAGATTTGTAATGAAGCTACGTCTGTACATGGGTAATATTTAAAAAAAAAAATATATATATATATATATATATATATATATGAAGGATATAAATATGTATGTTATTTTTAAATTAATAATATTAATAAAATCATTTATTCAGCTATAAAACAACAATATTAATAACAACTTTATATATAAAAATAATTATGTGGTAGCAGATGACCTGGTCCCCACTCAGCGTAAGCTGCAGTGTGGTGCTGCAGCGCTGACTTTCAGCGGTACCACCACTCGATAGGTAGCACTCGAAAAGCAGGATCTTTACAATATTAATTGGACCTTATATAGAGATGGGCAATCCACCTGGGTGGGTTTAAAGTCTGGTGGGTAAAAACCGGGTGTTTTGGGTTTATTGGGTTTAAACCCCATAAACACCCAAATTTTTGGGTGTTTATGCTTTTGTACTTCATCATCGTCATCTCAGCCGCAAGACGTCCACTATACTGGACATAGACAATATTATTATGCAGCCTACAGAATAAAAAACTTTTAATTTGATTTTGAGTTTATTAAGAAAGAGATGAAAGTAAAATGTAAAACTACAGTCAATCACTGTCAGATTCAGAGTTATTACAAGCGATGAATTGTATAGGTTCGATAGGCTCTATTTCGTCTAAACTGTTATGTTCATTTACTTGCTCAATGAAAGCTTCTAAGGTATTTTCTTCATTAAACTGAATGTCCTCGCATTCAGCTTTATGTTTAAGATTCCAGTTATAACAAATGAATGAAATTTTTTCAGTTCTTTCAGTTGTAAGTCGATTTCTTTTGTTATTATGTATGTAGCCTTGGATACTAAAGGAACGCTCAGTGGCTGCCGAAGTACAGGGAGCTGATAGAATACGAATCGCTACTTTGCTTAACTCAGTGGAACCACAAATACCTTTCCACCATATTAGGGGCTCAATGCTATCTAATGAGCTCCATACAAATCCTCTGGCCCAAAAGTTTTCTTTAGCTTTATAACACGCCAAATCTGCCATTACATTTGACAAACTTAAGTGTTGGCTTAAATTGTAGATAAACTCCATACCCTTAAGTTCTTCCTCTTGAGTAAGTTCGACTCCTAGAGTCCTGGGGTCTAGAATATATGCTGCAAAATGTATTGGCCTCATTGCCATATTGCATCTTGAAGATACTGATGTTAGAATCTGCTGTTTGCTTTCTTCGCTCAATGTCGAAATCTCATTTAATGCAAAACGTATCTTAGCTTGTACATCTCTAAATGTAATGTATGTGCGATGCAAACGATTCTGGTCGCTCTCTAAGTAAAATATGCTTTCAGTGACTGGTTCCAAAATACTTATACATTCCCCTGTCTTCGTCCAGAAATCATCACTTAGAATTAAATCTTTAATATCTCTTGAAATTACCACATCTTCTCTAACTGTTAATATTTGCAAAGCTATCTTATTTGCTTTCAAACTTTTTAACGAAGTAACATGACTTCCCCATCTTGTAGCACAAGGCAATTTTAGTGTTTGTGTAGAATCTTCACCCTGCCTTGATTTTATCAACAAGGAACTTAATCGTTGACTCCTTTTAACAGTTTTTATTATATTTATGGCTTGCATAATAAACACAGTTACTTCTTGTATCTTTACAATATCTTGGCACAACAAGTTAAGGATATGTGCACAGCAACCGAGAGGAACAACATGTGGATATTTGAGTTTTGTTAATTCGAATGCCTTTTGTATATTTCTAGCGTTATCGCCAATAAGTACAAGAAACTTATTTGCTCCATACACTTTCATTACTTTTTCAACTTCTTGGCTAAGGTATTCACTAGTGTGAGGATTACTTTCTGTATTCAAACTTTTAACGTATGCAGGTTGAGGTTTTGATATAAGAAAGTTTATTATTCCTTCATTTCTTAAATTAGACCAGCCATCGCACTGAAGGTGTAAGTAACTACAAGCATTTAGTTCCTCATTTAACTCAAAACGCATTTCTCTATATATTTTATCTAAGTATTTTGTCGCTAAAGCTTTACGTGAAGGTATTTTAAATTTTGGTTGCAATTTTTCGAAAAATTGTATCCATAAAGGATGTTGCACCATCGATAATGGCGTCCCTGTTACAAATATAGCTCTCGCTAATTCTGTTTTTATATGATCATCGGTGTCTTGAAACTCAGCATTTATTGTAGTGTTAGCAGACGACGAGGGGCTTATAAAAGAATCATTTGTCTCTATCTCTGACAGTCCAGACATTTTGGTTTTGGACGAGCTATCTTTTATAAGTTTCATAGAGTCTTTTAATGTTTCTGGAGATTTTGGACAAGTGATAAGATGTTGAAGCATTTTGGCAGCATTACTGAATTTGTAGACCTTATTACAAAGCTTGCAAGAAACAGACTTGTTTGGTAAAGTACGGTAGTGCTCCCATATGCGTAAATCTTTAGGTCTCCCCATTGAACCTAAAAAAATGAACGATGATTAGTTGGTCTGACGAAAATTCAACAATAGAGTGCCTATTTTTTTACAATGATTATTTCTTGTTATTTACAATAAATTTATTAAAAAAATAATAAAATAAATACAAAAAACCTTTGTAAAATTACATCTCCTCGGAGGATTAAACGCAGACGCTAGTTTATTATCGTATTGTTCTGTATTTTTCTCAGCAACTTCTTTAATTCGATTAGGTACTTACGCATATTATGTTAAAAATAAATATCTAGTACACATCTTAGGCTATCCACCATTATTATCCAATGACGACTCTCAGCTAACTATGCACTATCATCCAAAATAAACGTGTATGGAAAATTTTATCCCAGTCGGTTGAGGATTGAGGATAATTGCATCAACATACGAACATACCTACATACTTTTATTTACATAACGCAAGCTAAATAAAAGCTTGTAATAATACATCTAATTTTAAGTTAAAATTGTTAAGTGATCATGATATAATTGTATCATTCAAAAATCCACTTACCTTTAATTATTTCTTGTTAAGTATAAATATTATTTCAAATCTGCTCCCTTAATATGCACTTTTTTACTGCTTTTCCTACCTAACACGTTACCAGGAAGTCACGTTACCAGAGTCAGAGTAATAGTGAACACGTTTGACAGTGATTGTCGTCGCCTCATATTCAGCGTCGACGAATAGGGGAATCCCCAGTCATAATGTATTGCATGCGTGGCGGTCTTACTTCAAATCCATAAACAAAGAGATAATTACAGAACTCGATACTAGATGGCGCTGTTTTTGTTTGAAGAAAGTTTGCGGGCTAAAATACATAGAATTTCATCAATGACTTCCACAAAGAACAACATTTCTGTTTTTTCTAAGTCCGTATCTCTTCCGTATATTTCATAAGATATAAGCTTGGGCTACATTGTTATGCAACGTGATTTTGTCGCTGTCTTGCTAGCAGGGTTGACAGATATACGATTTAAATCGTACTCATACTATTATTTGTCTATTTTTTAATGTACGATCGTAAAGATTATGATCGTAATTATATATGGCAACATTTTTATTATGAAACGAACATGCTCACATCATCAGTCACATGCAACAATTTATTATTTCCCCTTCACATCTGGCAGTCCTGCTTGCTAGAATATAGGTAAGTCAGCCACAGTTACTGACGATCGATATTTAAAGGGTATTGTTTTTGTGCTAAATATTTCATAAAAACGTTATTTAATACTTTGTGGATTATTAATTTAGTTGATAATCACTGGAAGTAAAATGGATGCTAATTTGAGAGATCAAGATCTTCGTATAAAACAGTTAATAAAAGAAAATCTACGTAAGTACTCTTTTTATACCTAGGTAGGTAAGGTATAATAAACACAAAAGGTACTTAGATCGCGTGTGTTCGAAGCATTTATTCTAATAAATTTAATTTAAAATTGTAGAAAGAAAAAAATGTCTGCCAAGCCGTAGCCGAAGCCGATCTCCAAATATATTTGGCGATAGTGAGACCCAGTGTCCAGATGATTTACCCAGCGTCGTCGCAACAAAGAAAAAAACGAGGATAAAGTAAAAGAAAATTTACTGAAAGAAGAAACAAACTGTTCTAAATGCTTAATTTATGGAGAAGAGGATAAAAGAAATGAGTATTTCGGACTGTTAGTGGCTCAAGAATTTAAATATATACGGCCATGTGTGCGAACGAGGTGTTATGAAGAAATTTTAAAGTATCTACGGGAAGCAAAAGGCCAACATGTTGATCAACTGCAACATGAAAACACTGAAAATTAATTACTTTCATTTTATTATATATAGATTTTTAAAATTTCCTGAAATATTATTAGTTAACGTTTTATTTAATATTGTAGAATTGATCAATACAATTTATAAAAATAATTTATTGGTATTACTTACATATTTTCAAAAAAATACGTAAAAACCTATTTTTTTGGGTGATTATGGGAGTTTATGGGTGTTTATTGGGTTTTTACCAAAGCACCGGGTTTAAACCCGGTGCTTTGCCCATCTGTAACCTTATAGATGATATCAGAATTATAGAGATCATATAGAATGGGTGCAGTATTAAATTGTCATTGGCAATAGATTTGGTTTGAGACCGATGTTGGATTCAAGAGTTATCCCACTGTTTGTTTGTTTGTTTGTTGATTATTATTATAATTTAATCGCTTTCTATTTGTATACAATTGTTATTTTCGTTTTGTTTGTTTTGTTTTGATTTCTTTTGTTTTCGTTTTGTGCGTTACCGTGTGGGCCGTATGCTTCTTCGATTAAATTATTTCTTTCTTTCTTTCTTTCATATTAATATTATATATGAATATAATAATATATTATTTATTGTATAACAATTACTGTTTTAATTTCAAATTGTTCATTACGTTGCAACGTAATTTCTATTTTCCGTTATTCCTGTCTACGGTCGGCTGGTAGATAACGCCATATTGTGTTAAGTCCGCCATTTTCTCTATCTAGGTGTATTAAAGTTGAATAAATAAATAAATAAAACTAATAGATATCAAGACAATATTTTAAGGATTTTTTTCTTTTTTTTTTATACCACGGAGGTGGCAAACAAGCGTACGACCCACCTGATGGTAAGCGGTTACCGTAGCCTATGAACGCCTGCAGTACCAGGGGTATTACGCGCGCGTTGCCGACCCTGAAGAAACCTCTTTACTCCCCTTTAGAAGAGCCCCATAGTGTAGTCTCTTGGGAAAACCTCGGCAGGGAGCTCATTCCACAACCTGAGTGTTCGTGGGAGGAAACATCTCTGAAACTGTCTACCTATATGTTTATTCCGCATTCAATTAAAAATTATTGCATCAAATTAGATGCGATTTTCACGGTTGTATTTCTGAATGTTTTATTTCGATACGCCATCTAGAAGTGTATTTTTTCTTTTTTTTTATTTTATAGTTCGCATTCAGGAATTCTGTCTTCGGTATTTTTTTTTGATGGGTGATAATGGAATGGTAACCCCGCCTGTGCTATAGGTATACGCTGGCGATACCAGTGAGTCGTGAGTAGACGGTCGTAGAGAGACTAATACTGTATATAGGCAAGTATTTTATTATTATGTACATCTGTAAAATAGGTTTCTGTAAATAAGGAAAATAATAATTTTATATGATTGGTACATTTTCCTTAAGTCATATTTATTAAAATTGTTTACAAATTGGTCTGACAGAATTGTTATTCTAGATGCTCTTCCAATAGGGGGGAGAATGGAATTGTTAGTAATCAGAATTAGCAGACCCATTGCTAGCAATAAACCCTATTAGGTCGACCTCCTCGCGGTTCCTTCTAGAAACCATCGTGATGGATTTATTGTTTAATTCATCACGATCAGCTAATTTTTTTTTTTCGGTGGGTGAAAATGGTATGGTAACCCCGCCTGCGCTAACGGGATACGCTGGCGGAGCACCAGTGAAGGGTGATAGATGAGAATGAAAACAGGCCAGTTAGCACATCATGATGAATTCATCAGGAATTAACCATGATAGTTTCCAGGGGGAACCGCGAGGAGGTGGACCTGGTTGGGTATATTGCTAGCAATGGGATTCTCAGTCTCCATTACTAACAATCCCTTTTCCCCCCGTTGGGCTAATTGACCTGCCTTTTCATCCTCACCTATAATCTCTCACTGGTGTCCCGCCAGTGTACACCGATAACGCAGGCGGGGTTACCATACCTTTATCATCCATTAAATGATATTCACAAGGAATTAATTGAAATAAAATATAAAATAACACGCATTAATATTTTAACAATAATTTATTAATTAATAATTAAATATAAAAATACAAATAGAATAGGTCATTTCGCTTTTAGAGTTTACAACGTTATATAGTTTTAAAATAATTAAATGAAAAAGTAATTAAAGAAAAGGAAATTATGACAGGAATGATAACCTTTTTAAATGATAAATTATTTATTTTATTTTATTTATTTATTTATTACCTGCAGTTTACTGAGGACCAAACTCCAACACATTATAGGTACTTACAATTTGTACGTACACGTCAAGTTAATTACAATAATTAACTATAAAATATTACGATTTAATTAAATATTAATTTTCATAAAATGTCAATTCTGTAATTTAATCCCACTATAGTAAATAGGTAAATAATACATACATACATATCTGTCACGCCTGTCTCCTATTAGGGTAGGCAGAAACAATGGAACGCCAAATGCTTCGATTCAAACAAACCTCTTTCGCTTCCTCCACATTCATCAATCTTTTCATACACGCTCGCCGGTTACGGGTACTTTTAACTTGAGGCGAGGCGCGAGGTCACGGGGCGCCCGCGCGGCCCGGTCGAATCATGGCGACACAGTATTAATTTTGTTGTGTATTTTTTTGATTTTGTTATATCTCCTAAGGTATTAATTTAATTTGCATGATGGTGAAGACTCAATTTTTAATTATAATTTTACAAGTTTATAATTTTACGTGAATACAAACTATAGCCAATAGTTTAGTATTGGCGATTAAGGCAACTTAACCCTTCTGTGCATAATGGTGTAAATTTCCATCATAACATTGAACGCCCAGAAATTATATAAAAGAACAAGTTCACTTTAAGTTGATCGTGTCTGGATACCTTTTTAATGTCCGTTGCAGAAAAAAAAATACATAGCTGTCAAATTTGTTTTTTTTAACCATTTTTCCTTTTCATTTTGAACATGAATTATTTCACCAATAAAAAAAGTCTGCGAAGAAGGGTCAATGGCCGAGGGACGGGTAGCAGCGTCCCTTTTAAAATAACACCAAAGACTAACGGCGGTTGCCAACCCGTGCACCAAACGTGGCACCTACTGGCAAAATACCTTTATGAGGGAGGCTTATGTCCAGCAGTGGACAGTTAACGGTTGATGAAAAATGAAGATGATGATGATGATGAGAAATTAGATAGATAGATAGACAATTTATTTACATTACTTACAGCACACAAATTACAATAAAAAAAAAACATACATGTAATACACAGCAAAAGAGACAAAAGAATAAAAATAAAAAAGCACAAATAAAAAAAAAATACAAAAACAAAATACATAATCTAACAATCTCCTTTGTTAACATTCCTTCATGCATGTGCCATAGTAACACAAAATGGTCACAGCTCAGTTTATTGCTTTGCCCTTAAAAGAGCAAAACACTGATATTCTGCTGTGGCCAAGAGTCAGTCGCAAAACTTTTCATTAAAAATTTACAATATAAAAAATATATATATATATATAAATAAACTGCATTGTATGTGTCCATTATATTTGCCTCCACTCGATATTATATTCTACATAAATAAATAAATAACAGATACCATTAGATGAGGGGTAGTCAGAGATCACTTTCTGTCACATTCAGATATTCAGGCAATAAATATTTCGGCTACGTACCTATTGGGTATTCCAATTTTTTGTTTATTAATTAAAAAGATTTTATGTTTTTTTTTAAAAATGTGTTTACTATTAGACAATCTTATTGGGGGTGGTATTAATTACTAAAGCGTATTTACATTAAACAATTAATTTATAATTTATTACAGTATGCTTATAAATGTTTGGTTTCCAACAATTGTATAACAAAGTTAACAAATTAGGCAACAAACCTACGAGGAAAATATATATATATTTGTGGAACGGTGGTGTATGTCCGTACGGATATAGCCACAGGCCACGTCTGTTAGCGTCCCTTATGTGGTGGCTTGTGTAAGCAACAATTAGCATCCAAGTTATAACATATATATGTATTTTTTTATATATATAACTATATATTAAGAGAGATGTTGTTAACACCAGCCAGAATGTGGTACAGTGGAATATGCCTCGTTGTTTCAAATTTGTCAGGTCCTGAAAAACAATATAGAATTAATGCTGTGTAGTTATTTAAAAAAATGAATAGTTTCGTGCCTTCAGTCATACTGTTTATAACTACTCGTCTACATTTAAAGATTGCTTAGATCACTCTTAGCGATAAGGTCGCCCATTGTTCTCTCATTGTGATTATTTCTTGTAATTGTGTATATTTATAATAAGTTTACTGTTGTAATCTTTTAGATGAAACAATAAAGAGTATCTATCTATCTATCTATTAGTATATTACTTTATATAAATATAAATTGCAATAAAATTTATTACTGACATTAGGATTGATTCTGAGGCACTATTTTTCAAAATATATCTATTATTTTAATAGGTTTGTGAAAGCTCTGTTTTCTGGGGTGTCATGGGCGGAACAGTATACTCTGTTATGTCCATGGTACTACTCATGTCTATAGGCGACGGTTACCACTTTCCATCAGGTGGGCCGTCAGCTTGTTTGCCATTCTAAGTTGTATAAAAAAAGTCTGTTATGTCCATGGTACTGCTCATGTCTATAGGCGACGGTTACTACTTTACATTAGGTGGGCTGTCAACTTGTTTGCCATTCTAAGTTGTATAAAAAAATAAAAAAAAATTGTATACTGAATCTTTTTCATTATAAAGATGTTATATCAACAATATTCTAGATATAAAGAGAAGTGATGTAGCATATATAGTTTTAATTAGGAATTAACTTTAAATGAAATAAATGTACATAGTGAGGTAGGGATAGTCCAAAAAAATTATTATTTGCATATGCCATATAAGACATGGTTTGAAGATAGAGCAAAAGTTCACTCACCTTCCACTGTAGTGATCTCGCCACAAATATGTGATCTACATCAATAAAAGATGACATAAAAGTGCATATAGCTATGTTAAACATACTAGAACTGTCCATTAGATTTTCATGGCTGAAAAACAATACAGACGACAGAAATCCTATTGAAGCATGCACCAGAGAGTCGGAGCAAGCTCTGAAGATTTGCGAGTGAGAAAATTTCGATTTAAAAACAACGTAATCACCGATAAATGCGGTGGCGAAAATGGACAAAGTTAAAGCGAATTGAAGTTTCATTTTGCTTTCTATTATTACTTATTGACGCCATGTGGATGACTGGAGTTATAATTAGTACATTATACACTTTTTGTTGCTTTATATGAATCGTTTTTATTATTATTTATAATTTTAAATCATGATGAAATACTTAGAAAACAAAACATGTCAAAGTATAATTTGAATTTGACACATGTGAATGACGTTTTCGTTTAGAAATGTTTTTGAAACCTAAGTTTGAAAGATAGGTTAGATATAGGATAGGATAGTATTTATTATTGGCTTTGAATTTTTTATTACTTGCCTGGCAAAGAAAAGTTTTTCGGATGAACGATGTGAACTACATATATTATAGTCTTATTTTCTTCTACCGTATTTCTCTGGCTGTAACTTAAACGATTTCATATGGAGGAAGGTATTATTAGTAATAGAGCTCTATTGATAGCGATATATTTTATTAGTCAGCTAGCGTCGGCGTGTATCATTTTCACACCTCAAAAAATGATTTTATGTATATTATTAAAAAACCATCACTTTTACTCATAAAATCATATAGGTAGAATACGTTTTAAATAAAACAACAATATACATTAAAAAAATAGATATTTAATATTTTATTCTCCAGGCCAGACAATTCCTTCAATCCAGTCTAAATAACTGGACACTCTAGTATAAACAGCAGGTAGACCGCTCTTGGCGCACTGTTTACCAAATGAAGTAATGCCGATTATATGGAATATACATTGATTTTCCTTTGACGCTATTTGCAGCGGGGAACCGGAATCGCCCTGAAAAAAAAATCTAAAGTTTAGCTATATTCAACAAAAGTGTTATTTTTTTCATTCACCTGGGGGTCCGAAAAATGGCGGGAACGGTTAACATATAATTAAATTAAAGAGTAATTTAAGTACATATAAATATGCGATTTGACAATGTATAATTGTTTGTTATGATTGTGGTGTGCTTTGAATAATACTTGTAGAAAAATATTTTTTGAGTTACGAGTCTCTTATACGTGACTCTGGCGGGAATGGCCAGAGTCACGGCCACATCTCTTTACCCCTTTCTTTGAAAACGCACTGTTATTGTATTGTAAGTATTTATGAATAAACGCGCCGCTTTCCTAGTCGGAGGACTTTTTTTTTATTGTCTATGAAAGAAAAATTATGTGATTACTTGCCTGACAAGTGTCCTTCCCTCCTCTCAGTTCACCGGCGCACATTTGCCCCGCAGAGAGGCCTTTCCAATGGCGATATCTAGTGTTCATGAGTCTAGCGTCGCAGTCAGCGTCGCCGAACAGACTGAGCGAGACCTTTTGCAACTCTTTTGCTAGTTCTCTGGTATCTAAAATGTAATATATATATATAATATATTTAATTGTGTACCGATTTATTTATTTACTCATTAGTACAAATATGTGTACAGGGGGGAAAGGGATTGTTAGTAATGGAGACTCCCATTGCTAGCTATAGCTATATATATATATATATATATATATATATATATATATATATATATATATATATATATATATATATATATATATATATATATATATATATATTGGGTAATCAGGTCGACCTCCTCGCGGTTCCACCTGGAAACTATCATGGTTAATTCCTGATGAATTCATCATGATGCGCTAACTGGGCTGTTTTCATTCTCATCTATCACCCTTCACTTCGCAGGCGGGGTTACCATACCATTTTTATCTAATAAAAAAAAAAAAATTATGGGTCCACGAGGTAATCTAGAATATTGAGAATAATATAAAGTACTTACTGCTCGGATAAAGTAAAAAGGTGAGCTTGAAATTAATATTTTTTTTAAAACATACGAGTTAAAATTTTGAATGTCTGAATTTTTGAACTATTGTTTGCCACCTCAGTGGTATAAACAAAAAAGAAAAAAAAAACTAAACAATTGGACAATAGAAATGGGTAATGGAATGCTTTACCAGTTTCCTTACGAAATATAAAATGTACGGTTGGTTTTAAAACAATACTGAAGAACTATTATTTGAGCAAGTTGTCGTCTTCTTAATGTGTTTATATGTCTGGTTAGCATACTTATTACTTGCATACTTTTCGTGAACAGTATTTATATATTTTTATGTATTTGTGTAGGTGTTTATATCCATGTATGTATAAGTATTTGTATATATATATATATATATATATATATATATATATATATATATATATATATATATATATATATATATATATATATATATATGTATATATATGTGTGTAAGTGTATGTATATAAATATAATAATGAGTAGGGATAATATTTATATTATTATATGTATCACATCTCCCATATTTAGAACTAACAAAATTTTTCATCGTGCCTCCCACCAAACTGTTTATAATTACTCCTCTCCATCCAAAGGTTGGCTGCAAGAGATCGCTCTCAGCGATAAGATCGCCCATTGTTTTCTCATTGTGATTATTTCTTGTAATTGTTTATATTTATAATAAGTTTACTATTGTAATCTTTTAGAGGCAACAATAAAGAGTATGTATCTATCTATATCTATCTAAATAGTTTGCCATCTGACTCAGACCATGTATCTGAATCAGCTGTTTTCGTTTTGACCATCTTGTCCCTTCCACCCTGTATATCAATATTTTTATCCAAAGAAGGTACAATTTGATAAATAAATATTATATGCGTGTATAATATAGTATATGTCGGGGGAAAGGGATTGTTAGCAACGGAGTTTGACAGCCCCATTGCTAGCAATATACCTTATTAGGTCGACCTCCACGTGGTTCCCCTCTGGAAACCATCGTGAACAATTCTTGTTGAATTCGCCACGATGGGCTAACTGACCTGCTTCATCCTCGCCTATCATTCTTCACCGGTGCCCCGCCGGTGTATACCGATAGCGCGGGTGGGGTTACCATTCCATTATCATTCATTAAAAAACAAATAGTATATGTCATATATGTGTAAGTATATTTGTTTCTGCCTACCCTAATGGGAGACAGGCGTGACAGATATGTATGTATGTAAGGTACAATTTGTGAGTTAAATGTGTATAAAGTGCTATTTATTACCAGGATCGATAACTCCCCATCCAGTGGCGACGGCCTTTGTATGACCCCCGAAACTGCCTTGACGCCACAAGCAGGCTGGCCGTATGGCTGACTCGAATTCCACGTCTGTGTTCAGTTCCATCAGCGCAATATCGTTGTACCTCGATGGCGGTTTATACTCAGGGTGCTTGTGGATTTTTTTTATTGGCACCTGGTGGAAGGAAATAAAATGAAAATAAAAAAATAAAGATTTTTTTTATACAACTTAGAATGGCAAACAAGCTGACGACCCACCTGATGGAAAGTGGTAACCGTCGCCTATAGACATGAGCAGTACCATAGACATAGCAGAGTATACTGTTTTGCCCATGATATCATCCCCCATGCGTTGCCATTCCTGAGGACTCAGGTGTTATTCCTCTGTACCCAGTAAATTCACGCCATATACCACCCTTCAAACCGAAACACAGCCATGCAAACACAACTGCTTCACGGTTGATACACGAATGAGACAGAGGTACCCAAGCAATCGACTTTTGTACAAAGCCTCCCTCTAGTAAACATTCTACCTTTTTAAAAGGATGAATGAGAGAAATAATATGTCCATTTCACTTTATAAAAAAAATACTAACATCAACAGGACTAGCTCCATCGTTCACACTTGGGTCTATGTTCTGATCTCCAAGTCTCACAATGACCGGCTCTGGGTTTCTGGCATTAGGGTCCCTGATGCAATGGCCGGCTGTCAGCACGAAGCGAGGACTGATGAGGCTACCTCCACAGCTGAAGTTATAACCACCGTCGAAATTGGTGAAGCCTATCGCCGCCTGAAATGAAACAAGCGTGTTTAGAAATATTTTTAAAGCAATCCGACATCTTGTGGTTGCGGCCATTTTGTAATAATGCCAATTATTTTATCGTACTCATTTTTCAAGCTCTTCCCTGTGATACCCATATTAACAAGGTTCTTTTTTAATAGGTAATAATGGAATGGTAACCCCACCTGCGCTATCGGTATACGCTGGCGGGGCACCAGTGATAGATGACAGTTGAAGATGAAGGCAGGTCAGTCGGCCCATCGTGAAGAATTCAACAAGAATTAACCACGATGGTTTTCAGGGGGAACCACGTGAAGGTCGACCTGATAGGGTAATTTGCTAGCAATGGGGCTGTTAGAACCCAATACTAACAATCCCTTTCCCCCCTATTAACATGTTTTTTTTTAATGGATGATAATGGTATGTACCATTATCATGCTCCGCCTGCGTTAATGATATACGCTGGTGGAGCACCAGTGAGAGATGATAGACATGAGAATTAAAAGGCAGGTCAGTTAGCCCGTTGTGATGAATACAGCAGGAATTCAGCACCATGGTTTCCAGGAGGGACCACGTGGAGGTCGACCTGATAGTATTGCTAGCAATGGCGAAGCTAGACCCTATTACTAACAATCCCTTCCCCCCCCTATTAACATGGTTGACAAGGTGTACATACATCATCCGCATTTTTTTACTGATTCACGCGGGTAAAGCCGCGGGACACAAACTATTCTCTTAAGGGAGTTTATGGGGGAGGCCTATGTCCAGCAGTGGATGGATAATGGCTGAGATGATGATGAAATTGGACACTATATTTACCATGTGCGGGAATTCACCCTGGTTCGCCTTCTCTCCGCCCACTATGAGTTCTACACCGGAATATTCGCACTTGGCTGACGATATCGACATGGTTTCGGGGTTTGGCACCAACGGTATGAAGTCCACTTTCTCTGTCACACCTCGGCTGTACTGCTCGCACTCTGGAAGGGAGGAAACGAAGTGATTTTCTTTCTTTTTTTTTTTTCAATATTGACAAAGGGCTAGTGTTGCCCAGTATGTCATTAAGAAACAAGTAGGTATATTTGAATTTACAGGGTACAGAGGAATAACACCTGAGTCCTCAGTAATGGCAACGCATGGGGGGTATCATTGGCGAAACAGTATACTCTGTTATGTCCACGGTACTGCTCATGTCTATAGGCGACGGTTACCACTTTCCATCAGGTGGGCCGTCAGCTTGTTTGCCATTCTAAGTTGTATAAGAAAAAAATAAAGAAATATTTACTTCGTTCACTCACTCTCCTGGTGTCGGAGCCGGAACCCCAAACTGGTGGTCCGCTGCAAGAGATGAAATTGTATTGTAATGAAATAGTTTATATATTTTGGAACGGCAAACGCTCCGACGAGGGGTGAAAGCGCTTGTTAGTAACAACTTCACTGCTAGCAATATATATCAGGTCGACCTCCACGGGGTTTTACATATATATAAAAAACTTCTTTAAGTAGTGCAGTAACGAATAAATAAATAATTTGTCAAAATTGGAGCCGGTTAAAGATTATTAGTTAAAGAATAGTATTTTTTAATTAACGGTGGCAAACTTACTCATTGCTCGGCGCCGGCGCAGCTTGCAATATGTTGGAGTGGTCCTTGCAACATATTACTGGACTGCCGAACGCGCTGTATTTGCAGAAAGTTGGGCTTATGCCGTTTTTCCTACAAACAATATGCATGAATATTAATATCCTGAAACATGGCAATCTTTGAAGAGAACTTTGTAATATTATGTACATAGTAAATACAGTTTAACACTTGCATACCTCCGCGGGGTGCTGCATGTTATGTGCCTACTTGTATATGTAACATCTTATTGTACCATGTAGCAAGTGAATAAATATGATTTGATTTGATTTGAACAATAAAGAGTTTTCATTCATTCATTTAATCCTTCATTTATTAAGCCATTAATTAATTAATTAATCCATTTAGTCATTCTACGATTTGGTCATTAATTCATTTATTTATTCGGTTAATCACCTATATATCATTAATTCATTAATTTGTCCATTCATTTTTTCATTTATCCATTCAGTGATTCATTTATTCATCTCACCAAGATAAAAATTAAAGATAAGTGAATAAGGTAAAAATTAAATTTTTTAATTTAGTTACAAACAAAAGATAAAATTTTTAATAATAATAGTTTAAAGTTTAAAACTTTAACTAACGCTTAATAGCTGTATCAAGCACAGAGGGAGACTCAAATGTACATATGTATCATTGCACATATGTATAGATTATCATCTCAAATCTTTCAAATGCAGATATATATATATATATATCGTGGACACTGAGAATCTCTAGCAATATAACCTCCTCGCGGTTGAAACTATCATGGTTAATTCCCGATGAATTCATCGTGATGTGCTAACTGGCCTGTTTTCATTCTCATCTATCACCCTTCACTGGTGCTCCGCCAGCGTATCCCGTTAGCGCAGGCGGGGTTACCATACCATTTTCACTATTAAATTTACTGTATACCTAGTACTGTAGTTTTTACCATTTTTTATCTTAATAATTAAAGGTCGCCACGACACGCGTATACATAATATATATATATATATATATATATATATATATATATATATATATATATATATATATATATATATATATATATATATATATATGGTTGTCCTTTAAAAGCATTATATAATAACTTTATTAATGTATTTTTAAATAGATAAATAAATAAAGTCGTCCTCAATATATTTCTTTCCCTGATAAGTTTACTTACTGGAAGTCTTCTTTAGCTGTCTTGCAGCGGTCAGCCAGGGTGCAGGTTCCCACGGTGTTCGTGTACTGGTCCACGCAGGAGTCGCCCTCTATCGGTCAGATGGATAATATAGTGTTTTTTTCTAATGTGTGATAATGGTAGCCCCACTCGCGTTATCGGTATACACCGGCGGGGCACCAGTGAAGGATGATAGGTGAGGATGAAGTAGGTCAGTTAGCCCGTCGTGACGAATTCAACAAGAATTGTTCACGATGGTTTCCAGGGGGAACCGCGTGGAGGTCGACATAATAGGGCATATTGTTAGCAATGGGGCTGGTTATACTCCATTGCTAACAATTCCTCCCCCCCCCCCCCCAAAACATTGGTTAGAACCTAACTGGATACAATTATTAGACATTTCAGTTAATTTTGAAATATCATTACCTAAATTAATTTTTAAAACTACAATTTCGGTTTCAAATACCTTAAGATTTCGTTCTACAAAATAATACCAACTTCAAAAATAGGGAGGTTCTCGATTCACTTGTATTTTTTTGTATGTTTGTCACCTCGTAACTCCGTCAGTTGTAAACCGATTTGGAAAATACCTTTTTTTTATCTCAAAGCTTATATTTACAGTACGGTCTCATAGATATTTTATTAAAATTGATTTAGTAGTTTAGCCTTTCAGATTAAAATAACTGGTTTTGTCGGAATTGAAATCGGTTTTTTTTTGTAGGATATTTATTTATTTATTAATTTATTTATTTATTTAAGGAACACCAACAGCATATTGCATTATAACATATAGGTGTAACAAACATTAAATACAATACAATATTAATGCACACGCCTAATATAGGTATTCACAGCATTCACTTTAACATAATTATACAGTGTAAGAAAATTTAGATATATAAAGGATAGATAGATACTCTTTATTGTTTCCTCCAAAAGATTACAATAGTAAACTTGTTATAAATATAAACAATTACAAGAAATAATCACAATGAGAAAACAATGGACGACCTTATCGCTAAGAGCGATCTCTTGCAGGCAACCTTTGGATGGAGAGGAGTAATGGTACACAATCTATTGTATAATTAGAGGGAGACTGTACAAAAGTCGATTGCTTGGGCACCTCTGTCCCATTCGTGTTTCAACCGTGAAGCAGTTGTGTTTGCATTGCTGTGTTTCGGTTTGAAGGGTGCGATATGGCAGTAAATTTACAGGGTACAGAGGAATAACATCTGAATCCTCAGGAATGGCGACGCATGGGGGGTATCATGGGCGAAACAGTATACTCTGTTATGTCAATGGTACTGCTCATGTGTATAGGCGACGGTTACCACTTTCCATCAGGTGGGCCGTCAGCTTGTTTGCCATTCTAAGTTGTATACAAGAAAATATATTTTTTTTTTAAATTCTAAATTAACTATTTAAATAAATCACCGGACAGTCTGTGTTGAACACTGAATCATGACTTTACCTATATGTACTGCCTTCTAGTATATATTTTAGCTTTATTTTCCTCATTCAAATTTTTAACGCATATATATAATATTTCTTATTTCTTTTTTTTTACAACACAGTGGGCAAACGAGCAAGCGGCTCACCTGATGGTAAGTGACTACCGCCGCCCATGGTCACCCACAACACCTACGGCATTGCAGGTGTGCTGCCGGCCTTTTAATTAATTTTAATTTGCTTTCAATATTTATTTATTTATATGTTTTATTTTGAAGTAATTTACCAGAGTATTTATTGTAATATTTAGACACATTATTTTACTTATTACATTACATGATACCCCCCATGCGTTGCCATTCCTGAGGACTCAGGTGTTATTCCTATGTACCCAGTAAATTCACGCCATATCCCACCCTTCAAACCGAAACACAGCCATGCAAACACAACTGCTTCACGGTTGAAACACGAATGCGACAGAGGTGGCCAAGCAAACGACTTTTGTACAGAGTTTCTCTCTGGTAAATAAATAATAAATGAATGGTTACAATTATAATTTTGTAATGATTTATTTAACATGCTGTTATTCACCATTGCTCTGTGCGACCGCGCGACTCACCAACAGGAAAATTGTCAAGCACCAAAGCATTTTATAACGTAAACAATATTGCTTCACATCGGCCGATTGGACGCTGCAACAAAACGTTATAAATTAATAACTATTTTTTTTTTTTTGATGGGTGAAAATGGAATGGTAGCCCCGCCTGCGCTAACGGGATACGCTGGCGGAGCACCAGTGAAGGGTGATAGATGAGAATGAAAACAGGCCAGTTAGCCCATCGTAATGAATTCATCAGGAATTAACCATGATAGTTTCCAGGGGGAACCGCGAGGAGGTCGACCTGGTTGGGTATATTGCTAGCAATGGGATTTTCAGTCTCCGTTACTAACAATCCCTTTCCCCCCTGTGTTTGTTAGTTAATTCTCGGCACCTTAATAATTCAAGTAAACAAAATTAAATTTGGTATACAAGTACATAATATGGTACATAATATAAAGGATGGCGAAGGATAAAGACATTAATCCAGCGACCTCAATAATCTTAACACTAGATAAAAATACGAACTTACTGTTCTGAAGCAACGTTTCGAAAAAGGAAAGAGTTTAGAAAAAAAAAAAAATAGAGAACCGAGGGAAAAGAGAGTGCACTTCATATAAGCTATGTAAAACGATTGGGTCAGGAATATCCTACCAATCTACACGAAAGAAAAACTTTTTTTCTCGTTATGTTGGCCAGTTTGACAATAGAAACGCTAATCATGTGACAAAAGAAATATATAAATTTTATGTCAAACTGCATGTTCAGACGAACATTTATTTAGCAAAAATAAAACAAAAGGTAACATTGTTAAATATATTTATTATTTTATACGATATTACCTTGAGATTTCAATTTCGGTATATTATTGAAAGTTTTCAATTTCTAGAGTAGATCATTTAATAGACTCAATTATAATTATACTAATTCTTACGTCTAAATAAAAAGAAACATGAAATACAAAGATAAAATTGTTCCACAAATAGTTTAGATGGCAGCCATATGCATCACATTTGACTATGGACCCAATTTTTAAAAGCTCTCTTGAAATAGAAAAAGAGAAACATTGCATTTCGAATGGGCAGTAATGTAAAAAAACTATTCAAAAATCTAAGTTTACTTGAATAAAAATTATTCTGTTTTTTCTTATGATTTTACTGCTGAGTTTGGTATGTAAACTTTTTACATAGTCTCTTATGGATGGGTAGGTTACCCGTTTTATTAAAATTTACATTTATACATTTTTATTAAAATGTTTTGAAACAGAATATATACAAATATTTTGAATAATATCTAGTATTTACACAATTAGGAAAATTAAACGTAAAGTATATTATAAATATTTCAAACTATAAATGCAGTGCTGTATCCTAAACAAAACATAAACAAACATTGATATAAAAAAACAAACCTGTTTTACTTCTTACCTGTAACGCATTTGCATAAAATAAAAAAAAAAAAAACTACCATAAACATCCTCAAACCGCCAAAATTAGGAACTAATTCAAATATAGAATACTACACGTGAATTTTCGCATGCATTTTTCCGTAAAATAAACACAAATATTGTAAACATATTCAATTTACCTGTCCGCGTCCGTTCACAGATGCTAACTATCTCGTACTGGCCACTGGCAACTCTGTCAGGAAAACCTGTTATTTGGCGCGCAAAGAATATTAAACGAGATATGTGCATAATCAAATTAATTTTAGTAATTGCCTATAAGCGTTGGTATTTTGCTACAAAGAAGAGATACTGCTCTGTTTTTTAGTTTGTTTGTTGGTAACCTAATGATAAAAGTTAATTGTATTTTAAAATCTTTATTGTACATATTGAATAAATTAAATAATTTAATATACAATGGCGGACTTATCCCATAAAGGGATCTCTTACAGTTAACCTTTGAGAAGCTGAAAGAAAACTGTAGATATATGTATTATATTATTATTATCGTTTAATTGATCATCTTAAAATTTGGTATACCTACTTACACATTTATTTACTGTTTGCTAAAGAGAAGCACATAAGCTATATTTTATTCAGGTCAAATAACGTATCCCGGTCACTCGGATAAAGTAGCGGGTAATGACTAATATATAAATTACAATGATATTGCCTTATTAATACTAGTCAAATACCGATGTTTTACCAGCATGTATTGTGTGTAAAATACTTTGTCTTAATCTGTTTATTTATTTATTTAGATAATTAATAGCTTATAAATGTATAAATATGGGTTAATAAAGTTTTATATGGCAAAGTTAACAAGATATATATATAATACAACGAATAATACAAAAATATAATATAACAAAGTTAAAAAAGATAGATTAGGTAATTTGTAAATTTGCTTTCAAAAATACTTACGCACACACACACATACACACACCATCAGACACACACATACACACATGCTTATATTTTCCACTCACCCTCTCACACATACCGTTTCCCGTCTCACACATATTGCGTATTTATTATTATTATTATTTCAGCCATTAACTGCCCACTGCTGGATAAGTCTTCCCCATAAGGGGAGTTTTGCCAGAAGTTGTCACGCTTGGTAGTTTGACAACCACAGTTAGGCTTTTAAAAGGGACGCTGCTGCCCATCCCTCGCCCTTCCTTAGTCGTTTACGACACCCACGGGAAAGGAAGGGGTGGCCTATTCTATGTTGGGACCACACGGCCATATTGCATGTAAATTTTCCTTACCTTAATAAACTATAATAGGAGTTTGTTAAGGTCGACCGACTCGATGGTTACTTCACAGCAGAAAAGTGGATGGGACAGAGGTACCCATGCAGACGCCATTGGTACAGTCTCTCGATATGTAAAAAAAATTAATTTTTTAACCCATGGGCTGTTAGTTTACCTGTCATTTTAAGTTGCTTAAAAAATCCGACATCGTACAGCATCGACCTTATTTAGCTAATAGGAAAAAATATTTAATTATTAAAACTTTCTTTAGCACATATGATATTTTAAATATAATAATTACCGGATTAACTCACTGTAATTAGATCGAGAAACCTCGACTGGTTTCGGGATCAATTCGTGATCCTTAATCATGAGCTTATGACTAAGTCAAACCGCTAGTTATTACAGTAAAAGGCTATTGACCTAGCGATAAGACCGCCTTTTGTACCTTTATGTGTATATTTTAATCTGTACTCCATGCTACTGTATTTCACTTGAATTGTTTATATGCCATTGTTTATTTTTATGTTTTTGGTGACAATAAAGAGTTAAATAAATAAATAAATAAAAGGTAAAACTAATGACGCTTCTGTATTTACAATTCTATTGCAAATTATTGATCTTTGGAATGTATTTATCCATTAGTACTTGAGCGTCCATCTTGAACATTAGCCGCACACACACACACACACACATACGCACGAGCGTGAAGTGTTCAATTAGATTTATGAACAAAATGAACAAACTAATTAATTGATTATTAAATATTAATTAAAAAAAGATGATTTGATTTTACATTAAACGATTTTAATAAACAATTGCTTTTTAATTACCTTCAAAATGTTTAACCGAATTCGTTTGTATTTTCAATCGACTTTAAAATAAAGGAAGTATTCAATTCGGTTGTAATTTTTTTTTTAAATGTTTGTTACCTCATAATTCTGTCAGTTGTAAATCGATTTGGATATTTTTTTTTTGTTAATCTGAATAGATATATAACACAGATTGGTCTCAATTTGAAATTTTAACAAAATAGCTTGAGTAATTAAGTTTTTTGGATCAAATTAACTGGGTTTGTCACCCTGGAAACCATAATGGTTAATTCCTGATGAATTCATCATGATGGGCTAACTGGCCTGTTTTCATTCTCATCTATCACCCTCCACTGGTCCCTTGCCAGCGTATACCGTTAGCGCTGGCGGGGCAGCCATTCCATTTTCACCCATAAAAAAAAAAACTGGGTTTGTCACAATTAAACACGGTTTTTTTGTTACAAAAAAATACCCCTCACTTAAGGGATTGTTAGTATTACGGATTGCCAATCCCATTGCTAGCAATTTACCTTTTCAGGTCAACCTCCCCATGGCCCCCTTGGAAACCATCGTGCAAAATTCCAGATGTATAAATCACGATGGGCTAACTGACCTGCCTTTTGTTTTCACCTATCATCCCTCACTGGTGCCCCGCCAGCGTACACCGATAGCGCAGGCGGGGTTACCATACCATTATCATCCATTAAAAAAAGTAACAAAATATTTTAAGTATGACACCGTTTGGATTTTCCTCGACTCAGAAATAAGATACTGGTTTTTCCTTATGAAATTAACTGTTAAATAAAATTAATGCATTTGTATAGATATAATAATAATTGTTAATATATTATCAGCTATTATTGGTGCGCAGGGTACGTGCCAGCACCAACAGCATCCTGAGTACGATAGCGAGCAGGCTGCACTGTGTGTACGTTAATCGCTGCTGCGCAATTTCCAATGGAATTGTGCAGCGGTGATTATCTGTACACTGCTTAATATATTGTATGTGTGTGTATGTGTGTGTATGTGTATTGTGTATGTAAATTTACTAACATTAGTTTTTAAGAATATTGTTACTAATAAATATTTAATGGACCAAAAAGTCTGAAATAATATTATTATTAGTTGTCCACTGCTGGACATTAGCTCCCATAAGAGGGGCGATGCCAATAGTTTTTTTTTTGATGGGTGAAAATGGTATGGTAACCCCGCCTGCGCTAACGGGATACACTAGCGGAGCACCAGTGAAGGGTGATAGATGAGAATGAAAACAGGCCAGTTAGCCCATCATGATGAATTCATCAGGAATTAACCGTGATAGTTTTCAGGGGGAACTGCTAGCAATGGAATTTTTAGTTTCCATTACTAACAGTCCCTTTCCCTCCCACTACCATGTATTTGACACTCACAAGCATATATACTCGTACTCTATTGTTTATTGCTAAAGTCTGTGGTCGAATTGAGAATAGATTGATATTGTTTGTATTTAATATTACTTGTCTATAGTCTTGCTGAATGTCAAACATAACTATAATAAATTAATTTATTACAATATATGTTATGGTCGAATTTTGACCACTGGTCGACCATACATACATACATATCTGTCACGCCTGTCTCCCATTAGGGTAGGCAGAAACAATGGAACGCCAAATGCTTCGATTCAAACAAACCTCTTTCGCTTGCTCCACATTCATCAATCTTTAGCGCCCCGTCCCGGCTTCGCACGGGTGGACATTTTCGAAATCATACACGTATCTTGTATATATATATATATATATATATATATATATATATATATATATATATATTGTCTGGTTTGCATATTAATTTTTTCAGATATCTAAAAACTTAATAACTTTGTTTAGGTGTTTATATGCATGCATCTTGCATATATATATATATATATATATATATATATATATATATATATATATATATATATATATATATATATATATATATATATATATATATATATATATATATATATATATATATATATATATATATATATATTATTATTATTTTTTATTTATTTTATTTGACTAAAACAATGTTACAAATACAAGATACAATGGGCGCCACACTAGGCGAGCCTGTATCGTGGGCACCCGACAAAGACTAACAAATCACAATGTGTTGTAATAAAAAGTACATAGTGGGCGGGTATTAATATAAGAAGGAATATAAAATTGAAATAGTGAAAAAAGTAATAAAATCAACAATATAGATACAGAAGCTGTATTGGATAATGGATACATTTTATCCACTTCTGTTTAGAACTGGTTTTATTCTCTACTGATCTTCGAACAGGTTCAATAACGCTGGGGGTTTTTAACCCCATTGTATCAACTATAATAACACCAGACGGAGACTTTGTACAAGTCGTTTGCTTGCAGGGGGGAAAGGGATTGTTAGTAATGGAGACTGAGAATCCCATTGCTAGCAATATACCCAACCAGGTGGACCTCCTCGCGGTTCCCCCTGGAAACTGTCATGGTTAATTCCCGATGAATTTATCGTGATGCGCTAACTGGCCTGTTTTCATTCTTATCTATCACCCTTCACTAGTGCTCCGCTGGGGTGTCCCGTTGGCGCAGGCGGGGTTACCATACCATTTTCATCCATCATCAAAAAAAAATATATATACGATTGCTTGCGTACCTCTATATATATATATATATATATATATATATATATATATATATATATATATATATATATATATATAGTATATATATATCGTGAATAGTTGTGTTTGCATGGCTGTGTTCGGTTTGAAGGGCAGCGAATTTACAGGGTACAGAGGAATAACACCTGAGTCCTCAGGAATGGCAACACATGGGGGTTATTATGGGCGAAACAGTATGCTCTGTTATGTGCATGGTACTGCTCATGTCTATAGGCGACGGTTACCGCTTTCCATCAGGTGGGCCGTCAGCTTGTTTGCTATTCTAAGTTGTATATAAAAAACAAGTTTTAGCTTAGATATATTGTCCTCATTAAATCCTTTATATAATTTTTTTTAAATCTGTTATGTACAGATATAGTCTAGTCAAATTATACTATGTATTAACATGTACTTGCTTCGGCAGTACATATACTAAAAAAAAAACTATGTATTAACATAGTATAACATGACAGTTATTTTTTTCTTGTTTTT